CATCCCTTACTTTGTCTCACTTTAGGACAAGGTTTCACAGCACAAGGCAGACCTGTGCTGCTCTGCATCACAGTTTGCTGCTGCAATATGTGGAGGCTTACTCTCCTTGCTTGGGTCACAACCCTCCCATGCTCTTCTGTGCTGTGTTGGGTGTTGTTCCTGACCCTCTGTCAGCCAGTCAAACTGAGGGTTTTGGAGTTATGGTGCATTGGGAAATGAACTGGTGCTTCTGGAGCTAGTGGAAGAGAGATGAGGCTGGCTGAAGGCAAGGAAGGAGCAGAGGCAGGGAAGGAAACAAGAAGAAGAGCACAGCCTTTCTCTTCATGTGGGTGTGAGCTGTTACACAGTTGGTTGCCCTTGTTGCCTCAGGAGCAGAGGCTCCTTCCCTGCCTGGTAGAGACAAACTAATGCCAAATTAATGTGTTCTGTATTGACTAGAAGAGCCTTGACCCTGCTGGAAGCTGACTCACGTGATTGTAGTCCCTCAGGAAAGCAGCCAGTCCTCTCTGAGCAGGTGAGAGAAGCTGTGCCACTTCTGTATTCCTTTGACCCTTGGATGGGGTAACTTATAAACTGAGATTGCATGTTTCTTTAGGTTGGATATCACTGTCACTTTGCTTTCCAAAGGTAAAGAGGCTAATAAGTTTTATGGCTGCTGGTTTATCAGCTTGTTACAATATAAAGGAGGAAAAAGAAGAGAATTTCTTTCTTCGCAGCCTTAGCGTCTAACAGAGAGCACTCCAGGATTATCAGTTCATAGAGGCACTTATCATGAAGCTATTGTTAGGCCTGTTGTTCCTTTCATTGCTCTTCTCAGAAGGTAAGTTTTGCAAGGCCTTTGGATTTGAGTTACACAGTATTTAGGAACCTATATTTTTAGGTGTTGCAAGGTGGGTATATAGCAGGAGCCTTAGAAGCAGGATGAAGAAAATCTGTGAGTAAAACTGTGATCTTGTATGTAATTTTGGGTATGTTTGATCATTTTCAATGAAGATATATGCCTTTGTAGTGTTCTGGAGATGGACTGCATCTTAGGCAGGCATGAAGGCTTTCTGCTAAGAAAAACATCAAGTAATTAGACTAAAAGTGAGATCTGTCCCAAAATAATGCAGAAATTCAAGAAAGGGACAGAGGCTTTTCCTAAATTCATATTTATAATCACCGACTTTTTGGTGATGTAAGATTGTGTGAATGGGTCAGGCAGCATCCTGGTACTCAGGGCATCGTTGTGCAGATTCCTGCAAGTCTCAGGGTAGCGAGCAGTCTTTGTTCTCTGTACTGGGTCTGTGAAGTCCATGTTTGGTGCCAGAAGTCAGTTTTATAGGTGCTCTGGGACTAAAAATGTTGTGTATATTTTGGCCTACTTGGCTGTATGCTTCAGCTCTCTGAATGCAAGGAAGTAATGATAAATAGTGATAATGCTTTACTTTACGAGCGGGTAAGTATCTTCAGAGGCTTGTAAGGTGCTCTGATAAATAACTAACTGTTAGGAGGTTTTGATTCCTAAAATAAACATCAGAAATGCTTTCAGCTGAGCCTTTTAATTTAAAGGAAAAGAAGCACGGTGACTACAGTTCTGTGAAAATTTGGTTGAGGAAAAGTTGCTTGAGAGCAGCCCATAAGAATTATTAGCTGAAACAGGTTAACTACAAGAGCAAGGGAGGAAGGAGTAGAATCTTTCTCCTCAATCTGGAAGAATTGCCAGAAAAATAATTCACTTTTTTTTTTCTTTCGTGATGTTGAGAAAATTAAAAATACAAACTAGAAGTATTAAATGGCAACGTAAGGGAGTAACTGTAATATTGGGAACAGCAGGAGTTAAAGGAATCATCCTATGGAAAGCAAATGAAGTTAAAATTTAATCAGCCAAGCCAAAAATGAATCTGAGGGGAAACAATGAATCATTTTTGAAGGAATAACAGCTAATAAGTCCTCTTTTAAGTACATCTGAAACAGGGAGCCTGTAGGGGTGACTGATGTGTGGAAGAAAGCTGAAGCCCAACAGAAAAACTAATTTCTTCTTTTCTTTGGTGTCTCTGCACCCAGCTTAAAAACAGCCTTGCACTCAGAGCTGTTCAGCATGGGACAAGTGGGGAAAGGGTCAAATCCTTGAACAAATTGATAACAAAATCAAAACTGCCAAGATTAGATGATACCCACCCAAGGGGATGAGCCAAGCAGAAATAGGAACCTGTCCATTGTATGCGGTGCAAACTACTTCTTGAATCAGTATTGGTGTTGGGAATGGAAGATGGCAAGTGGGAAACCAGTTTTTATAATGGGCTCTGTTTTAGGGGATCTGGAGAACTGCAGTGGCAGTTGTACAAAAGCAGCAAGGTTGTCTTCTGCACAAAACAAATTGGTGATAGCAGCATAAAGAACTGAGTGAACTGACTTGGGGTAAATATGATATAACGGGGACCTTCCCTGTGGAGGAAGAAAATCCATTACAATGGGCATATACCCATGGATTAATTCTTCAGCTGGGCTGTGTTTGTATTTCCACAAATCCTTTTAAGCAAGAGCTCTTAAGGAAGCCAACTGTCATGGTCTAAGAGTGAGGGCACCTTTGCAGGCCCATGGTTAAAAGCTGGCGACTGAGCAATCAGGTTGCAGGTTCAATCTGTGAGAAGAGGGGAGAGTGAACCTGCAAAAGCTGCACGGGGATGTGGGCTCTCCATGTATTCAGAAATGATCTGAATAAAGGGTCATGCTAGTTGGCTGATGTAAAACTATTTAGGATGCTCAGAATGAAAACTTAAAAGTAATGCATAAGGGAAAACTTACTCTAGCTATGTGTACACCATGGTGAACTCTAAATCAAATACTGCTTGGTCACAGAACATAGCTGTCTGAAGGCATCAGCTCAGTGTTAGAAACAGTCAGAGACAAACGATTTCAGGAGTCAGGGAGAGAACAGGATAGAAAACACTTCTGCTGCTATGTATGGGTCCATACTTCATCTTGACAGTTGTCTGCATGAGGGAAAAGCTAGGAGGAGGATAGAGGGGAAGAGTACTCAGACTTATGAAACAACTTCCACATGAGATCAAACAGACTCACTTCAGCTTGGAAGAAGGATGGAGAGGTGTACGATAAAGATACACACACATATGTTAAATGGTAAATTTTGTGGAAACGGGGAAATGACAACTCTTTACAAGAACAAGGAAACAGATCAAGTTATTAACAAATGAGAGTACTTTTTTTGAGCACTATTAAATTATGAAGCGCCTTTGCCACAGGTCTTGGGGGAAGCAAAAAAGAGCAAAAAAAGATAGGAAGAACAAACAGCAAATTCATGAAAGGGCAGGCTCAGGGTGTTCTCTAGCAGGAGGTAATTGCTTTCTGAGGGACACCAGTAGCATTGATCGTTGAGAGGATAAAGCATGGAAGTACAAATGTATTTTCCTTATTCTTTCTTTAAACTTCTGCATCTGGATGTTGTCAGAGGCAGAATCTTATATTGGATGGAGCTTCATTCTGACACAGTACAGCCATACTTAAATGTTTGAAATATTGAGGGATTGTTCCATGCCCTCCAAGATTCCCTCTAGTCCTGGACACTGGGATTGAACCCGCTTTTTCCCTTGATAACAACCCGTGGATCTATTCTCAAATATAGTTGAAACTAAAGTTCTCAAAGATGCTGAGTTTCTGCAACAGATTTGCATGATGCAGGCCAGTCTCTCATTGTACATGTCTCTAGTATCTCAAATATGAGAGCTGGGGCTCTGGTTATCGTCCTGAGTAAAGCATCATCTAGAAACACTGACTGAACAAGCACAAATTTTAAATGACATTTTAAATGGCAGCCAGCAACAAGTGTCCCAAATTTCTATCGAGTACAGTAAAAGGTATATAAATTTCCAAATGGCTCATGCCTGAAACACAAGCGGGGATAACCCCCAAATATATGGAAGTTGCTGACAGTTACTAAAGGTAACTGTAGTGTGACTCATGAGACAGGCTGAGGTGGACATGGGGAGCAGTAGTGGCTTTCTTCTACCGTGCTGACCTCTGTGTGCACTGGTACCCTTGTCCTGCTTGGGCCAGGCATGCCACCTCCTTGCAGCATGAGTGCTGCCAGCTGCCCTATGCCCAAGCATATCTCACGTGCTGCTCTGAGCTGCCTCTGCGTTTTCTCTTGGCAAAGAAAGATGTACAAGCAGAAGTATGCAGCAAGACAAAATGTTCCAGAAGTAGCTCCTGGGTACTAAAGGGCAGCTGTTCCAAGCACAGCAAGACTTGTTATGAGACTTGCTGGATGCTGATGGCTGCAGTGTGGCATAGGCAGGGACACAGCTGTCAGCTGAGGATCCAGACCCAGACTTCATGGTTACCTTTGTGGAGATTTTTAGGATAAACCAAAATATATGTGTATAAATCCAAGTGTGTACTCAAGGAAAGAGAATAATATTTGCTGAAATAGCCTGTGGAGCCAGAAGTCAGGTCTGTAGCCATTTCATCTGTCAAGACTCTTGGAGAAGAAACTACAGATGTTTCTGTACCGCTACAGCACTCACAACAGTGTGATGTTACTGCCTGAATGTGGAAGATGAAGATTAATGTGAATTGCTCTTTCTAAGGAGTTCCACCTTGTACATGTCCAAGTGTCTTTAAATTTGGACAGAATAAGACTACAGTGATATATGGAATGTACTGAAGAGGAAAACTGGTAGAAAAGGCCTGTGGAGGATGAGGTTGGTTGAGGAGATGCAGAAGCAATCCATCACCTGTGTGTATGACTTCACTGTATTCCACTGATTCCAACAGATCTCACCTGCTTATAATAACTAAAAGCTTATTCTAGTATAACAAAACTAAGAAAATACCTTTGTTGGGATGAGTCTCACCTCTGGAAAGTAGGGCAGAGGAGCAAGGTTGCTCCTCTCAAGATTCTGTGGTTTTAGGTGTATTAAATCTTCTGAACTGCTTTTTTAAAGGGGGGGGAAAAAAAAAGGCAAGGCAGCACAGCTAATTCTTTTAATGTTTTTAAGGTAATGCTGATCATCTGGAAGAATGGGGGAAACTAAAGGTAAGCTTGGTAGTGTGTAAAAAATGGAGCCCATGGGACCCTTTCTGTTAGATCTAAACAATCAACCCTATTTCTTTGTTTCTGTCAAAGGCTATAAGAAACTTCCAGCTTTCATGTGAGCAGGTGATGTTTCCCGAGACCCCTGCATCTTCAGGTTTGTGTTTGATGTTATCCTTGTAGAGGCTTTCCCTCCCAGAATCATTTGAGAATGGGCTGGGGGAGAAATCAGCTGTTTGAGGGGATGCATATATGTGGGATGTGAGGTATAAGTGGAGGTAGATTCTACAATTTCCATAGTTATTGTTCTAATCATAATTGCTTTTCTTAGTTTCTTCAGCTGCTAACTGAGGATGCTACGATTACTTCAGTTATTCACAGCAGTGTTCTGTGACCTCTCCTTGCTTGGTGGTTGAGCATTTCAGTGCACCTAAGTACCCAAAGTATTTATTGAACACCTGAGTAAAGTTTCTCATCCTCTCTGACTGATTTAAAACTGCCAGTGGAAACAATCAGTATAGACTAAAGTTTTAATCAGTTTTGTTGCTTTAATATACTGGTGAATGTGATTTTTCTGTTAAGGTTACAGCTCTTTTTTAACCTGATGTCTTTCACTTTTCTACAGTTCATACTCTGAGGCCAGCTGACATTAAAACAGTCACTGCAATAGGAAGTTTGCAAAGAGTAAGTACAAGCAGGAAGTGTGCTAAACATGACCCATTTCCTCCCCTATGATGGTGAAGAGAGCTGATGATGTAGTTTGGGGTCACAGTTAGGGCATTCAGGACTTGAATCTTTCCACAAACATCAAAGGCTTCTGGTGAAAAATGACTGGAAATACGTGCTGTTCAGTGTTCCAGTATAACCTGAGACTAAAAACAGCCAGCTGACTTCGTGCAGGAGGAAATGTGATCACAGTGCTCTTGCAGAGAACCATAATATTTGATTAGAGTGCTTGGGTTTTCCTAACGATGAGCATATCAGATCAATTGACTGGAAGAAGAAGCTGAGAAAATTCAAACTGGAATAATTTTGCTGATCACCAGTAGAACAAATTATTAAGAATTGCAGTAGATTTTCCACCCTGTTGAAATGCTTTCCATAGAAACTGGTTTCCTACCTAGAAGGCAGAAGGTCTATAAGAACCACAAAGATGTATTTCTGATGTATGAATCAGTGGGTAAAGTTCTCCTGCCTGTTCTATTACAGTGAGATTTGGTTGATCTTTACTTACCTTACTAGTTGGAAATGAATATCAGAAATAGATCTGAGGCCCAGTTAAAAGCCTCTAACCACAGCTCTCAGTCTTTAAAGAAGTATAGAAATGCACAATGGACAAAAATTTGTAGCCATTGCAAGTCTACAGCTGCAAAGAAGTGGGGGAGATTCTGCCTTATCACAAAACAACTTTCAGATTTGAGGTGGTATTCATCAAGACCTCATACTTTTCCTTGGGATAAACGATTCCTATTAGAAATTCAGCACTCCTGAACTCCTTGTGAGTAGCTCTCTCTTTGAAAGGAAATAATTGTCTTAACTGCAGAGGCGCAGATGTGTGGTCCTTTAGAGCAAGGGTTTGGTCTTTTTTTGCACTACTGTCTTTATTGGTTGTGGATGGTGCCGTAGAAAAACAAAGAAATGATCTTCTTTTAAGGAACGTCTGCTTTCCTAGAGCAAACATTTCTGCCACTGTCTTCTCCACACACCATCTGGAATCAGTGATGTTCCTCTGTTACGTTCAGGGGTTTTTAAATAGACACCATATTGGCTGAGTACCATCCGTGTAAATTAGCTAAATGAGTTCTGGTAATGTCCCTTGTTGAAAAGGAGTAGATCCTGAGAAATTTAGTTTAGAGCAGCATTTCATTTGACTGAATTTGTGTTCAGCTAGGCAAATTTAATTTTAAGCCATGTGTAATACATTCATTAATGAAAGTAGTAACTAAGAAAGGATTACCAGGCTGTGGAAATGCACTGTACTAAGGAAGCTCTGGAAAATAAGTGTGTGAGTAACTACAACACGATGGAGAAGACTATGTAGAAAAAGATGCAACCTATACAGAAGTGGGTTATGGTAGGGGTATGTATACATGTAGCGTACGTAGAGTTAGTTTGCCCTTTGCTTAATGCTATTCTTCTTGCTTGTTTGTTCACAGGCTCCGGGTTCTGATGTACATCATGAGGATTTACTCCAAAGGTAACAATCATTTGTTAGCATTGACAAATGTCATGATACTAATTTTACAGTATCACAGTGCAAGAATTATGCCCAAGCAAAATTATTATTGTTTTCTAGAGAGGAGGAGAAAGACTATGTAAGATATAAAGCATTTTAGGATGCCGGATCTTTCTCAATCCTTGGATAACAGAAATCCTTTCTAGTTTGCAAGATATAGAACTACCTTAGGGTTGCAATAACTTTGATTAAGAATCATTGCTGCATGATGAATCCTAAGTAGTAAATATCATCATTCACTAGTCAGAGACCAGGAGGCAAGGATTTATTATAGCAAAGAAAGCACCTAGGAGTCCTGACACCCTGTATCACACAGTATCACAGTATGCTGGAGATTGGAAGGGACCTCAAAAGATCATCTAGTCCAATCCCTGTCCTCTGCTTGAATTATTCCCAGTGCTTCATGGACAAGCTTTACCCCATTTTCATCTTTCATGTCCCCTTAGAAGATCTAGATCAACGAGTGAATATACAGCTAAACCTTGTAGATGCAAGGCTGTGTTATCTCTTGTGGGTCACAGCATTCCAGATGAGGATTTGGCCCTGCACAGATGAACTTTAAAAGACTATTTTACTATTTTTCTCAAACAGTTGCATAAACATCTGTGCCCACTTGTATGTGGGTGCCCACAGAGAGGTCCCTGCATTACTTGTGCCTATGCATAAGCACAATTATTGCAACATGCCTAGTGTAGAGACACAAAATTTGGGCTCGAACGCTGTGTTCTTACTCAGCAGTAGCTGATGACATGATAGTTTTGGGGAAAGAGAGTCCCCATTCTTAATTTCAGCAGCTGCAGTGAGCACTCATTCTGAGCTGTAGCGTAGCTAATAAGAAATAGAGGCTGTGCTGTAATGTGACTTTTTTCTTTGAGAAATGGAATAACAGCAACTTCCTGTTTTCTCTTCCTTTTCTATAGCACAGGAAAGAGCTTCCTCGAAGTGAGCGTGGAAACTTTAGCAGGTGCGTCTTGCTGCCACACCGAAAACGGAGCCAATTGATTGAACAGCTCACTGACAGGGGTGTAAGGGAAGTCTAAGGGACAGTGTGCTTGGGGTACATGAGTATAGTCAGGCTGGGTTACCTGTGCTGGCTTTAAAGAGGCTGTCTGGGTACAAAAATAGCAGTGAGGAAGGGGTGCTGCCGTGTGCTGCAGGAATCTTACATGACCAACAGGGATTTTTTGGGCTGCTGCTACTACCCATGCCACAGTTTCTGCTGGTGTGTGCTTGCTGCACGTGCTAGTCCAGAGAAATCTTGTGTGGGTTTGTCTGTCCAGTACTCTTCCTGCTGCCCTGTGTTCAGGATTTACATTGGGGCTGCCATAGATGCACCACATAAACGAATTATTCATCATTCAGCTGGTTCCAGCTGGCTCTGAAGGCAGCCTGGACTTGCTTGAAGGGTGTTGCAAGTAAAACCTTCAGGTCCACTGAAATGTTGAGCTGCAATAGCTCAAGGATTTGACTCTCAAAACCTGCTTCTCGGTGTCTTCACATCACCTCCATTTCCCTTTGAAAGGGATTAAAAACCTGGCAGCTCAGCACTGCAGGAGGCTCTCTCCAGGTAGACCTTTCCAGTACCTTTCTATCTAGAGCTGCCTGTATTTAAATCCACCTAAACCACTTGCAGCTGACATGAGAGATGGGGGATGGAGGTTTCTGACTGACCTGAGTCTGAAGGCAAAATCAGGCACCAAACCTCCACTTCAGAAGGTGAGGAGCAAAACCAGCAAGAAGAGTTGCAGAGGGGCTTTAATGCCTGCCAAGATATCCTCAGACTTTATATTTTCTGGCTGCTTTAGTTCTATTGTGTTTATAGTGAAGTGGCAGAGTAACAGTCCCTTGTGTGCAGAAATCGCCTAACCTGTGTATGTCTTTCAGCTCTCATTAGCAGTTTTAATCCCTTGGTCCTACACCAGTCTCCTCTGCTTGGCACAAAGGGAGAGACACCAGACAGTCAAGCCATGTGAGTCTGAGGGTATTTCACTGGGCAGTTGATTTGCCGCTGGCAAAGGGTAGGATGGAAGCCTTTTACACTGCAGCAGTTCACTGGACACCCAATATATTCAGTGGTGGCAGAGGCTGCACTGACACTCCAGAGGCAGACCCTCCCACTGTGGCTCAATTGTCACCTCTCGGAGGTAAAAGGGACAAAGCCCACTGTGCAATTTGGGGTCTGGATCATCTAACCTAAAGGCCTCCATCTTTATATCTGGGAAAACAATTTTTTTTGGATCAAATAGAATTAGAGATGTGCCTACCAAGCCGTGCCTGCTGTTTTCATCTAAGAGCGCATGTCTGAAAGTGAGATGCCTGAATATGAGCTAATCACTCCAGGCTCTCTGTGTAGCACAGACAAGTGCCTAATCTTAACACATTTAGGAGAGCAAAGATTAGTCCCACCTGAAGTCTCAAATGTTGCTTGATTTAATGGTAAAAATCAGCCAAAGCTTTACATTTAGCGATGCTTTCATAGTTTCTCTTTTCCTTTCTGCTTTTCAGAGACCTCCTGCATCAAGCTGAAGAAATAGTGAAGCTCATGAAAGAGAATCAGGTTTGTTTAAAGCACAGGACAATTCAGAGAGTTTGGTGTTGAAGCAGGAATAAAGGGAGAAATGTGATTAAATACTCTGACAGCACTCAGAAGTCTCTTCAAAAGAGAAAATGCCATTTCTTGGGGTTAATGGACTTTGGTCTTTCTATTGTAAATAAGAATCAGTTCTGTACCTTTCAATTAAAGAGTTTTGTTCTCAAAAGTGTCCCACCTGGTTTCCGATTATCAGTGGCTGAAGAGCTTGGTAGGGGAGCCAATACGTTTGCTTTCTTTTGATTAAGGATGCGAGACCTCTGCTAGCTACACTCTCTAATGGTGCCAGCGTTTCTGAGAAGTCAACACCCAAAGCCAATTCTCAGTATTTGTCTCTTCAGTTTCCTCTTGATCATTTAGGGTCATATTTTCAAGAAAGACAGAAAAGACCTAGATACGCTTTGGCTGGTGTCAGTGGTTGACGCTGGTGAGACCTTGAATTATTACTCATGGCTGAGTGCTTTGTAAATCCCATCCTGCAGTTTTATGCATTCTTTTTTCTTTTATTCTTAACCCTGAAGCACTTTATTCTGTAAAATGGCCTTGACATAATGGGAAAATGTAATTGGCAAGGCGATTCTGCTGTTGCCTCCTTGCTCTACAGGAGCCCATTGGACTGTTTGTACATGGACTTGGCATACATTTGGGGAGCTGAGTAGTTTGAACCCACGCTCTTTAGGATTGGCCTAATAAACAGCTGAGAAGGGCTCTGGCGCTCAGATTCTTGCTCCAGTCTTCATCTTACTAGTGTGACCCAGTCTCAGCACTTTGGGCATGTTAACCCTGTCAGCAAGCTGTGACACTGATGGAAAGAAGCAGCATGAAGCTCTGCGCTGAGTTGTGTGTGCTCAACTTCTCAAATAGACTCCCTGATGGCAGAAGGAATTTCTGGCTCTATCCTGACATTTTTATAGCTGACAGCTTTAATTGCAGTATTTGCTGTCTCTAGGGAAGAGCTGGACGGCTTGTCAAATGGAAGGGATCAGGACAACCAGGGTTGGGCCATGGACTACTGCTTGGTCTTGTTGATTTAAAGCCATAACAAATCTTCTGTGAGGAAGGAAAACACCAAACAGGTCTCTTATTGTCCTATTCCTTCAATTTTATTTTTTCCTCCCAGATGATGGACTTCCAAAATGACTGGAAACTGATCACAGTTTTTTTTAGTGCTGAATGTTCTTCCTGTGCCTCCACACAACTGGTAAGCTTTTAACAGGGTGGTTTAGCAGGGAGGTGATTAAGACACTTCCCCAAAGTCTGCTCTCTGCCATAGTGAACCAAAAGAGCAGCTACTTTTGGGATGATGGAATTAAAATCCAGTGATTTCAGCTCCCTGCACATAGAATCATAGAATAGTTACTGTTAGAAATGACCTTAAGACCATCCAGTTCCAACCCCTCTGCATTGGGCAGGGATGCCTCAGACTAGACCATGTTCCCCAAGGCCCTGTCCAACCTGGCCTTGGAAACTGCCTGGGATGATGTGCTTTGTATTTGTAAACATCTGCATTTAATTTGTAATCTCAAGTCTGAGATGCCTTAGGAGAACAACTCTTACCTACCTTCAAGTATAGATGCTTTTCTTCCCCACCCGTGTCATTTTTAATATGTTGTCTAATTATAGGCAGTTAAATTGCAAAACTGGTTCCATGCTTTTTTTTCTTGGTGCTGACTAAGGTTGAATCCAGAATATAGTGGTTGTTGGTAACCTTGCAGTACACAGCTCAACACATAGGGTTTGTGACTTTTGGCAGATTGATAACTTTGGTTTTTGTACTAGTTGTGATGGCATTTCTTATTTCATTTACAGAAGAGCTGCATATTGGACACCCTGGAAGAGCTTAGAACTGTCTTGGATTTTTTGTATAAAAAGGTAAGATTTATTCATCAACCTTGAATACCTGAATCCTTTGCTTTTTTTCCAGGTCTTGCTGGACTAGGGCTTGCACCACTGACTTAAAACACCGGCCTCTTTGATTCCAGTCCACTGGCTCCATTCATTGTCGCTAAGTGTTTTATAAGAACAGATGGGTAACAGCTTCACTTTGCAACACAAGCTGATGTACCATTCCCTCTTTGGTTTTTTGTTTTTTTTTAAAGTTATTTCTATGAAAAATGGAGTATATCTGTCTAGATCTGAAAATCATTCATGTTTAACGGGCCTGGTTGTAAAAAGAATTGATATCTAATTATTGGATGTGTAGAGCTACCTAGGCAGTGTACAGGCTGCTAACTAGGTGATGACTTTAATGGACCAGGGAAAACGCCCATTAAAAATATGTTTAATAGATCTTTTTTTTTCCTATTATGTGCTCATTTTAAGATAAAGGTTTTCAAGCTGGGAGAGTTAAGGATTATCTGCTTATCTGGAAGGATTTCTAGGAAATGCTCTGCGTTTTAGTCTACCAATGAATAGTAGACTAAATACAGATATATCACTACTAAAGCAGACTATGAACTGTTTACATGAAGTATCTCAATAGCATTTTCCAAGAATTTTGTTTTGCTGGACTGAAGGCCTAAAGGGTACTCTAAACCTGCTGCAGTTTGGTTGCATTAAGCCACAACCACTCATTTCTCTGATTGATTTCAACAAATGTTGTGTACGGGTGATGTTCCACCCACACATTCTCTCCAGATTCTCTCCACTATTACATCCAGAGTCTGTTTATGTGCACTTGTAAAAGTGAAATATCATTATGCAAACGGAAAACCGCTTTCTGCTTCAGGGAGAGGTGAGGTGGGATGCGCAAGTACTTGCGTTATTACACAGGACGTTTCATCCCCAGCTTTGCATTGGTATGTTGCCACAAAAATGGTAGTTCCTAGATCATCTGAGTTCAGTTAAATTGGCTGGTGGCCACTTTAGTTGTGTAAAATGAATTGCTCGGTCAAGAAGTCATGCTCACAAGTTTTCTTTGTGAATGATGTGCAACAATATTCTGGGTGGCAGGCATAGGAGTAGGGTTCAGAATGGAAGTGGTAAAGACGTAGATCATTGATTTTATGCAGGCAGAATCTCAGGCCAGAGGTAATACATGTGAAGCTGTAGATGTAATTTATCATTATCTCTACTTGCTGATCTTCAATTGTAAATATAATGTGATTAATTATTACTTTGCTACTGCAGGTTCCCAGGGCCTTTGTAAATCTAGTGGACTCTAGTGAGCTTACAACCTCATCTCTTGCATGCCAAGATTACAGTAATGTCAGGTAATAGAGGTTTCCTTAAGTTCTTGACACTGCTTCCTGCTAGTACTCAGGCACATAGCTATGTATACGTATTGATTTTATAACTGAGGTAGAGTCTTCTGAACAGTTTTTCTGCCTTTAAAGCATAAGTATGATTAAAGATTTTCTGTTTCCACTTCATTTCTGATAAACTCTCTCTACAAGGCATATTTTTACCAGGAAGAGCAGGTGCTTTAATCCTGCCAAGTCTGATAGTGTATGTTTAAATATTGGGGGCAGAATTGAGGGTGGGAAGAGAAAGCCTTGATGCTGTACAATCTCCATTCAGCAACGGCCAAAGCATTGGTGTGCTGTCAACAGTTTTAGCCACAAATCCAAAACACAGCACCATATGGGCTGCTGTGAAGGAAGTTAACTCTGTCCCAGACAGACCCAGTGCTGTCTGTGATTATGGTCACAAGTCTGCACAACCTACCTACCCCCAGCTCTTTAGTCAGTGCTAATTCTGCCCTGTAACTCTTGACTCAAAAATTCTAAAGTCGCCTTAAAAGTTTAGGAATCAGTGTTTGCAAAACTAACAATTGGTCTAAGCACGTTGTCAGGTTATGTGAAAACTACTGCTAGGGCTTAGGGTATTGTAGGATGGTGAACATCCAATTTGTTAGTTCCTTATGGTAACTGCACGCTCAGATGGTTTCATCCATCTTCCTTTCTTGTAACAAAAGTGTGAGTAGCTTACGCCCCAATTTAGTATGGAGTAGGAGTGTCCACATGGACAGTTATGATGGAGTAGTTTACAGCTGATAGATTCCACTCCATTTTACTCCACAGTAATTTTATTCCTGTGCCTGTGGCATAAGATACCATATGTACTAATATAGTCGTTCTGAAGTGTTTCACAAGCTTTGCATGTATACAACCCAGGATACATTCCGTTAATCAAGGAACGGGTCTGGCTGCTGTATAACCATGTGCTTAGCAACGAGTATAAGCAGAATTGAAGCCTTCCTTTTCAAGAGTGACTGCATGCAGCATTCTAGCTTATATCTCCTGCAATAAGGGGGAAAATGTGAGACAGGTAGATAAGAGAGATTTAGGAATATGGGCCTTGCCATATGTTGAAGGTCTTAAAAAACAAAATTAAATAGATCTAATCTTTTTTCCTCTGAGCAGTTTTTACATTTCCTTTTCAACTGAAGGCATTTTGCTTTCTCACTGTCAGCATGGTCTTATAGCTGTGTTTATCTGGTGGAACAGTTCTACCAGTTTGCAAGCCTTGTACTTCATGGTTTGGTAAACTCCTGGATTCATCTGTGCCTCAGACCCAGGCTGTCTCCCAGATAAAGGGCTTGGCATTTGGCTATCAAGACCTCATTTCAAACTGTACTTTGAGCAAAAACATAACCAAGTGCCAAAAGATGAGATTTCAAGAGTCCAAGAGGACAGCAGTGGCTGATATTCCCAGCCCCATATCAGTACCTAATTTTAGGTATTGAAGTCTGGAACATAATAGGGTTTTAAAGTCCCTTCCTTTATTATTTTTTTACTAACTTACTCACAAAAAAGTGTTGTCAGTCCCTGCCAGTGGCAGGGGTTTGGAACTAGATGATCTTTAAGGTCCCTTCCAACCCCAACTATTCCATGATTCCAAACCATCCAGGCAATTTCAACTGAGTATATCTTTGCTGGATATTATTCTTAGATGTATCCTATTTGTTCCTGTATACAGGTCTGGGTTTTCCAGCTAGCTGCAGAAATATCTCGCATGCACATCTTGCCTTGTAGGTTAGAAACCTGGCTGAGACTGGTTAGCTGCCTGACAGCACCTGGCTATCCTTTAGCATATATAAGCTTTTACAACATTGAGCTTCCATTCACATTTCTAAATGAAGGTCTTGTGGCTGTTACTAAGGCAAAAGTTCATGTGGAAGCACTTTGAGTGTGTTCAGTTTTCCTATGTGACTACAGAGAGGGAAATGTTTGAAACGTGCTGCTGCTGCTATTTTAAGCCTGAGCATGCTGCTAGTTTGTAAGCCCCTGTGCTAATCCAAGTCTGATGTATCTGTCATCTGAACAGGTTTTCAAATCAAGAAGTAATTCAAACCTCTGGGTTTAGAAATACAGATTATTCTATGTTTATATCAAAAAAATTAGGATGTTGCATGTTTATCAGAGGTTCATAATGTCGTTCATGTTTTTTATTCTTTTCTGCAGCAATCCAGGCAGGAATCAGTGCAACTGTGTTGGTGAACACCCCCCATTAGATGAGAACATATTGAGGTGGTCCTATTACGTATGTATGGCATCTTCTGTGCTGTTTAGTTCTCACAGATATGTCTATTCATTTTCCAGATTGGACTGAAGTGAAGAGTTAAGGGAGGAATAGCAGTGAGGAAGTTGAGTACCAGCCTTTTTACCATGAGTCCATAGCAATCCTGACCCCATTTCTTTAATCAGGAATATTGGAGATAAGTTCTCTCTATACCTGAGTGATCTTAGTATCTGTTGAAGTTTCTAATGACTATATAGCTTTTTGGCAACCTAGGATTTGTCATATCCCATCAAAGAAATGATCCATCTTGTCCAGGCACCTGCCACATGGTTTAGAAAAGGGAAACCTTCTGTTAAGACTAATAGAGCTGGCTGGAATTCCTTTTAAAAATGACAGGGAAGCAATGAGCATGACATTTCATTGCCTTGCTAAGCCTTTCAGATTATAGTATATTAGTGTAGCTTTCTCATAGCCACAAGGAGTTTCCAATTATTGTTTAAAAAGATTTCATTAAAATACTGTCTTTGTTCTGGATTACACAATTTTATTACTGTGGTTTACTAGGAATGGGGATAATCTTTAAGGCCTGGCAAATTGCACACATATTACACTCTCTACCTGATAATACTTATCTGGTTAAATGTTTGTTTATTCAGGATGCTTGGGAAAAACTGCTGGTGTCCAAGAGGTTTGATCAAAAGGATGACTTCACTGTCATTCTTCAGCCTTCTCTCCAAGAAAGAAATCTGCTGCTTAGACCAGTGAGTAAACTTGAGTTGCTCCATTCTTTCTAGCTTGTACCTGCTGAGATTCAGTGCACTATTCAGCTGGCTCTTTCCTGTCGAGGCTGTGTGTAATGCTAGAAGACAAGGGTAGTTCATCCCTGATTATGCTCATGTGTGTTTGGCAACAAAGGCAGAAAGTGGGTAACAGGAACTATTTATAAATGGGGGTGTGTGGAAAGGGGGGAAGATTAAGGTTATGTCATAGGTAAATTCTGTATTTCTTCTGATTCCAAACTCTTCCAACAGTCACTTTCATTTAAAAGTAAGCATGATCTCTTAACACAAGTTCTGCCTGCTTCCACTTTTTATATGCATGCAAGTGTTACCTATAGGAAGTGTTGTTTATTCCAAATCACTTATGTGATCATATCTGCATGTTTCCCCCATCACCTGTATGTCACTGTTGTGATTTTGCTGTGTCATTGCTCTGGTTGTCCTGTCCTGATGATGTGCAGTTCCCTCACTGCTGCCTTATGGTGGTAGGTACAGCAGCCGTTTACAAGACCACCATTTGTTCCGTCTTAATGCACCAGTAGTAACTGAGATTGGCAATAAGTGGCTTAATGAGAGTACCAGAGATTGATATTCTTGTGGATATAAATATTATTTTATGGATTGAGACTTTTGCTATGGAATATCTCATCTTTCCATACTCTCAAGTGTTTTCTAGCGCTCAAAATGCTTTCTCTTTCAGGGCAGGGATGCTTTCATTACCACTTCAAAGACACAAGTGGAAACTCTGGAAGAAGTTTATACCATCATGGCTTTGGGCCTCTGGAACAACATGGTGAGTAGTACCACAGGCACTGTTACTTACTGGACTTAGTATGGATGCCTGGTAGCTGCTTCGCACTAGCCAGGCTTCGAGTAGCAAATAGGCAGGGGAATGGAGAATATAGGAAAGAAAACACCCCATGAGTGCTATCCTAAGCTGTACAGGGAGACTGATCTTGAATAATGCTAAACGCCTTATGCCCTCAAGACAAATCTCTTGCTGTTCTGTGGCTGCTACTTACTATGAAGAGCTTTTTAGAAAGGTTTCCAAAGTAGCCCTTTGGGAAGTCTCATGGAGTAAATGAGCTGTGACAATCCCTTCTTTTGCTAGTTTAACTGCTGTGACAGGGCAGCACAGTGACAAGTGAGGCTCATTCTAACCTGAAATTATAGTGATAATACTCTTTTATATACTCTGTCCTGTATCCATTCCACTGCCTTTACTAACAAGTCTCTTAACATTGCCTCCTTAACCAGCATGCCTCACCTGCTGCTGCTCATAGCAAAAAGGTGCTAGAAAGCCTTTAGGACCTCCCGTTACCTCCTCAAGAGCTGGGCATCCTGGGTATCCTACCCAGCTGATGAAAGCAAATAAACAATGCCTTCTAATGGGTGGGAGAGGGTGTCTGAAAGGACCAGGGACTCTCCAACTCTCCACTTGACCTTGAACGCAATGACCAAATCTGTAGGAGGCTGTTTCTTTTGCCCACCTGAGCTGCTGACACACAGCACTTCTGTGTATCACTGAGTGGATGCACATACAGCTGCAGGGGTTTGTATTTTCAAATGGATGGTGGGAGCAAGTGAAGAAACAGGAGTTGCTTTTCGATAAGACGAGGACAAAAAAGCAGGAGTGTGGTTTTGGGTTCACCAGTGCCATTTAAGTTAGACTGAAGATAGACTGGTTTGGGTTGGAATTGACTTTAAATTTCATCTAGTTTCAACACCTGCCACAGACAGTGACACCTTCCACTAAACCAGGTTACTCCAAGCCCCATCCGATATGGCCTTGAACACTGCCAGGGATGTGGCAGCCCCAGCTTCTCTGGGCTACCTGTTCCAGTGTCTCACCAACCTCACAGTAAAGAATTTCTTCTTAATATCTTATCTAAATCTTCCCTCTTTCAGTTTAAAGCTATTGCCCTTTGTCCTATCCCTACGTGTCCTTGTAGAATGCTCCTCTCCAGAAAGGTCTCCCTGGAGCCTTCTCCAGGCTGAACAACCCCAACTCTCTCAGCCCGTCTTCATAGGAAGGGTGTTCCATCCCTTTGATAGTATTTGTGGCCTCCTCTGGACTTGCTCGAGCAGGCCCACATCACTCTTGTGTTGGGGCTCCAGAGCTGTACACAGGACTTAGGTGTGGTCTCATAAGAGTGGAGTAGAGGGGAAGAATCGCCTCCTCTGACCTGCTGGTCACGCTCCTGTATCTGGGCTTGGGATTGCCCCAACCCAGTTGCAGGACCTTGCACTTGGCCTTGTTGAAGCTCATGAAGTTCATACAGGCCAACTTCTAAAGCCTGTAAGGTCCCTCTGGATGGCATTCCGTCCCTCCAGCGTGTCAGCTGCACCACAGAGCTTAATGTCATCGGCAGACTTGCTGCTGATGCACTCAATCCCACTGTCCATGTCACCAACAAAGATGTTGAACAGCATCTGTCCCAAAACTGACCCCTGAGGACCACCACTTGTCACTGGTGTCCACTTGGATGTTGAGCTGTTGACCACAACTCTCTGAGTTTGACCACCCAGACAGTTCCTTATCCACTTGTCAAATCCATGCATCTCCAGTTTAGAGACAAGGATGTCATGCAGGACAGTGTCAAATGCTTTGCCCAAGTCCAGTCAGATGAAGTCAGTCACTCTTCCCTTGTTCACCATTGTAATCCCATTGTAGAAGGCCACCAAATTCGTCAGGCGTTATTTGCCCTTTGTGAAGCCATGTTGGCTGTCACCAGTCACCTCCTTATTTTCCATGTGCCTTGACATAGTTTCCCCAAGGATCTGCTCCATGACCTTGCAGAGCATTGAGGTGAGATTTTATCTTTTAGTTAAAGTTAGTAGGAATTTGGTTAGTTAGTAGGAGTCAAAGAGTTAAAAATTGATCAGCTGTTGAAGCTTTAGCCTTGAAATAACCATGCTGCATTCAGATATCTCCTTTGCTGTTATCTGTGGCATTCCTCATGATGATGCCAAAGTTCCTACATCCATTCTTCTACCATAAAACAGATGTTGTAGTAAGATACATGTTGTCTTTTTTATCTTTCTTTTGCCTTAGTTCCACTTGGCAATCGGTTTTGCTAGTCGAATGAGCAAAGCAAACACTCAAAGTCAGATTCCTGAAGTGTGAATTTAACGTTGTCTCCGGTTTTGGCAGTTCCTTGTAAAGAAACTGAGTTCCCTTATCTGCCCATGCCTCAGTGTCACCATCAGTGTTGGAGATATTTACCTAGATTGTAAAATTACCATCACCTAAACATGATTTGTAAGACACAAGAAAGCAGTGGCATATCCCCTCCAGATAATAAATTGAAACCAGTTTAGAGCAAGCCACACAAAGCATGGACATACAATTTGTTGTGAAAAGTGGCACTTTACATCTGCTTAGCATGTTTTTTTCCATCAGCAAATTATTGAAATTAAAGGCTGAATAAGTTTTACGCAGAAAATGAACGCTTCCAACTGTAGAGGGAGCACAGTGCCACCAGTTTGCCAGCCCAACTTTGTGCCTCTCCAGCAGGAATTGCTGGGCGACAACTGAACCAAATCTGTTGGATTCTGAGATCCGTCTAACTGTGGCAATAGATCAGCCTGAACTAATGTATTTCCTAGGGCTTACCAAAGCTGACCTCCAGCTTTGAGTAATGTCCTTTCTTTTTGTCAGCGTTCATGTACTTCTATGGGCTTTGCATTCATTTTTTTTTCCAAGTCTATACTATATCTCTTATTTATCTTTTTTTTTTTTTTCCTATGGCCTCTTACTGTCCAGCTTTTTAGATTTCAGTTTATGCAGAATCCAATACTAGGCATCTTGAATATTCTTTACATGGAGCATCATCCCCAGTGTGAAACAGGTATATTGCCTCCTCCAAATCCAGACTCTGTATCATGGGAGAGGGCCAGGATTTGTCTTCTGAAGTTTAAGAACTCATGCAGACATAGTCAGCTCAGCACTGATTTCTCTTTCTTGGCCTCTCAAATTCTGACACTTATTTTGCAACAAATTTCCTCTGTCCTTTCAGATTATATTTTATTTGCATCTTCTGCTAGCAAGAGTCTTCGTCTCTCCCTCTGCTTCTTTTTTATGTCCCAAACCTATTTCTGCATAGACTTTATTTTGCCTCCTGGGCATTGTCCTTGAGAATCTCGTTCTTTGGTGTGTCGCCACTATTCTTGCCACTTTAAATGCTGGGAGCATTTTGTTGGAAGAGCAGAGGTGAGAAACTATGAGCAAAATAAAGTGGTACTTTTAAAGATGACTGCATTAGGGCTGGACAGCATTCTGGAACATCTACTGTAGGTCGTGCTTTGCCTAGAAATGCTGGACCAGGTGATGCTTGAGGTCTCTTCCAACCTGGTATTCTATGACCGACTCTATGATTCCCCTCTGTTTTTCTGCCTCCTCTTTGATTTGTGAAATTTCCTTAATGCAGCTGGCAACCACCAGAAAGACACCTCTCTGGGCTGGTTCTTTGTCTCCCTGTGATGGTGTTCTGCCATGCTGCAAAAGCAGACAACACGGCAGATGCTTTCAGTGTAAAAAGCACTGGCAGGTGTCCTTACCTGGTAAAGGTCACTCTAGTTCTTCTGGGAAGTCCAGGTAATGATTTATGCTGACTGCTTTAAATACAAAACCAACCCACCCACAATGCAGTATTTTGGAACTGGTAGGAAATCAAGACTTGCCAAGCAGCAAACACAGCAGAATGAGGTGCCTTTAGAGAATTTCCCCCCTCCTCCTCCTCCTGCTGTCTGCCAGGCTGCCCTTACCTTGTTCTGAGGCTTGGGACAAGCCTTTTTCTTGAAATGATTACCTGCTTACTGGCCAAAGGGCAAAACCTTGAAAATCTAGTGGCAGTTGGCAGTAGGACTGCACTTCATTCTGACTGAGAATTAGCTGAGCTAGCAAGCGCTAAGGACTTGTCCTAGGCATGGCTGGATATTTTACCGTAACATTACTAGCTAGCTAGGAGGAAATCAATTCTTAGGCTGAACACATCACAGAACAGTCAGCTAAATGACATTGAGTAGCTAAATGACACTGGGTAGATAGGAAAAGCTGAGAGAGGTTGATTGTTTACTTGGACAGCCTTAAATATCTGCTACAGAGCCTGATTGATTAATTTTGCCAATTGCCTACGATTTTATCTCTGGAAATACATCCAGGAGCAAAGCTTTCATGTGTGTTAAGAATTTAGTCAAGGAGTTCTTGCTTTTGTGTTTGGCATTCTTTTCTGTAACAGAAGCTCTATCCCACAACCAAGATGGAAACTCAAACCTGGCAAGAACCTGAATGGGAACAGCACTGCAGGAAACTGCCTGTGCCCCTCTTCTGCATTCAGGGGTTTATACTGACTTAGAAACTGCTACAGCACCAGAGCAGACCTCCACACTAGTTTACCTGCACGACAAATGTGCTGGAATTCAGGGAACGTTTTGGGTGACCACCATACAGACTTGGTGCCCAATTTCCTGAGCAGGACCTTGCAGCATTACTGCATGGGAGCTGTGTGTCTTTGCTGGGAGAACAGTGTCTCTGAGCCATCTGGAATTAGTTGCCTCCTGGGGAAATTCATTCTCATCACCCAACTCCCAACAACATACAAGTGTCTAATACTTGCCTGAAATTCATTCCTAGCCAAGAAACTGCACTGTTGTCCCATGTCCTGTGGGATGGTTCTGTGCTGGAAGCAAAAGACATTCTTTTAAGAATGTCATTAAATAGCTATGCTGTTTTGTCCTAGGAGGATAGGAAAGTGCCAGCTCCCAGTGTATCTTTTCTCTGAGCTTCATTATTTTGTGTGTTTCAGATACATTCCTTTTATTCCTATGTCTCTCAAAAAAGCACAGACTCTTTCTTCAAATGCTTCTTTCAAAGAATATCAACTCTATAAACCTCAATTTCTCTGACTTTTCCCATTATCTTCATTGATGGAACAACCAGACCAGAATATAACGTCCCTGCTCAGAATGTATTGGTGACATTAAGCCTGCTATTGTTGTGTTTTCTAGTCCCTTCAATACTGTTTCTTTAGCCTGCTGTTTCTGGCAGCTGCTGCTGGTGGTGCAAGCTGAGCAGACGTTCACTGAGGAATCTAAACCAGTGGCCAGCTCCTTTGGGTGTGATTTGCTATTTAATTAGAACCCAGCAGTGATTCTTTGTGCTGTCAGTATTGAATCATTCCATAATTTCTCATTAACAACAATCCCCTCTCCATCTTGTTAAAGGTGGCCAACAAATACAAATATTATCAACCCTTTATGCAGAGTTAGAGTCACCTTTTGATGTTGTCTAAGGTGTATGAAAATGTAGAGAAGGTGGGATAAATTAGCAAGCTTTTCATTGCATGGGCTACAGCCACCATAGGATTGGTGTGTGACTATATGTCACGTATGTGTTATACCCCATGGTTCTGACTTTGCTGCAAAATGAGCTTGCAGCAGCAGTACTTAAAGACAGTGTTCATGAGACAGAGGGAAAGAAGTTAGTGTAACATGAATATATCACCAAATGGAAGACTTTTAGTTTTGTATTAGGGGTTTTGTACTTTCTGCTTCTGAGGTACAGCAGTGTGGACTTACCCAAGCTTTCAGTGTATAATCTTGAGCCTAAACTTCATTTTCCAAGCAGTTTCAGTAATACTGTATTTACTTCAGATTTTCAGTCTACTCGAAGTTGCTTTTCCACCCACTCAAAATCTTCTGTGTTTCTTTACACTCTCATATGAAAACTCTAAACTCACAAGTGTGCCTTTCTTAAGCACTTGTGAGCATGGTTTCACTGCCTGCGAGAAGATATGTGGTGTGTAAGTCCTGGGAGGACGGGCAGAGTGCTGTTGTTACCGGGCAGCTGAGCTGTGGCAACCCACCCTTTGCTTTGTCATACCCAGCCCAGGTGGGAAGTAAAACTGGCTTGCAAATGGCAGTATAGTTTAAGCTGTGTACCATAAGGCAGGGGGAGGCAGAACTAATTATGAGGATGGTTTAAGCTTTGCTTATCTAGAGCTTGTCTACAGTTACTATGGTTGAGCTGATAAATAGCAACTTAACTGCAAGTAGCTGAATATTGTAGTATCAGATCTATGCCTTGTGGGAAAACACACTTAACAGGGTCGGCATTCCCAAGAGCAGAGCTTATGGGTGGATGGTTGTGGTGGGATGACAGTCTAATCATGTGAGAGGCCTTGTTTTCTTTCAATTCCTTACTTTATAGGTATTCATCTGGTATGTTATACATACATAAATATTTATCATAGGCAAAACAAGTTTTAAACATATATATGGGCATGCTGGAAAAACTCCAGGCACTACAGCCTTTGGGTTGCTGCTGCTCTCCCTTCCTTCCCGCACCTCCCACACGCAGAGTGTGTGCAATTCCTCTGTTCTCTCCTTTTCCAGATGGAGCCAGTTGGGCAGAAGCAACCTTACGGTGTCACAAAAACGTTTCAGGTTCAGTGTCCATCTCAGGTAAAAGGGTTTCCTTATTGCTGTGAGATTTTATTTACTCTTTGGAGAAATCCCAGGTTTTCAAATGGTGCTGTCATTTTCTGAAGCTGTTGGGAACACGCACTTGGCCAAGGCATTGTGCTGTTAAAAATTCAGTGTTCTTAAAGTTCATTGATGCAGAGTCTTCTTTTCAGGGTTTTATCTTTATGAAATGAAAAACTTTTGACAAAACTTAGTTTAATCATTTTACCATGTCAGGCTTTTTTATTCAAAATATAACTGGCTAACCTGAATTTGTTAATTGTGGATCAGAGGTGTGTCAGCAATAAAACTAAGTCTATGTATTTTTATATAACTTGCCTTTTCTGTGATTTGACTGTCTGCTGTCAGGTTTAACGATTTTGGCCCCTGGAGCTGTCAGTAGCACAGTAATATCTTCAGGCTCTGAGCATCTTTGGTTCGAAGAACAGGTTCTTGAATGCTTTTTGCATTTAAGCTCTGACTTCAGTAATTTGATAGTGATAAAATATTACTGGCACCCAAAAGCCTCACTGAGCAGCAATTAAAACATCAAAGAAATTCAATTATCTGTTTTGTTTGATGTTAGGTTTAAGGCAAGAGCTGGTGCTGTGCCTAGAGCATACCAGGGATTCATTTTCAGGTCTAACCCGGTTTACTTCACTGGTGCATTGTCATCCAAAAATTAATACTGTAAAGATTTTCTCCTCTTGGAAAATCTAGCCAGAAGCAGACTGTGTTGCCACTAGCATTTCCACTCTCTTCACTCTGCAGGAAAATCCATATTTGTTCACATACAGAAACAGTAACTACTCATCCTCCCCGGAGACGTTAAACACCAAAGAAACATCTCAGGTATAGTAGGACTGTTTGTTTGCATCATATGGACTGAGTGTATTCCAGGGAGTAGGGCAGGTGGGTGAGAGTGTGTTGTAGCCTGATTAAACAATGCTACCCGAGAAAACTAAATACAGAACTCCAGCTCTTTATTTCCATGCTTGACTAAGTAGTCAGATGTTTAATAGCACATGGGTTTTGTAGAGTGTGATTTAAGGTAAACATGTTCAGCCAGCCTAAAGAGCATCTTACCTTCACAGTTAAGAATGTTTTTTAAACACCTGGATAACAATGTTAATTTCCCTGGGTTAAGCAGAGAGAGAAAATGGGGCCATTTAGTCCTACCGTGGAGGAAACTAGCTCAGATCAGTCTCACACCACTGTGTGAGTCTGAATTTGTCTCGTTTACACCATAGTGATAATGAAGAACAATGGAATTTTCAGTTTTCTTTTTGTGTGAGATGGTTGCAAATGAGATGTGTGGAGATCAACAGTCATGCTCTTTTCTTTTTTGTCATGGTACTCTGATTCTGAGCAGAACTTGGTGCTCCCAAGGGAGGTGATAACGCTCATTTTCATGTCCCAGAACATAGTGTCTAGACTATATCTGCACTCAAAATGGCCTGTATATCATTGGAATAGTAATCCATGTTTCTCTTCTCATTTTAATGTTGCCATCTGTTTTGTTAGTTACTCAGGGTGTATATACCTCTGCATTCGGCAGTGGTATGTACCACCCTGATTTTCGGTAGTAGCTATGGTGTAGGAGGTGAGAAGCAACACTGCGTTATGTTTGTGGGTTTTGGTTTTTGGTTGGTTTTATGAAAAATTATAAAACCAAAATGAAGCAATAGGACAAGACACACAAGTGTCTTTTCCCTAGGCAAGTTAGTCTACCTAAAGAGTTCTGTAGAGACACCTGGAGCAAACACATATCCTCGAGTCTTATCCAATGGTCTGCTGTGTGGCGTACTGATGGTCAGCTTTCACTAACAGTAGACCTTGGGGATGTTTCCATTAGTAGGCTGCAATCCAAAAGAGCCAGAAGGGCAAAACCCTGGCTGCACACAGAGAGATGCATGTGGAGAAGGCAGGCTCACAGTCTGCTGACAAAGGTACAGTTTAGTGCTGGTGCATTCCAGGGACATTCAAACACTTTCTCACAAGGAGATGTGAGCTCACTTCACTTGGAGTATGGGAATACAGAATTGATGCCCAGCTGAATGCAGCCACGGCCACAGAGTCTGAAATACCTGGCCCTACAGGTAGGCAACAACTGCATTGCACTGAAATGGCCATGCGACTTCTGAGGAGTCTGAGCTTGTGTCTGCCTTCAAGGGGCACTTGTAGGCATGGCCTGAGGACAGGGTGAGCTGAGTAGAGGTATACAAAGCATGCAGGACATTTGTTAATCTAATGTTCGGAGACATAAATCACTTATCATGACCACAGTATAGCGAGTCTGATGTGAAGCCCTGATGTGTGCTCTGTCTTTGCAGGAGAGAACTTACGGAACAAGTATTCCCTGTTTAGGCCGGGGTCCCTCTGATACAGCTCCAGTCTCAGGTATGCCCCTATGCGATTGTATTGTAGAGCTACTTCATTTAATGGTCAAAAGAGAAGAGGAACTGGGTGCAGTTAGGAAAGGTACACTTTTAGTTGAAGCAGTGCACTCTATTTCTGTGGCTTTGCTCCTTTTTGGAACTACATAAGTGGTTGTATAGCAAGACGCACATTCTCCCTCAAGGATGGTGAAAGCTTGTGCAACTGCACCTTCCATGTGCAAACAAAATGACAGTGGAAAAGACAGGAGGTAGTTGGGTTTATTCTTCAGTTCAGGGGTGGAAAAACTGTATGTATGGAATGGGGGCTTCTGTCAGTCTGGGGTGCGAAAAGCCACATGGAATTTTGTCACCAGGTGGGATTCATTTTCCCTCAGAAGCTGTGATTGTCCCCAAATTTTCAGCCTGTGTTAGCACAGAAGCTGTGCCTGCTTTTTAGTCATTTTCACCAGTTAAAAAACATTTGAGTAACCACAGATGCAAGACTGAAATCTTACTGCCTCCCTTGTCGCTGTAGTATTGGTATACCCACCAATAGTACCAAGAATCATTTTTGATTTGATGCCTTTCATGCCTGCAATTCTGAGCTGATGCTGTCATGAATACTAAAACACTGTCTTTGCAATGCTAACCAGCACAATTTGAAGTCTTCTGTCTTTCCTCTTTTCCTTACACTACCTTTGTTTTTTATGTGTTAGTTCATAATTTGAGACCAGCAGATATTCGGGTGATTGCTGCCCTGGGAGATTCTCTCACAGTAAGTAAAGGCCCCTGGGTAACCATCATTAGGTAATGAAAAAGCATTTCTGAATTTCTAACATGAGAAATAGAATGCCTACAGTTACACCCTATTGAGCTAAACACATTTGTCACATAGTCTTTCCTACACTCCACCTGGTCACGAGACAGATCACGAGACACAGATCTGAGTGCACAGTTCCCATTTAAAGTCCACAAGAGTGTCACACAAGGAAGAGCTGCAAGAATAGGTTGCGCAGCAGCAATTGGAGTGGGCTTGCACCAATTGCTTTTCTTTATTGATTTTAGGCAGCTCCCAAGCTATCAGTAAGCAGCGTAAATAGGAAAAAAAATTCTGCAGATAACTGTGTGTGTCTATGATAAATCTGTATATATGATAATATCAAAGCCTACAAAGCCATGTCCGTTTATACTAACTAAATACTGGAGTAAAACTGCGATACAACATCAGGTGTGTCAAGTGTAACTTATCTTGAGAACTTTTCTTGACGCTGTTCCTTGAACTCTGTAAACTCATTACCTGTAAATGGGCTGTGATTCTTCAATCAGTGATGACCGTTTCACTGCTCATATCGTAGTTCATGTTTCTCCCTGTTCTGTGCTGATTGCCACATTAAATCCTTGTAGTCTTCTTTCTTAGGGAAACTGGGGGAGGGAAGAAATAAAATCACTGTAGCACTTTTTAATATGAGGAGCATTATAACAAATTATTCACTCAGGACCATTGCTATCTTATTTATCCTTCATGTAAATTCAGGATATGAATACTTTGAACATTCTCAACCATTTTTTTCCCTGCTTAATCTAATGAAGTTGATAGAAGAGGGTAATTCACTGGCTTAGAGTTAAACTACCCTCAGCCCTTGATCCTCTTGAGAACAAGGATCTGGTTTATTTTAGGAACATGACGTAGCTTGCTTCATTAATGTACTCTTCAATTATTTTCACTAAGATCAGTCGGAGAGCTAGTTACTGTAGCAGTGTTTATTTTCTGAAGGTGAACTCCTCTTCTGCTTCCAGGCAGCTAATGGGGCAGCATCCAAACCTCATGATGTCCTGGATGTCCTGACTCAATACCGAGGTCTTTCTTGGAGGTGAGTCCCAAGACTTTCTACCACCTCAGTCAACCACAGAGGGAAGGGAATCCATTTTCTCTGGTTTTGATATATGTAGTTATTTTTGTAGCAAATGGGGGCTTGTGGAGACTGAATTTGACTTTAAGTTTTGCATGGAGGCACATGGTGGTGTATTACTCATGATAAAGAAAATATCCAAACTAGTGGCTATGTAGAGTACAATGTAGCATGGCTGGAATAGACCTAGATATTCAGATGAAATAGGGCCCTTGTTAAGATGGTCTCTTTTCCTCTCATGGTTTAGCTAATGTGAAGGAAACCTGTAGATCCCAGCACCATTGGATCACTTGTTTCTCTCCCTGCTCTTTCTGTACCCTGTCTGCTCTTCCACATTGTGCCCCACACCACCCATTTGCCACATTTAAAATCAGTGGTCTACAAGAAGTCAAAACAGGATCCTTTTTTGCTGCTGTTGCTTCATATGCAGTACCTATTTCCTTCACTTTTTTCCAGTATTGCGTGCATCAGAACAGAACAATTAATCAGAACAAACTTTTACATATGCAGGATTTTATTAGACGTGTCAAAAAGCCACCCTGAAGAAAGGCAATCATATTCACTTGTTATTCTGCAACTATATCATTTAATACCAAACCTGTTAGCCTGATTTTCTGTTCATAGTTTCTTACCGCAGCTCCAATGAGTTTAAACAGGTATGAGAGCACTTCAAAGTATTCTATTCCAAATTAAAGAGATACAAAAAGTTGAACACCTTTACAGTATTTTGATCTTCGACAATAGTCTACTGACATTATGGAGGAGAAAGTATCCTAACATTTTCTACAGCATGAAGGAGAGTAAAGAGCACACAGACATATGGTGAATTTTAGCAGTCTAGTAGTATTCTTCCAGTTGGGTAAAATGGGGAGGCGAAAGGTATTGAGTTACTTAGCACTTTGAAATATATGCTTTTAGAACTTGTTGTTATGGATACGAAGGGTTTGTTAACTAAAAATGGCAGTAATAAATATTTTAATAGGGCCAACAATAGCAAAGATGGCAGCTTTTCAAAATTCTCATTTCTTTCAGCTAGGTTTGAACATCTGCCAAACCACGCGAGAATGGAAAGGGCAGCTAGTGTACAGGGCTTTTAATTATGATTATTATGGTTATGACAGAGTCTCTGATTTCGTGACCCCTTTGGTATGCACGCAAACAGCTTGCTTTGATTTAGTACAACCACCACAAAATGTGCTGTGTACATGTGTAGAAACCCCAAAAGGGGGAGCTCTCTTACTTAGTCCACTGCCTTACCAAGCCCATCGTATCTTGGAACACTTTTTTCTTGTTCTTTCTTTTTAACAGTGTTGGAGGAAATGAAAACATAAGCACGGTCACGACACTAGCAAGTAAGTGCCTTTTTCCATAAACCTGATAAATATCTGGAGCTGTTTATCAAAACAACTGTTGTTACAAAATAAGACATAAAGATTTAAAATTTGTAGCATGACAGAATCAATCCTTTTGTATTCAATGCCCAGTGCTGAGTAAAAGTTGCATAACAACCAGGCACTAATTTTCTGTGCATGACTTAACTATGTATTTTGTAATTCCAAGGGGTTTGGTCGCTTCAGTGTTCTTCTGTTGGTTATAGTTCTGTCCAAAATGTGTTGGGGATAGATGAATCAAAGATCTTAGATCACAGCCTAAAGAAACTATTTTAACTGTATGGGCAAGTTGTTTTAGGCAGGAGAAGAATCACATTACAAGATCAGATTTTACATGCTTTTTAGAGGTCAGGGCATCAGATCTGGGTGTTTGCAAGGCTGGTTTGTAACCTAAGATGTAGAAGGGAATCTTGGGTCTTTGGAGTTAATACATCTGGGGAGATCAGGCTAAAGGATTTGATTCCAGTTCATCTGCAGTTAGAGTATGATGGCATGGGAGCCTCCTGCCTGAGTGTAGGGTTACTTAGCCTCGCTTACCAGGCAAAATAGCTTTGCTAGCCAGGATGATCGTGTAAGGTCATGAGATATCTGAATTCGTGAAATTCAGAAATCTTAAAGGCAAGGAAATAGTTGTACGGTGATGAGACTACATGTTTATTATACTTAAAAGTTAATTTTTTGTTAGGATCTCTCAAAGCTTTTTAATGGTCTTTTACTAAGATTTAATCTTTATAACCTCATTCGCTACCTGCTGCAGTAAGCAACATTTCAGGGTGCTGTCTTTTTCTGCAGATATTCTTCGTGAGTTCAACCCATCCTTGATAGGGTATTCCACTGGCACTGGAAGGGAGACTACAGATAACGCTGCACTCAACCAAGCTGTGGCAGGGGATTGTGCTGAGTAAGGGGAAAACTCTTTAAATTTTAACAGAAAGTAATTTTTCTTTAAAACTCAGGTCTAACTAAAAAAGGGCCCATAACCTGGACTTCGTCAGGAGCATAATAAAAGGCTGCTAGGCAGACCCAAAAACATTTCATTAGCCCAACTCTAGCGTGAAGGCCAAGAAATGTGATTGTTTCCAACCTATGCCAAATTAGCAGCAAAAGCAATGCTTTCTCTAGTATCCTCAATCAAGAAGCCCAAAGCACTTTACAAGCACTACTCAAAAAGCTTCACATCTGTATTGTGAGGCAGAGAAAAATATCTCCATTTAATAGGAGGTATATTCAAAGCCTCTTGTCAAGAGTTTGTGTAGAGGAGCTAAGAGGAAATTGTGGATTGCTTATGGTCACTCTGTGGTAGAGCTGGGAATTAACTAGGGACCATTATGCTCAGTCTTCAGTGAAAGTCATATCATATATTCTTCTCTCAGAAGCACTTCTTATAAGACACCTCAGTGGCTTGAGGCCATGTAATAACATTGATACATACACGGGTGCTTCAGCGATGTGCGTACCAATAGCATCTGCCTGAAGCTGGAAAGGAACCAAGTGCATTTATTTTGTGGTGTCACAGTGCATTTTCTATATAGCTTGTAAACGTGTAACTATGCAGCATTTGCAAAGTGGTCAAGTGGCTGTTGGATGCTAGTTATTTTCTCTTTTTTTTTTCCATCACTGTCTCAAAGTATAGTTTTCATCCAATGAAACTTGGACTTTCCCGTGTTTTTTACCCATTATGTGAGGGATGTCCATTCATCAGCTTTCCTCTTTGCCTTGCTCTCTATGCAGGATTCCGTTTTCATTTTTATTATTTGATTTGTTAGGGCTTTATTTTTCTGTTATTTTTAGGGATGTTCCCGTGCAGGTTAGAAGGCTGGTGGACCGCATGAAGAATGATACTGTGAGTTTAACATGTTGTTAATATCTTTAGAATGAAGTTACTTTGGCAGCATTAGTTTCGGACAGATGCCAAACATGAAAGCTACAGCAGTGTACAGTGTAATATTCCCCAGTGCAGGGTGAGTCAGCACAGAATAATCCATAGCTTTGTCTTAAACGCCACCATGTGATAGCTACTATCAAACCCAGATAATTGTAATCTTCTTATCATTTTTACGACAAGCGGCTTGTAAATTCCCTGCTGTCGTTTCCCCTCCCAGCCTATGTCACCGTGTAAGATGACAGAACTTCACTTGTGCTAGGATTTGCCTCTGGTACTATTAATTATCTTGTAAGCACATGGGTTTTCCAGCAGTAATGATACATGCTAGGGTGTTGAGGGAAAGCTTTTTAAGTGCGAATCATGGGGAGTGAACATGGAAATGAGGAAAAGACTTGTGTCCTTAAAAACGATGCAGTCCCTTCTTGGGTCATCAGCTGATTTTTGACTTACAGGTTTGGTGTTAGGAATTATTCGATTTATGTTCTCTAAAACACACATTAGGCTGGGGACCACTTGCATGTTTTTCACCTCCACTGGTGCTTTGAATGTCTGCTATTTGTAATTTGGCAAATGTGCTACGCAATCAGTGACGTGTTACGTTATATTATTTTGTCTTTGTGCATTTGGAAAGCAGCCAAAAGGCCTTCAAGATTAACTCTGTGTGTGTGTCTGGTATAAGTACGCTGGTAAATATTCATACTGGCAAAAATATTTGCAGTACCTTCTTTTTTGGTTCACTTTCTCATAAACAAGATTTCACTCCGATGTCTGTATCTGAAATGAGATTAAAAGGATTAGCAGCTAACAATGAAGCAGTTGGAGGGTTTTAATTCAAACCATTCAAGTCTTGTAAGTATTACTATACTTATATTGCCTCGTATCTATTGCCTTGGAAACAACACACAACAGAAATGAATGCAGACACCTTTGATTTAACTAATGAACTTCTTTCTGACTAGAAAGCCTGTTCATATTAAAGATCATGTGAAGATCTTTGGTTTAAGAGCTTTCTTTTCCTCTTTTTAAAAGACCTGGTTAGCACGGGAGGAAAAGAAATTTTCCCCTCTCTTAATTTAGATAAGTACATTTTGAGACCAGCCTACTGAACAGTGTGTTTACTAGTTGGAATATGTTGCCTTCTGTCTCTGAAGATAGATGTTTTAAACCACTTGAGGCTGATGTACTATTGCTGCTTTTCTTAGTGGTGTTTTGCACTGAAATTGAAGATACCGAGTGCAACATCTACTACATTACACTGAGCAGATCTGAACCTTTCTTCAAAGCTAATGCAATTACCCTGCATTAGCTGTCCCTCTGCAAAATCCTTCCAGAGGAAAAAGTGCTGTTTTTTTACTGGTATTCTTAGATAGAGTTAATATTTCCCCTCTATTCTTTGCAGTTTGTCTCACAGCAAGACTGAAACGTATCACCCTCCAGGGTTTTCCAGCAAGATAGCTGCATTATTTATAGCACAGTAAAAAGATATACCATCATTTTTGCAATGAAGATGTATCCTAAGAACTGCAGGAATAGTCACTCAATGTATACACAGGATAGTATTAAGAAAAGCATCCAGGTGGATTTTGAGCAATAGTTTTTTGGAAGCAAACAATTTTGCATGGTGCTACTGATATTGTGAACCTTATTAAGATTGTAGCGGTTTCTACATCTTCACTCAGAACTACAAATTCATTTTGTTGTGGATGCAGAGAGAACTATAGCTGGGTACCCTGAGAAATGTTAAATTTATGTTCATTTATGTTGCCTGCCACTCTCCCCTTTTTTTATTGTATATTAATAACTCTCATTCTATCTCCTTCTGTGTGCAGAGAATAAATTTTCAGACTGACTGGAAGCTCATAACACTTTTCATAGGAGGAAATGACCTGTGCAGATTCTGCAGGAACCCAGTAAGTCCCCTGCTGCCTACAGTGTGAAGTGGGCCAGCCTGAGCAAAGGGTCTCTATGCATTGCATTGGGTGAGAGGTCAGAACTCAGTGGGTGAGACCAAAATAAGCTAGGTCTTATTTGCACAGCTCTGGAATGTAACTGTACTGAGACCTTCAGGTTGTTCAACCTGATGTTATGATAAATGAAGTGATATCTTTAGACTGAATTACATAATTGTCCCTACTTTGTTCTGCTATTAACTAAGATAGCTTTCTGTTATCTACTTACTTTGCCACCTGTAGATAAAAGGTCAAGGGTTTTTGCTCTTCTTTGCCCTGTGCACAGTCACACTCCGAAGTCTTACTTGGTGTTCACTTACCAGTTTTGGTGCTATGGGAATGGTTCTACCCACTGCTGATGCTGATGTAATTACATGTAATATAGCATATATTGTGTAGGTGTATAATATATATACATACATACTGTATGTAGCCTTTGTTATGTGTGAGTATGCAGGGGGTGAAAAGCTGTGGCAGTCTCTTCACTTGGTGAGGAGTGTTCCTGACCCAGACATGAAATGGTAGTTGCACACGCATGTGGGTGGCAAGGAGGTAGCACCTCTGCATCCAAAGATCAAAGTGATACTTCCCTTATGTTGTACAGCTACAAACAGTGCCAGCCACAATGTGTTTGGTGAGCTGTGCTTTAGGAAATGAATAAGGAAACTGAGCTGTCTAGTTTTGTAGAGTAGGCCAGTGGGGCTCTCAATGAACTTCTGCTTGAAATTAAATCAAAGAGAATTAAGGCTGAAAATAAGGCAGGCGTTCCTCATAGGGAAGCTTATTTGATTGTGGAATAGTTCCGTAAGTGAAGAAATAAAAGTTGGATTACATGAGACAATTAAATTAGAGGGTTTAAGCCACTCAAATGGAACAGGGAAATTTTGCTGCTGAGAGGCAAGTATATAAAGTGATTTAATTTCCAGATAAACGCCTAAGCTTTGCCAGTTATTATTTGTGGCAGGCATAGGAGAGGCATGTTGGTAATATTGCATACAGTAAAAACAAACTTACACAAACTGATCTCTCCCAAAGCTGGTCCCTGTTGCTACCCATGCGTTTAAGACCAAACCAAGCAAGCCTGGGGATGGAGGATATTGTGATGTCTGATAATGCCCCCTGAATTTGCTCCCTCACTGATACCTAGTGGCCACTAGGTTTTTTCTTGTGAGACAGCTGTGATGGGAAAGAAGAAAAGCAGAGGCAGGACAGGTTTGCCTAAGACTCTGCTGCTCTTGACCTCGAGAGTCAGAAACATCAATCCTGCTGTGAGGGACTCTAGCCAGTCAGCGTTGGGCCTGCTTGAATAAACCAGTAACAAAATTCAACCCTCTTGCTTCAACAGGTACGCTATTCTCCTGAAAACTACACCTACAATCTACAAGTATCTTTGGACATACTTCACAGAGAGGTAAAACAAACTTTTCCAGTATATGGGAGTGGGGATCGTGTTCTGTTTGTAAAGCAGTCACTGGTTATTGATTGAGAGTTGAGTTCCTTGCTTTCATCTGCAGAGCACTGCTGTATGCAGGTGCTTGCAGGAAAATCCTTGTGAGAGCCAGAAAGGGCTAAAGAAGTATTTTACCAAAGGCATAGGGATGTGCTTAGTTCTAGCTGATGTGCTGCAGAAAAATGGTGTAAAAAGCACTGCAATGAATTCAAACAAACCTGTGGTATTCAGTGGCTAGGAGATGCTTTGCTCATTCATTATGCTGCAAATAAGTGTATTTTTGTGGTCATTAAGAGAGAGATTCTGATATTCCAGATGAGGGTGAGGATGATGAGAGTACTTGAGGGTCTGAGCCAATCTGAGACCTTTCTAAAGTCATCATTTTCAAGTGACCATTCATCAGCATCTAAAATAGAACTGGGCAGCGCAGACAGGGGCTGTAATTTAGTATTGTACATGTGGGGGATTAATTATTGAGGAGCTACTTTGAACACCTCTGTTATAAATAATGCAAGCTGCATGAATCAGCAGGCTGCTACCTGAGGTCTGCTGTGGCTGTATAAGGGCCAAGATGGCACTCTGTGCTCTGGGTGATGACTACAGGTTTGCTTGTTCTCTTGGCAGGTTCCACGGGCATTTGTGAACCTGGTGACAGTGCTGTACATAGCAAGCCTCCGGGAGCTGCACACATCAAACAATACATGCCCGAAGCTGCTCATGAGGTTTGAAGATGATTTATGTTACAGCTCTCACTGTTGCTCACAGAAGGCTGCAAGGTCTTCTTCGGCAACCCTTTTCCTTTAAGGGGAAAGGTTCTAGTATTTCAGACCACTAAAACCCTTCCTCTGTGTATGCACACGTACCCACACATTGATTTCAACACAGCATTTAGAAATACCTGTCTGTCACTGTCTCTGTATCTGATGAGCCCTGCTGTTACCACTCTTCTGTGGAGGTGCCATTTCAATGATTCATCACTTAGACTGCAAGGGCGTCCAAGCCGGAGCAGAAAGAGCTCAGCTGTGTTCTTTTTGGATAAAGACAGAAGAGACTAAGACACAGGGGTTTTGTCATTGATCGCTTTAAACTGTCTTTGTTTACAGATTTACCTTTCTGCAGTTAAAACTCTCCCTCTTGCTTCTGCAGTTTCTGATCTCTGTAATCTCATTGCTGATTATTAGTTTTATGGTTAATTAGTCTCTCAAGTAGATGTCTGGGATGCTTCATCACATTGAGTGTTGCCTTGTGGCTCAAGAGTCCTCCCACATCAGAGAGAATCTGCCACTGAGGTGGCAGGTCTCTGCTCTTCTGGACAGACAGGCAGGCAGAATATCCTTGTTCTGTGAATGCAGGCAGCCATCGAAGGAGCTTGTACAGGAGGAACATAGATGCAACCCTCTTACTCTGATTTAAGGGCTCTCTGGTGGCTGTTGGTGGAAAATTAGCTTTTAGACTTAGAGTGCTGGTGCTTCTGATAATCAGTTGTAGGTTTTCTTTTTAACAAAGGTTACTGGCTAGAGCACACAAGTATCTCAAGACCCTAATCATTAAACAGTGATAGTGGACCCTTTAAGATTAGATTATCTCAAGATACCTTTAACCTTTTCCCTTCATTTCAGGTGCCGTGTTGAATTTAACATTCGCTTCTATGGCAGCAAGCTAAGCTTATAGGGTACTAAGGAGATCCTAAGACAATGATGCCATGTTACCAAGTTGAAGGACCTGAAGAAAGCTTTTGGTCTTGAAAGCTTGTCTGTCTTTTTTTTTCTGAGAGCAGCAAATCACCTAAAAAGAGATTAAGTCTCTGCTAATTTTGCATTGCTTATGTTATTTGAAACACATCTCAAAACACAGTCTAGGTTTGTATTGCCTTTCATATAGAAGTACCATAGAAATAAAGCATTGTTTTATTGCTTGCTCTCCATTAAGACAAATTTGGAGCTGATGGGGTCTTTGTGCACTTTGTATGTGTCAACTGCATCTCTATAGGAGGTATTTCTCTATGAGTTGTCTTGGGGATGCTTTACTGTGATCAGTATTTTTAAAAGCAGTCCTTTTTCTCATTTGGATTTATCAAGTAATAGTGAGGCATTCCCAGGATGAGGAAGCATCAGAAAAAAACTCGTGTGCTTGAAGGATCAAGGTTTCAGAGAAGGATAAACGTGAGCAACGTGAGTTCACAGGAACTTAGAATGGCCCTGGTTGGCATGGATTTGAAGGATGGAGATTGCCGCATCAGTCTTGGCATCTCTTTTGGTGCTCTGCCATCCTTCATGTGAAACATCCTCTAACTTGTGACCCTCTCAGTTGATTAAGAATGAATTTGTGGGAGCTCTGCCTTGAGGGATGCTTGCTGAAGGAAACCACATTGCGCAGGAGTACTCATGTGAGCGGGTGTTGTGGTGGGTTGCTTCTGTGGCGCTTGGCAGGAATGCGAATAAGAAAGCTCATCAAAATAAAGACAGGGAAATCACTCACCGATTACCACTGCAGGCGGAACAGAATTGATTTGGGGAACGCAGCTGAATTTATTTTGCATTACCATAAGTGTTACTGATTCTGGTATTGGGAAACAGACAGACAAGCAAGTTAAACAGTTGAAGCACATATCCTCTTTCATTCCAGGCTCGAGTTCACTCCAGGCACTTCTCCCTCTGTCCTTGTTACTGCTACAGGCTACCTTCAGTCTCTTCAGTGAGGCATGGGTGGCACAGGGAACTGTGGTCTGGACATAAAGATCTCTCTTTGCTGCTTCTTCCTTCTCGCATGTCCTGTGCTCCGGCGTATGTGCCTGCTGCGTGTGGGCTCATCCACAGGCTGCAGTCCCTCCAGGGTGGGTGCCTGCTCTGCCGAGGAGCACCTCCTCCTTATTCCACTGTTGCTCTCTCCTCTTCTTCCTCTCTAGTGTTTTCTGCCCTTTCTTACACAGGTTTTGGCAGAGGCACCACCACCACCTTGGCTGACAGGCTCAGCTGTGCCCTGTGTTTGATTCACTGAAGCTGTCTAGAACTGGCTGCGTCCAGTGCAGGCCTCCCTGTACAAAGGTTCACTCCTGCTGCCAAAACATTGCCATGGTCATCCAGTGTGTTTTTTGCTTGCATGGAGCTTTTTCCTGACTTTATCCTCATGAATTTATGCTTAATAAATGTGTTTCTGCTCAAGAATCAGGGCTGTGGAGAAACTCAGAGGTGAGAGCTAATGCTCCCATTGAGCAGCCTTTGAGAGAAATTCCCCTGCAAGAAGCTTTTAACCCTGCAGCTTGTCATCTCAAAAATGGTGATAAAATGAGGAGCAGACCTCAGCACCGTGCTCTCATCCCACAGGATCGAATGCCCTTGTGTTTTAAACCTGGAGGACAACTCCAATGAGTTCAAGAAGTTGGTCTACTTTAACAGAAGGTATCAGGTAAGACATGCGGCATTATGTTACAGGTTTAATATCACCCTCCTGTTGATCAAACAACCACAGAGAAGCTAATACTTGGAGATGGGGGACAGTTTCCACTCATTTTACTGACATATTTGTAGTTGTGATTAAAACAAAAGAAGGGTGAGAGGGAGATGGGAGTAGGCTCAGGATCTTTCCGACTCTGTTTCATTAAAGCAGGAAAACAGACAAGAAGAAAGGTTATTAAAGAGACAAAGAAAGGAGAATACATCAGAGAGCCCACAGGTTTTTTTATCATTTATCTTCTTGAAGATCAGATTAAGTCAAAGAACACGATAACTCAGGAACACACTTTGGGCATGGGACGTCAGCCAAATCAAAGACGCTTCGGTGGTGCTGGAAGAACATCTTTTTGACAGAAAATCTAATTGCTGGTGTCAGTCGGGCACCCGTCCCCAGGCTGCCTCTGCAAAGAAGCCTGGGATGCGTGCCTCAAAGACAGCTGTGGTGGCTGCCCGGCGTGAGCTGGAAACCACAGCCATGTCTGGGTTTCTGCGTTAGGGAGGGGAAAGCCTTGGCTGAGATGTAAATGGATGGAGGGACTCAATAAGCTGAATGTAAAAGGAGGAACAGTGACAACTTTTCTTTGACTCTTTAGGAGAGAACGCGCCAGTTAGTGGAGAGTGGAAGGTATGACACTACAGATGATTTCACAGTGGTCACGCAGCCGTTTTCAGTGAATATCGAGATGCCAAAAACACAGGTAAAAACAACCAAAACGCCTGCCCCTACATTAAATCCTGGTGTGATTCCACTGGCTTTTTAAAATTGTCTTGGCTTTAAGTGTGACCAGCAGTTTTCTAGCCTAATAATTATTTATGTGCAGTATATATATATATATTATATGAATTTTAACTCAAGATTCAGTTAACATCTAAAATTGCAGAAAATGCTTATGGAATAATAGTAGATAATGGGCAACAGGAATACCAACCTTGTAGACATGATCTGGGACACTGAGTCCATGCCACAGCAATGAGACAACCATGCAGTAGATATTTAGCTCAAAATCTTCAGCAGGGAGCACTTCCCGTATCTTCCCTATACATCACAAATCCCTTCCAGTGCTTTGGTGTTTGACTTTTAGTATGTTCTTCGGAAGAGTATAGTGTATTAATCTCAGGAGAAATAAACAATACAATCAAGATCTGTGCCCAGGTATTCCATACATACAGTCATAGTGGCCTGTATTCCTTATTACTTTGAAAATCCTATATTAGAAGATTTCAAGGCTTCTTAGTTCTGAATTACTAGTGTTCTCTGGACCAGTTTCATTCTCTTGGCTTCAGAGGCCTTTACAGCTACTTCAGTTTGAAGTTAGCTGCAGTATTTCTCTGGAAGAGAGAGGGGATAATGCACAGCCTGTTGTATATTTACTGCCTCTGTAACAGCACTCATCCTGTTCTCTAGGAGGGGTTGCCGGACAGTTCATTCTTTGCCCCAGACTGTTTCCACTTCAGCCAGAAGACTCATTCCCAGGCTGCACGTGCTTTGTGGAACAACATGGTAAGATTTCTAAGGGATATATTGGTCATCCCTTTTCTGTTCCATCCTACCCTTGGCAGCAAAAAAGCCCTTCAGGGAGCAAGTATCTAGCTAACCCTATCTCTTCCAAACCCTTGATTGTGTTTACAAAGGAAGAGAGAGATCATGTGAAAAAAGCTCACCTGAACTGTTAAACCAGTCACATCCAGCTAGTAAATCTCAGAGTATGTTAAGGCTGGGGGTGCTGAGGCTTCTTTCAGGGCGATGATACCTGCCTGGCATGTTGATTATCAGACCGCATTCGGGGTGTATGTGTATTAGCCTCTTCAGCACGCTAAGAAGCAGTGCATGGAGGCAGCCATTAGCATGGGTGCAGTACACTGCATTTGTCTTGCTGTGCTGCAGAGGTGGTTTCCAGTGGTTGGTAGCACAGCATTACTTGCTGCTCTCTCTTATTCACTTTGCTTCTGTGCACCCCCATTTTTCCACAGATGGAACCCTTAGGGGAGAAGACAAATAATCAGCAAATGGACCGTGAGATTGTTCTCAAGTGTCCAACTGAGGTAAGTTTAAAAGGTGTCTGTGTTTATGTGGAGGTGCTATAGGTGGCTGGGAGTCTGCATGAGCCTTTACCAACTGCCTAGAGCACTTGCCCATGTATTTTGTGCCCCTACCACTAGTAGCAGTATGAATGCTCCCCTGTTAGATGGAGGGCAGCAAGCTTGTCTGAGCAATAAGCTTCCTCACAGTCACACATCATGGTTGGCAAAAACATGAGGGAAGGGTGTTTGGCCTACCTAGTCAAGGTCATCAAGTATCCACACTGAATAACAGAGCTTCAGTAGAGAAGCAAAGAAACGCTGCACCAGTCAGCATAGCTTTGCCAAGGTCACTGGGACTGCCTTGCAGTAAGACCACAAGCTTCTTGTTAATCACACACAGCGAGGTCCTGAGCATATTCTGTATGTTCTGGCTGTGTGAAAATACTCACATTGTTATTGTAGGCATTTTAAAAATGCCTTTTTGGGGGGGTGGTTGTTTGTTTGTTTGGGTTTCCATTTGCATCAAGATGCTAATCATCTACAGACATCTGAGAACTGAAAGCTGGGGAATGGAAATCTACATATATTCTTCCGGTGTTTTGCATTGACTGAGATTGTCTTGTTTTGTAGGCTGAGCCATTCCTGAGGACATATAAGAACAGTAATTACATATACCCTAACCAAGCTCCAGTAAGTGTCAACTGTGTTATTATAATCCCACTCTGCTGCATCTGTTTCTGTATGGTAACCAGATGAGTCATGATCTGCAGTGCAGGTGAAATCAGTCTTTGTTCAAAGGGGCTTGGGAGGATGACTGCATGGCATGGAACAGGAAAGCAGCCCCAGAATTAAGCAAAACACATCCAGAAGCACCTATAAGAACACAGGCTCGGACAGCAAGGTTATCAGTGCAGGATGATACCCTAATCTGAGCAATACCAAATATGACTATTGAATGAGCAGCCAAGACCTGTCTGGTTAATTACATGCTAAAGAGGTTCTGGTTTATCCACCTGGCCTCTACTAGGAAGATCCTAGTTACAACTGACTGTATTTGCTAGTCAAATGCTATTCAGCTTTATTCTTCTCTTTAGAATTATGGAAGCCAGCTGCTATGCGAGGACAGGTCTCCATCCTCCCCTCCTCCAACTTCAGGTAGTCTTGCCTGTTTTATGTTAAGAGGCTGAACAACCTTCAACTGCCCTTCAAGATGGTTTTTATTTCTGCTGAAATGACTGCTGGACTGTGAAAAGTACTGCTCAGAAAAGATGTCATGTTTCTCAGCAGCTGCTTAATAGAAACAGCGCCATACTGTCACGCAAGGTAGCATTCTGATTAAGTAGCTCCACTTAAGTCACTGCCAGTGGAGAACTTCAAAATATCCATGCTAAAATCCAAATCTGGGTGCTGACATAGCCTGTAAGTGATGCCACCTAAATCTTGGGGAAGGAAACTGGAAATCCAGCTTCATGCATGTTAGTCATGTTTTTCATGTATTTCAAGTATTCAGTTTTTCAAATAACTTCATTTTCTCTTCCTCTTCTCCACCTTTTTAGAGCTTTCCTGTTCCTGCTTTGTCTAAACTGTGCTGTTTTACTTTCAGCTTGGTGCTGGATATTGTTTGCAACTTACTGTTTGCTCCTTGCTGGTCTGTCTTTTCACTAGCAATGTTAACCACTGACATGCTGAATAATACACGTATGCTACTGCTACAACCACATGAGATGAACTGGAGAGACCTCCTGTTTTACCACCTGGGTATTGCAAAACCTTGTCTGAGCATCAGAATGCACAATGGCATGTTTCACACACACAGTGGTGAAAAGGAATAGCTATTTGCTATCCAGGTTCAACTGTCTCTCTCTTTCCTTTGCAGTGCATTCCCTAAAGCCAGCTGATGTGAAAATTATAGCAGCCCTTGGGGATTCTTTGACGGTAAGAAGATAGGGTTTTTACTGTTCTCTTGGTAAAACTGCAAACATGTGCCTGCGCCGGTGGAGAGGAAATAGCTGTTGTACCTAGAAGCAAAGATCCATTCATTCATGGATGATAATAGATCTAGCAGCTAGAACAGGAAAGAAGGTGTCAGTTCTCCAGCACTGTTTCCCCCACGCACATATTCACATGCTTTTGAACTCAGGCAAAACACAGGCAAACCCTTTAAAGAGGTGCCTAAATATCTGTCTGAATTGCAGACAGAAGCGATCAGATGCTGTTGAAACTAATGGGACACAGCACCAGCCTTAGGTTACTGTGTTTTTCAGAGTTTTTCTGAACAGAACCAGGCTGGTGAACCTGTTCCTTTCCCTCTCTCCTTTCAGGAACAGAGTGTGACTAAGGGATGTTGGATAGTGGCATGTTATTCAATGAGATAAGGATGCACAAGGATAAGAGCCCTCTCACTTTATCAATTTAAGAAGATATTCAGTCTTGTGTGTGTGTTCCTGTTTTAACTTATAGCTAATTTCTTTATCAAGATGTAGCTCTTGATGGCAATGATTATCTGAGGCAGTCTAAAAGAAATATGTCTCAAGGTCTGGCCATTGTATGTTCCAGTTATGTCCTTCTGCCTGCTGTTTTCATACCAGTCAAAGACTGGATCTCTACAGCCAGCTCAAAGGAAACACTGGGCAGAAAGACATAATTGGAACATAGGTTTCTCTGAATCTGAGCCTGAACAACAACGATATTGTGTGTACAAACCATGAAGCCTTTACAACTCTCTGGCAGGCATGTTGCTAAAACTCCTACACACTGGAGGCTGCTGAAATAAATGGAAGCTTTCAAATGCAAACTTGCAATGTTGACAAATATTCTGTATATAGCTGTGGTTGCCACGTTATAATATCCAGGATCCTGCAGGTGTTTCTGCTTCTAAGTATACTCTGTAGGAACTGAGAATAGAGCTTTCATTGACAGTGCAGTGGTGCATTGCTGTATCAGAGCTGCACTTGGTCTGTGCATAGCCATTCTGAATACAAGTCTTCCATTAATCCAAGCAAGCTTGTACATGGAAGAAAATGTAGTATTGCTGTTTAATCTGAGGTAGTAGCAAACAGTCTACCTGGTCTTGTGCTGTACTACCCCATACTCAAATTTAGTATGAAGCTATAGTATCACAGCTGCCAGGCACCCTGCTTCTGAATTCTTGGTGGTATTTTAGGAGGGATGTAGTTGCTAGCTTGCCTCTTTGTTTAGCATAAATGTAGAGTGCTTTCCTCCTTGCTGTAGTACTGCTACAAGACTCTCCATTTAGCAAAACGCTTTTCAAATTGGTGTAAAGATATCACAGTGCTTCCTTCTGAGATACATTTGTTTTCTCTGTTGTGTTCATATAGTCTTACTTATCGTTAGCCAGAAAGTTTGTTTGAGATGCTTTCATCATTCTTGACTAATGCAACCATAAATGAGTTATTCAGCTCTTCTAGACCCATGAGAAAAAACCTTTTGTTCCCCACCTCCATCATTTATTTTGTGTCACCTACAATAAGTTGCTTGTAAATAATTACAAAAGGTATTGAAGCATTCTTCAGAAGGAAGACTTTAGAAAACCAGATGCTTTCCAAAGCTTTTGAAGAGATGCATTCAAAAGTAAATGAAATTATTATGTATGACTATTGCATTAGTAATTGTGCTTTAATTTCATTTGGTTAATGAAAACTAATGTGTAGGCTGGTACAGGAATTGCCTCAGATAGTCTCCTGGATTTGAGCACTGAATATCGGGGACTGTCTTGGAGGTAAGTCTTCATTCAAAGTGACGAGGAGAGATGCATTCTCTCCTGTAAAGAATATTATTCCTTTCCACACCTTTGGGGTCTTTCAGCTGTCAGAAATTTGAAAGGAAAAAAAAAAAGTTGCTTTTTGGGCTAGCATTTCTTGTGAAAGATGCACCAAGATCCAGGATTTGTCAAAAAGGTGCCTTTACAGAAAATGTTTTAAGCAATGGATTTCAAGCTAGCCTTGTGACTTCTCTCACACTTTCATCTTTGGCTGCTCATGACTGTTTGTATTCTTATGGTGGGATGGCAAGTTGTAAATCTACAAAGCTGGAGAAAAATCACAAACGAGTCGTAACTTGCTGCTTTTGGGACTTCTCAATATTTGCTATTTGACAGCTTTCTGTAGCACCACAGAAAATGTTTTTTTTTAACTGGAGAACTTTCACCACATGCAGCACACACTTGTAAAAGACTAAATTTGTTTGCTGTGATGATGTAGCTCAGTTGACATTGATTTCAACAGCTCTGTGCTGTCCTAACCACCTCTCCGTAAGCCAGAGCATGGCCTCAGTGTGCCCCACCAATTTGGAAAGCTTGAGAGAGCACCAATGTGCAGGATGCAGGAGCTGGGAATGAGGAGCTGCTCTTGGAGCTCTCTTGTCTCCCATGGGCCGGCTGTTTGGTACTGCCTTGAGTGGCTTTACAAGGCTAGAACTGGTCTCAAAGCTGACCTTCTAATCTGCAGTACTTTAGGACTCATCCATTCGAGTATGTAGTTGTCTCAGGCATTTTCTGCCATTTCACGATTGACTACACCCTTGTACAGCTGCAAGACCATTAAATCCGTCTGGCAAGCATCTTTACGACTGAAACCTCAGCCATTTTCCCCAACAGCGCTTCCACGTCTGTCCTTTCCGTGTAATCCAATATATTGATAGTTACCAAATTAATCACCCTCCCCTTTTTCTCATGATGTGTGGTAGGTTTCCACTTTGCTTATTGTCTCTGTCCAGCTAAGAGATGTGTGATTAGGATTTCTCTTTCCTGTTTTAGTATTGGAGGAGATGCATCATTAGAGAACATGACAACTCTACCTAGTAAGTAAATGCTTTGCTAGATCTAATTGGCAAGATTGGAGAGAGGGAGAGGGCTAATTTATGATGTGTTTACAGAGTATCTCAAAGCTGTATTAGAGTAATTAACAAGAGCTACCTTTCAAAGGAACAATATCATAGGACTAATGAATAAAAAGCTGGCTTCATCAGTGAAGCTGAGAAGCATCTAGAAATTCCCTTACTTCCTTTTCCCCCTCCCTTCTCGAGTGCTGGGTGAGCGTTATTTGAATCTCTACAAAAGCCTGCTATGTCTGTGCTTGTGATGCAATTAACTTTTGCATTTAATAAATAATCCACTGCAGCTTTTTCCAAAAGGAGATGTTTGCACAGAGGAGACCTCTTTGGTAAATATAGCTGACTACTCACACATGTAACCTGAAGGGAGTAATTTTAACTTTCTCTTCACTGAAACATGCAACTTCTTGCAGCTCAGCCTATTGTTAATGTAAAGCCACTCGAGAGTCAGTTTGGATCAGCTTTAATAATAAACTTCTATTTGGCGAGGGACAGTAAACTGTCCTTCTGTATGTTGCCCATTATTACAAGCAGAATGTAACAAGAATATAATCAGAATAAGCAATTAATGGATTCACTGGATGCTATTACATTTGACAGAGCCTTTATTTGAAATGTGGTTAAATTCAACCTTTGAGATTATAGTTTACAATGCAACCATTTTCACTCTCAGCTGTGAATTACTCTATTGACTTCCTTTTGTAAGCTACTATGGAGGTAACAGAGAACAAGATGATATTTCATCAGAGCCATGCATCTGAGGCTTTCATCTTCATATTTGTCAGTAGTAAGAGATTTTGCACAGCCATGAAGCAGACCTAGATCCCCTGGCTGAAAACGAGCTCCTGCTGGGCTGAAACCCCCTTCAGGTTTGCTTCACAAAGCCACCATCATATGACTGAGGGTCTTATTTTAGGCTTTAACCACCACAACATGAGCTATTACCATACACAGCAATTCTTAATTCTGCTCATCGTATCCACCGGTGACAGTGCAGTGCACAGCAAGCCCAGGGCTGTCTGCATCACTACCAGCTGGTGATCCTTTTTGCCACTGTTTGGTGGATGCATCTAGAGGACCGGAGGCTGCAGTAGCTGTGGCAGTGCTGTCAGAGAGCAGAGCTGTAGCAGTGCTGGTGTGTGCGAGTCCCTGGGGTAGGCAGAAGGTGTAATAACTTTCCCTTTGTTGCTATCTTTCTTTTTCAGACATCTTTCGAGAGTTCAATGTCACAACTGTGGGCTATTCGACTGGTACAGGGAGTGCAAATGAGTCGAATGCATTCCTTAACCAGGCAGTTCCTGGAGCGCAGGCTGAGTATGTAGCTTCTTGTTTAACATATGCAGGTGATGGATGCTTCATCTAATTGACTTTCAGCTGTCTCATGTGCTGTCACAACTTGCTCTGAAGAGCAAGCAAAACCAGACTAGTTAGGGTTTAAATTCCCTCAAAAACCTGTTAAATGTATGGGCTTATTTCATAGCTGAACATTCAAATGAAGATAACAGTCCTGGTTATGAAATCCACAATCAAGAAACTGGCAGAAACTGGAGGTGGTGGTTTCTACTCTTCCTCTTGAACAGCTCTTAATTTATCTATTTATCTGTCAATAAATCTCTGAGATTATGGATATTTTCAGAAAGTGAGCATGTAGTGAAATGTTAAAGAGATAATAGGAGAAAAAGTAGATGAAATCTTTCATAATTCTAGCCTCAGGTTTCTGAATAAGCAAGCAGGAGTGGATAAGAGAGAGTAAAAAGAACAGCCACAGTCTTGAATCTGAAAAGTTAGTGATGGTCATATATGGGGTTTGGTGCATTGCAGACCTGATGCAGTTGCAACCACTTCTGCCAATATAATAGGGTTTGTAATGTCCTGCAGTCATTTGAATTTGGCTTCTTGCTTATAGTCACACCTGGGAGGCTGCATGAGTTGAGCTTTGCTGTACTTCTTATCCTAGAAATCCCTGGCTTCTTACTGAAAGAGTCAGTGCTGTTTAATTAACAAAACAGATGGCTGCTGGAAGTCAGTCATAGTTTGGGCACAGGTTCTGGCAGCCCATGGCTGGATTTGACACTGTTAGTTGGCATTACCCAGACCTTATTTTGGTTGTTTAAAGAAAAAAAATCCCTCTTACTTCCCAAAGAGGTCTTGGAAGTGAAGCTCAGAAGCTAAGTGAGGTGTTTGAGTTTGTTATATCTAAGCAAAGATTGTAAGGATTTATTGGATATATTTATTGCTCTCCTGCAGGCCTTGAGTAATCCTGACTCATACCAGCAATCTCAGTAAATGCTTTTATTTACTGAGAGACATAGTCTGCTAGGTGCCCTGATATATCCTACAGCTGCCCATACCTGAGAGAAGGCATTTTATTTCCTAGTGATGACTCAGTGTATCTGTGTGTCACTGAGACGTGCAAGAATTATGGCTCTGATTCAGCCACCAAGGAGAATTTATTAACATACTTCTAAATACAGCATTTATCCAGATTAGTTTCAGCTTTTGCTTGTTATAGGGAAGAATAAGATAGGTGCCTGGTTTGTATTTTGTGTCAGTTAAACCCTAAACAGGCTTTTTTTGAGTGGTAGGAAGACTTGAAACAGGATATACAGCCTCTTAAGTCACCCATAAAACTTCAAGCAGCTTGTATCAGTAGCACCCAAGATGTTAAAGTTAGCTGAATGAAATAGTTGATGCATGTTAGTCTAATGAAAAATTGTCTACTTCATCTCTACCATTTAGTCTTCTCTCTTCCCATGCAAGCAGCTGGACTTGATAAACATGATGAAGTGGAGATATCTGTGTTCAGCGACCGTGCTTTGTAAACATCCATCAAGGAGATGCAGACCACAATTGTCCCATATTTCTGCTAGTCATCTGTTGTTTCTGTCTTGTGACTCTCTAGAAAGGTGTGCAAAAGTAAAGTCCTGTAAACTACCTCACTAGTATCCCTGAAATTTGAGATGCTTCTTTTGGGGTTTTGTTTTGTCACATCTGTGCATCTGTCTGTTTGTCTGTTTTGTTCTGTTTGGGCTCTTGATGCACCTGAGAAGATGAATGCATCCTAGTTGAACACTGAAGTGTATTCAAATGTAAGGAACTGTTTCTCCTGCCTTAGGTATTTGGTCCTGGAGTGATGATGCAATCCAGCATTTATTCTTCATCAGCCAAAAATATTCATTTTCCTCTGATTCAAAGGGCAAAAAGAGCCCAGGAGTTAATGCTGGTACTTCAGAACTGTTCTGTGGCCTCTCTCGGTTTTGGGTACCAGTCTGGAAACTGCTTTCCAGAAGTACTGGAACCTTTCTAAAATCAGGTAGTTTTGCACCCTTACCAGCCTTTGGAAACCAGCTGTAAGGGTGTCTTAAAATGAAATCACTGGCTGCTTTGTGTTAACTTGATGGCAGTGTAGCAATGCAGGTCTCATTCAGCAGGATCTGAATCAGATCTAAGCCTATCTGCATTCATTACCAAAGTGCTTACATACATGCTGGAGTTAAGGATAGATCTGAAGCATGTTGCTGAAGCAGAGCCTGGCTGAGATCTCCAACACGTGTCAAAGAAGGAGGTTGAGAATTTAGGACTGAGAGTAGAGAACAGGTGATAAGAACTGAAAATATCTGTGTTTCCCTTTAGCAAACAGTTTCTGCTGATCAGGATCTATATTTGGTGGAAAGTGCAGCTCAGGGATGGGTGATTGCTGGCACTGCTTCATTCATGTTAGATCTTACTGACTGCATTGGTTCAGGATGCACCAGTGTTTCAGTGACTGCATGAGAAAATGGAGGTGTTGCAGGCAGTCAGCTCAACAAGTGGTGTTTTTCTCTGGATCAATATTCAAGTTGATGCCCTAGCTTAGGGGTTTCCATAGTAAGAACAGAAGAAAACTGTGAGCACTTGTGGTTTGTCATAGCTTTAGGATGTAAATAAGTAGGTTATGACATTGGACAAGGGTAACAGTGAACAGAACTATTACATGCCTACAGTGTCTGTGTCACAAGTAGATGTATGACAGGGTTCATTGCCCAGTAAATACACTTATGTTAGCATTAGACCAGTATTCCGTTGGAGAAGGGTGGTGAGAGAGATCTCCTGTTCCTCCAGTAAACATGGTATTGCAACGGAGAGCTAAGCTCTGGTTGCCATACAGAACAAGCGTCATGCTTATTAATGTCAGCTGAAATGCTTCCAGAAATGATAGACAGCCAGTGAAGTGTTTCTAACAAGAGCCTGAAGGGAGATGCAGCTCATACCATAGGACAAAGCTGCCTGGAAGGCTGAAGCTTTCCAACCACATTCTCTTTTCTATGCATATTTGAGGATCAGCGTGTCAGGGCAGTCAAACAAGGTTGAAGCGTTCAATCTGAGTAACTCAAAATTCATGGAAGTTTATATATATATATATATATAAAAATGTATATGTGTGTGTATATATACAAAAAAGAGATAGAGGGAGTGCTCACTTGGCTATTGGAAAACAGCAAGGCTGTCATCTTAACCTGCCTGAGTAATCTGGAGAGTTTCTTTGTTTTTTACTTGCCCTGAAAGGCAGCGTGCACAGAGATGCTTTACATAACTGAAAAGGAAGTATTGGCTCCGGGTGCAGGCTACAGAAATGAGGGAGGTGTGCACAGTGAACTCTGAAACGCTTCAGCTTTGCAGGGGGATGAGGTGTGGTTTATGCACAAACATTGCTCAAGAGATCGGTTAAATAAGGGGACTTGGGATCCCCTTGTTGTTTTAGTCCAGGAGGAATAGACTGGTGGCCACCTAGCTCTAAACAGGCCACCTCATTTGCTTACAAACACGTTTCTGTGTCTGGCTTTTCAGCTGGTTTAGGTGCTAAGCACTGTAAAAGCAGCTAAACTTATGGTTCCAGATTAATCATTGAATTAGAAAGAAATCAGGATTCAAGTTCAATTTGATATTGATTTTTCCACAAAGATACGAATTTGTAATTTGATCACAGCAACATGAGTATTGTACTGTCTCCTCACTCAGCCCTTATGATATCTGACAATTTGATTTAAGATGTCTGGAGAGCGATAATATTGAGTTTTCCATACAGGTGCTTCTTTCACTCACAAGTTGTCTTCCTCCTCAGGCACTTACCAGCCCAAGCAAGAAATCTTCTGAGACTAATGCAAACTGATCCTGTAAGTTGCCTGGGACTCCTTTAATCTTACAACACGAAAAGAAACACGTGTTGCTTCACACAATACATCCACCTGCAGTGATACCGTGTGCATATCAAAAAGTCAAGGAAATTCAGGCTTGTGATTTTTTTCCTTATTGCACAGAGAATTGACTTCAGTGCTGACTGGAAGCTGATAACAGTACATATCGGAGGCAACGATCTGTGCAACTATTGCAAAGACCCTGTGAGTAGTGAACTGGTTAACTGAGACTGTAGTGGGATTGTGATGTGAATGTAGAAGCACATCAAAGGAAATCCATGGATCCTTAGACCCTTCACATGAGTTATATATGCGTTGCTGTATGTTTTGATGGGGGTTGCTGCTGGCAGTGCCCTGATGTAAAACCAGTTACAGCATCGGATGGTTTTGTTCTCTCTGGCTTACTCCAAGGTAAGAATCACTGTCTTTGCTACTGTCTTTCAACCATGAGCAAAAAATGGAAGAAAAGCTTCACTCCTCTGATGTGGTAACTGTTCTACTCCTAGCACAGCCTCATTAAGACACCCAAGAAAGACCTGTACTGCTTTGAACTACCGACACTCCAATCCTACAGGAGTCATTACCCCATAACTCACAGTGTAGGGAGGTGCTAGGAAGGGTATTAGGGAAGGTGCATATTAGGGAAGTTGCGCAGTGCCCAGTGCCATTTGAATTTTATGCTTCTCTGGATTGTAGAGAAGCCTTTAGGGCTGCCATAAGGAGATCATGGGAGCTGAGTGGGCAGGTGGCAAGGAGAGGCCAGCTTTTACTCTCCTGCTTTAAAATGCTAAATTCTTGTGACCATTTTCAATTCTCCTGTACCCCCTTGTGCTTGAGAAATTTGCTGCTCCTGCAGGAGCCTCACTAGGCATCTTCGCTGCTGCCACCAAGTTTTATAGCTTTATTTATAGCTATGACCTTGATTAGCAAGGATTTCACCTCATTTTATGAGAGCTTATCGGCTGGCTCTGAGCACACCTATGGCTGCTTGGTTTATGCTGTTCAGCATGCATTCAGATTGGGTTCCTTCCTGCATCTTTACATGAAGGACCCAGTGGATTTGAGTTAAATATACTACTCAACAAGGTTTATTTTAAACCTAAAATTTCACCCAGACAGTCTACATTTTGAATTAATTGATATGCTTAAAATACCTGTCTCTAGAAAGAAGCAAGAGCAGTAGACCAACCGCAGTGTTGTGTGCCAGAAAAGAAAGTGAATTAATCTGATTCTCCAGCCTCCCAACCCAAATGCTTTGTGTCTCCACTTAGCAGTAATCTCTTCTGTTTCTCTCAGGATCACTACTCAGCTGTGAATTTCACCAGGAGGATTCAAGAAACTCTTGATATTCTGCATGAGCAGGCAAGTGCTGTGAAATTGTCCTTGCATTCTAGCTTGTACTGGTACCTGACTGACCGGTGCTAGCTGTTCTGTCTGTTTGCTTTTGTTGTGTTGTTTCCCATTCTGGCACCAAGCATATTCCATCGACTTCTACAAAAGCATTTCCTTTTGTGTTGTCAATCTGAGAGTAGTGAGATGCAGTCTGAAATGGCAGACAGTAACACTGGGCCACAGTGTTGGAGAAGGATCAAAAACTGAGTTTGGGGAGGAATTGTTGCTTTTTTACTTTCCTTTATTTTTTTTTTTTTCTTCCCTTCAGCAATGGAGAAAGGAAGTTAAAAAAAAAAAACACAGAAAAGAAGACGGAGAGAAAAGGAAGAGAGGGTCAAATGACTGGACTTTAGGGTAAAATAAATGCAGCATGGGCTGCATAATCAGTTGCTTTTACGCTAAAGTCTAACTTACCTTTCAGGTTCCGAAAGCTTTAGTGAGTCTGGTTGAAGTGATGGACCTCCACCCTCTGAGACAGTTGTTTGTGGACACTCAAGTTCAGTGCCCCACTTACATGGCAGAGTAAGACTTGTTTGACTTCCTTTTGTACCTGAGCTTACTGTCCATGATTAGAAAGCGTGTTCTTATTCCATGCTTCTCTCCTCATTTGAACTGATGATCAAAGGTAGCACTACAGTCCTGCAGACATTCCATGCAGTGTGGACATCATCCTGCCTCATGGCATTGCCTTCTCTTGGCTTTGACCTAAGTGTTGTCAGAGAATCCACGCATTTTGTCCATGTCCAGAGCTGTAAGGTTTCCTGTGGTACACAATATACACCTCCTTGAGGGTTCCTCAAGGTGGGGTTGAAGCCCACAAGCATTTGGATTTTCAGGCCTTTTACAGAACGTGAAGTATTTGCAGAGTAGACGGGTTTCTCCTGTTGTAGAGGCTTTATTGCAATGGGTAATTTGCATTCATTGCTGACCCTCCAGACAGGGACAAATTCTGTGTTTTGGCAATGCAAAAGGAATTGTTGATTGGAAATGTACCAGCTCAGAGGCAATGCAGCCAGTAAACTTCAAAGATCTATTTTCTAGTTTCAGAGGGACAGGTATGTGCCTTCGTCAAGCTTCAGGACCTTTGGATGCCAAGGTGTAATGAAAGGGACAAACTATCACAAAGTAAAGTACAGTGTACTTTACTTTGATATAGCTGGGAATGAAATCAAACTGATTTAGAGCAGCACCATTCACATGAGGCAGAACATAAGACTAAGGGTTGAAATGATGAACAACAGCAAGGATGATAAGCCGTTTCCACAGAAACACAACTGTACATGTTTCCTTATTACTCCCATGTCACGAGGATGTTGGGTGACAAAGGATGACTTGTGCATTCTCAGAACTCTAATTCTCTCTATTCCTGTTTTCTCCTCTAACCTCTCCCACAGTTACCTGTGCAGTTGTGTTCTCACAGAAGAAGAAAACTCACAAAATTTATCAATGGTGAAGGAAGCCACCAGAGATTACCAGGTGTGTTTACCAAGAGTTGGTGCAGTAACTTGATTTCCAGTTGAGGTAAGCTCTTGATTACAAAGCAACACATTATAGCAGCATTTTACCCATATGGGCCCTATGAGCTAAAGAGAAGGTAATTTGATGCTACCCAAAACACCATATGACCAAAACCAGCAGCAAAGCCCTTCAGAAGAGCTCTGTTTCCTAGTACAGATGGATAGGTGGGAGTTTGGTTACCAAAATCCTGTTCCCGACAGTATTGTTGCAGTGTTGTGTTCCAGCCTTCTCAGCCACTTTGCAAGCCACATTTGCCAACGTCCGTGGCTATTTCAGTTAACAAGTAAAACCTCCTTTTAATTCATGGGCTTTCAGAAAACAAGCCAAAACCACAGTTATGATGCAGAGACGTTGATGGATTATCGGTGATGGTTTTTTGTTTCTTGTAGCTTGGAATTCGGAGACTGTTGGAGTCTGGCAGATACGACACTCATGAAAATTTCACAGTGGTCATCCAGCCTTTCCTCCAAAATCCCAAGATTTCTCTTGGTCAGGTACAGTCTAAGGAGACTTCTGCATGCAAAGGACTAAGTGTGCATGTCTAACCTATAGAGAATACTTTCATCTTGTTCTGTCCTTTTCTTTTTAAACCTGGTTGCTTTCTGGTACAGTACATCAGATTTCTTCATATACTCAGCAGCTCTTGGTTTTACATATTATGCAGTATATGTAATATGAATTACTGTTTGGGAAAAGGAATCAAAACCTGAACGAAGAGGTTGGTTCTCAAGGGTACAGAAATATTTTTCTTTCTGAACATACAACACGATTAATAAAAGCCAGAGGTACAAAGTTACAGTTTAAAAGCAGCGCTGCTGCACTGCTCACTGGAGACATCTTTATGTCCCATAACTCATTATTCTGTGTCCAACAGAAAAAGAAGTTTACATATGATCTAGTGGGTATAGCAGTTTTATGTAGTGAGCCCTTTTTCCTGTTACTGGCAGTTATGTTTCAGTTCCTTGAGTTGTAAGCCTCATAAAGGATGAAAATGACCGAAACCTTCTCTGAAACTGAAACTCCACTTGCAAATTTTCACATGCCTCTGCACTTCCTCATCTCACCTGGAGCTAAGAGTAGACAGGGCAAAATATTGAGCTGGGATTGCTCTGTAATAACTGAACTGAACTGATCCTGAAACTGCCAGCAACAGCCAGGGACAAGCTTGAAGAGTTCAGATGCTGCTACAGACAAATTTGGAAAACCGGTGGAAACCTTCACAGGAAAACCAGACAGGGATTTGTTTTTTTTGTGTTTTGGTGAAGCTGGTTCCTGTGAAGTCATCCCAAGTTGGTTTGGTACCGAGATAGAGAACACAGAAATGAAAACAGAAGCAGCAGCAAAATATTTCTGAATATTTTATAGTCTCACAAGACTTAGTTCAGATTTTAATGGAGTTCAGGATGCTGTTTTCTATTCTTCTTGTCTCATTCAGATGTTCCTGAACTGAAAACTCTACCCCTAAACATGCCAAAAGATATAGATGCAAATTTTGGTACTAATCTTCGAATAAGGCTAGCCTAAACACACTGAATCAAAACCTGCTCAAGTTTTGAGGAAGAGCTACTCTGACCAAACGAAATCTTGTTTCAGTCATCTGTGACCTAAACTCCTCATCTCAGTACTCACACAAAAGCCAAGATACTTAAATGTCCAAACTCCATTTCCTTCAGATGCTCCAGTATCTGTATCAGAGTAAAGCTTTGCTCAGAGAGGAGGCTAAACACGAAATAGAAAATGATGGGTTTTCTATTTCTGGGTGGATCTGCTCTTGGAGGCACATGAGCATCTCTAGTTAAGTGTTTCTGGCAGCTCATGGACCTGCTGACATACACTGTGTATCACCAGGTAATCACGAGACAATTCTGTATTGGATCAGCAAGAAAAAGCAGCATGAGCCTCTCATTACTGGCTCCGATTTGGCCTCAGCAACCCCAAGTTGGAGCGGTGTGGATTCTTCTGCACTCAGGTGTCCTTTATGCTTTCATTTGTAGGATGGGCATCCAGATCTCTCCTACTTTGCGCCTGACTGCTTCCATCCAAGCCAGAAAGGCCATGCTCAGCTTGCCAAGGCTCTTTGGAATTCACTGGTAAGGTGACAGGCTCTGCATATAATGTGGTCTTTACCTACACCTTACTGCTATTGAACTAATCTCTGTAATAAACATTGCAATGAAAGCCTGCATACTGCTGGACCTTTGTGTTTGTTTCTTAACTCATCACATACCCTCCATATTTGGTGCTGCTCTCAGCCTAGAACCTCTCGCTTCTGAAAGTGCGTGGGGAGGAGAGTGGTGCTGTAGGTGCGTGATTATAGCTGAGTGACTTCAAGTCTACTTCACCCATTGTCATGGAAGGCAGGGTAGCATTCAGTAAGGATGATGTTTCTATGGGCTGCTCTGGGAAACCACCAAATAAAGAATTGTAACTGCATGTGTCAATTTAAAATGGATTACTTAGAAGTTTGTTTTAAATCCATGCGTTGTGAATGTCTCATTAGGAATTAAAGTGGCTTTAATTCAGTTTAGCTTTACTACCTTTGGAAGTGAGTAAAACTTAATGAAAATGAGTCGTTAAAGACTGCTTAAGCAAACCCATTTTAGCGTTGCGTTGCAGTGCAGTGCAATATGCAGTTGGAGGCATCTTGGATCCTGGATGGTAACTTTTATATACTTTGGGGTAATGTCTTAACAGCTGACATGATTGCTTGCAATCATCCCACAGTACCTCTGATTAAATTTGGTTCAATCTTCTATGCATAAACAGCCTTTTGTTGGAGATGCCATCATGCAGCTTAGTGATAAAAACTGAGGGACTCTTAGCCTCTTGTCTTTTATGCAAGAGAAAAGAGTTTATGACCTTGCCTGCTGGCGAAATTCCAAGGTACTTCATGTGCCTGCCAAAAGCCTCCAGGAGTTTCAACTGATCCAGTGTAGTTTTCCACTTCCCATTTTAAGCTTCTTTCAAGAGTTGTTCTGTTGTTATGCAGTTGCCATGTTCTTTTTGAGAAGCAGACGCATTTCAGCCTTGGGTAAATCAAGGTCTGTAAATACAGGCAGTTTTATATAAATTTGAGAGCTATTCTGAGGTTCTTTTAAATTAGACTTGTTACACAAATGTAAGATGGGCCAACGTGGTTATAAAATGGGGTTTTTGTTGTCTTCCTTTCTAGTTACAACCTGTACACCAGAAAGCTGACTCGTTTGATTTCATGGCTGACATTGTCCTTGACTGTCCAACTCAGGTAAATATACCCATGCTGTGGAAGCTGGGCATCAAGAGGCTCTGTGTGCTTGAAGTGCTGCAGTTAGCAGGGGTTTGGGATGTCTGGAACAAGTTTACTGGAAACTTTGGTTCTCTGCTTACCTGTGAGTGAGCAGGTGCTCTCATATACCTGCTCTGGTGTCCCTCAACCTTTTACTGTGCCATGAATACTAATTGACAACACGCTGATTGGTATGGGTTTAGTTGTAGCAGAGGTTCTGTTTTGCTGTGAAGTACAGAGGCAGGTCAAACAGCAAATAACAGAATATGTTGCATTAACTTTCCCATCAGAATCAATGCCACTATCTGTTATCTCTTGATCTAGCACCAGGTTGGTTTTCCTGGCCTGATCCATAACAGGGATACTTCAGACTCTTTGGAAGCTGCTTCTGCAGTTACAAAACAAGCTGCTGAACTTGCAGTACAGTTGCTAGGTATCAGCACGTGGAAATAACCACTGCAGTCAGCAATAATTGGCTCCCTCTCTTCAGCAGTTTCAACAAGGAGGCCAAGGAACTGAACAGATCAGAGAGCTGAGTTGTTATCTCAGGTCTGGAGACAGTCATTCAGGTCATAGAAGAGGATTTTGTCCATATCACATTCATCATCTCAAAAAAGGAAGATCTGAGAGTTATTAATTGGCATGTTTCAAACGTCCTCAGATTCACTTAAATTGATCTACCCAGTATTCATTCCAGGCAGCTTAAATTAACTTAGCAACTTCTTCAGTGCCAAATAATGTGGTTTTTCTCCTTCTTTCCCTTCATCTACTCCTATTCAGAAGTAGGCACAGAAAAGTTTAGTAGCCCTTGCAAAGAATATGTGGCCGTTGTTTTCAGAAATGGTAAGCCCACAGTGCTTTGAGAAAGTCACTGATGGAAGTGCCAGTAGCTTTTCCTGCACAGAAAGCTCTGTGGCACTGATACAAAGGAACAAATAAACTGTTTCCAGGGGATTTCACCCCCTGTGTTACTGAAGGGAGTAGTGAATTACTTCAGATTCTGACACCCACAAATTCCATTTATTGCTCCCACAGTTTCTCACTGCAGGTTTAAAATTCTATCTGCTTTAAGCAGTCATGGCCATCAAAATGTCAGGTGTGCCAGACTGCAAGGGCCCAGCAAGCCAAGGAAAATCATTTGTATTGAGGCAACTTAAAGTAGGGTAAAACCCTGCAAATAAAAGAATAGTGAGTCTTCCAATCAAATACGTTAGTGCTTTGTAAGACCTCCTCATGCAGCCACTGGAATGGCTCTTAATTGAGACATCCCAGTGAAATTTTTTAGCCTATACAATGTGCATGTCTTCCTGAACGCGTGTTGCATTAGTAGGGAACAAAAATAACCATGCAATTCATGCAGTCTCTCTCAGAGAGGAGTGATCCTTTCAGTAATCAGTCTTTTCATCTCCCCTCTGCTGTCAGGTTTCTCTAGACTTTACATTGGTATCTTTTAAAAGGATTAAATATCTAACAAAATCTAAGTAATTTGTGAAAGGTTAGGAGAGGACGATGTTAAACTGCAATCAGGACCTGGTATATGTCATTTTTGCCATAAGGTGCTGAACATAAATCTTACTTCTGAATTTTAAGAAAGCAACATGGTTTCAAAATCCAGATTTCCATTTTGCAGCTTATGTATTTACTTTCTTAGTGATGCCTGGTATCACTTGCTGTGGTCTGTGCCATGCGCTTACTGCCTAATTTCTCTTATGTATTCCTCTTTCTCCAGGACAAACCATTCCTGGCAACATACAAGAATAGCAACTACACACACCTACCTGTGGAGCCCACTGATGAGCCAATAGAGGTAATTGTTGCATCTTTTGCTGTGTTTTCTGTGACGCATGCAAAGCTGTATCTGGTGACTGTTCACACATCAGCCCGGATGTATAGATGAGATAAACTATTACCAGTTTTTAGAAAGAGAAGTCTATCTTGCACTGCATTTTTTTTTCTCTGTAAACAAATGTTAAACTCTCCCTAAAAGCCAAACAAAAAGAATTGTATTAATAGGTGCAATTGTATCACAACTCTGGTCAACAGTAGGGTACCTGGGATGCATCATTAATAGCAAGCTCCTCACAGTTGTGAATGTTGTGAATGCTCCATCCCTGGCAGTGTTCAAGACCAGGTTGGACAAAGCCTTGGGTGACATGGTTTAGAGTGAGGTGTCCCTGCCCATGGCAGGGGGGTTGGAACTGGATGATCTTAAGGTCCTTTCCAACCCTAACTATTCTATGATTCTATAACAGTAGCAAGAAGATAACGTATAGCCCTGAGCCCCCATATGCTCTGAGGAAGGTTTCCATATTCTCTTACTGAGCCACTGTACTTCCATGCACTAAGGTAAGCTTAACCTGCAGAGGGCAGTCACCTTTACATATTGGATATGTGGTTAGATACAAAGGTGATAGGAATCCATTTTCAAAGAGATTCATTTTCCACAATGACTGAGCAACTACCACAGGGTTCATTAAAGAAACTGCTGAAACAAACTTTGTGTAGGATGTGAAGAAATGGGGCACTTAATTGATCTTGACAAGTGGCTGCAGGCATGCAGACCAAGTGTGGTTGGAGATGACAGTCAAAATGGGCTGGTCTAGTTCAATATACTGGGGGTCCTCCTGCTTAGCTAAATGATGAAAATCTTTATGTGCCTTGAGGGTTACAGAGAGCAACAGCTGGTTTTGCTTCAGCAAACATAGTTTGCAATACTGAAATCGATTTTTATCTGTAAAGCCAGAGTTATACTTTTAATGGGTTATCTTGTACTTCCACTGAATCTCATCAGCAATAGCTTTTAAAGTGATAGGGCAAAGTAAAGAAACAGTAGAGAGAGTAAAGAAACAGTTCTCTCTTTGATCTGAAAATAACTCCAGCTGTCCTTTCTACCCTCTGCAACCAGCCTTTAGCTAGATGGCTGATAGTAGAGCCATCTTCTTTTACGAGAAAAGATGAATTTGTCTTGATGATTTTAACACTAAGTCTGCTTTCTAAAGAACACTGCTCCACGTAGTTTTTCTCTGAATGGTAGGATAGTGCAATTGCAGAATAATTGGGGTTGGAAGAGACCTCAGGATAACGTTCGTCCAACCTCCTGCTCCAAGCAGGGCCTGCTTTTGCATCAGCATAAGCAGCTCTTTGCTCTTGCAGGCACTGCCCATTACAACAATAACAATATTGTTGCTCACTATCGATAAGTGTGGGTGGAACATTCATCAGCTGTCTCTGCTGGTGAACCAAGATGTTCTGCAATGCGTGGTTCACTCAATTTCCTCAACTGGTGGAATAAGCATAATAGCTCTGATATCACCAACAAGTATACCATAGAATGGTTTAGATTGGAAGATCATATAGTTCCAACTCCCCTGGCATGGCAAAGTGCAATTATTTAGAGGCTAATAGCTGTCTTTACGGAAACTTTTGAAGTTTCAAACTTTTTCACATTTTATATTCAGTGAAAACAAGCCCTTTTTGAAAGTTTCTAGGAAAAGAATAGTTTTCTAGCAAGGTATATGGGGGAAAATACAACGTAATAAGTTAGTATTATAGATTTGCAGAGGATTTTGTTATTGATTTTTGTTTTGTTTGTTGTTACATCTTTTGAGATGGAAAACCTGGAGACCCCACTTTCTAGGTCATGCGCAAAATCTCCAGGCTGTAGAAGAGAGGGAAAAAATAATCCTCCTCATGAAATTTACCATAAGCAATATTTCTCAATTAAATATTTCATCTTTGGAAAGGTTTTATGCTTTGGTGAGAAAATTTCATCCAAAGTAATTAACGTTTTGACAGTATTCAACAAAGAGGAGGAAAGGACTGTTGAGCTATATAGGTACCAAACTTGGATCTGTGTCTTAATTTGGTTTTGCCCTTTGCTGTACAATTAAACCATATAAGAATTCCATATCATCATGGTGAACCAATTTTGTAACTTGCCATTGCAGAACTGGGGCAGTGACCTGTTGTGTTCCGAACAGGCTTCATCCAGTCGTGTCCCAGCATCAGGTGAGAAAGAACTTGTAAGCTAAAATCACAAATAAGAAAGATTCTACTTTTTGTTCTTAAAACCTCTCCTAGATGGGAAGCAAACAGCAAAAGCTGATGCATTTAGCAGCAGAGAAAGTCTGTCTTGCCATACACAGTAAATTCTGCATCACAGCAGATGTGCCCTCTGTGGATAAATACAATCACATTTATCGTTGTCATGGTTTAACCCAGCCAGCAATTAAGCACCACAGAGCCACTCACTCACTTCCCCGCAGTGGGATGGGGAGAGAATCAAAAGCGTAAAAGTGACAAAATTTGTGGGTTGAGTTATAGACGGTTGCAAAAGCCACACACACAAAAGCAAAGCAGCCCAGCCTCCTCGCTGCTGGGGTGGTGCGAGACGAAGAGGCCTTGACTCAGTGTAAGCACTGCTCAGCAGTGACAAAAGCATCCCTGTGTTATCAGCACTGTTTCCAGCACAAATCCAAAACATGGCCCCATACCAGCTACTACGAACACAATTAACTCTACCCCAGCCAAAACCAGCAGAGTCATATATATATATATATATATATATATATATATATATATATATATATATATATATATATATATATATATATATATATATATATATATATATATATATATATATATATATATATATATATATATATATATATATATATATATATATATATATATATATATATATATATATATATATATATATATATATATATATATATATATATATATATATATATATATATATATATATATATATATATATATATATATATATATATATATATATATATATATATATATATATATATATATATATATATATATATATATATATATATATATATATATATATATATATATATATATATATATATATATATATATATATATATATATATATATATATATATATATATATATATATATATATATATATATATATATATATATATATATATATATATATATATATATATATATATATATATATATATATATATATATATATATATATATATATATATATATATATATATATATATATATATATATATATATATATATATATATATATATATATATATATATATATATATATATATATATATATATATATATATATATATATATATATATATATATATATATATATATATATATATATATATATATATATATATATATATATATATATATATATATATATATATATATTATATATATATATATATATATATATATATATATATATATATATATATATATATATATATATATATATATATATATATATATATATATATATATATATATATATATATATATATATATATATATATATATATATATATATATATATATATATATATATATATATATATATATATATATATATATATATATATATATATATATATATATATATATATATATATATATATATATATATATATATATATATATATATATATATATATATATATATATATATATATATATATATATATATATATATATATATATATATATATATATATATATATATATATATATATATATATATATATATATATATATATATATATATATATATATATATATATATATATATATATATATATATATATATATATATATATATATATATATATATATATATATATATATATATATATATATATATATATATATATATATATATATATATATATATATATATATATATATATATATATATATATATATATATATATATATATATATATATATATATATATATATATATATATATATATATATATATATATATATATATATATATATATATATATATATATATATATATATATATATATATATATATATATATATATATATATATATCATATACAGCAACATGGCAGGTTAATATTGCCTAGGTAGGTTAGTGGCTCAGTAAGTTTGACCAATCTGATCTATGACCCAAACCTGAAAACCGATTGAAAGAGATTGAATGTATGTACCCCATAATGTATCTGATCTGTTTTCATTTTTTTCTGAAGATCTTTTAAGTTCCATTGATTTCTGTGTTAGTTGAGTAAACTGTTGCAAGCAAAGGCGAGAAGTTATGCCTCTTGCTTAGCTGACACAGAATTTGAGGTTTGTTTTCCCTGAAAAACTGTAAAAATGTGATTGGATTGGAACAAGACACTTTCAACTTTGTTCTGTTAAACTGTGTTTTGTCTCAATTGTCAATAATCCTGCTTTTTTTCTCCTACTTTTTAGCACATGAGCTACAACCTGCTGATATCAAAGTCATAGGAGCACTGGGAGATTCCCTGACTGTGAGTACTGCTGTATTCCCATATTTAGAATGAGAAGAGCAATTGTCAGATTTCTGCCTAGATATGATCGTGGCAGGCATCATCAGATAGAAATCAAATTGCTTTGGCTTGGCAAAGCAAAATCCCTCTGCCTGTGTCCCTTTGCAAAGGAATAACCTGAAGGGATATGAGTGACACCGGCAATTGTGTAATCCAGTAATAAATAATTCAGGCTAGAACAGAAATGGGATCACATTCTCTATCCCACGCAGTTTATTCAAGTGTTTCTGAAAGGGGAACTGTCTGCCTTATAGGAACAGCCTTTTCTGACATTAAACCAAGAGCAAGCAATTGACACTTTTCATTAACTGAGAGATCTTGATGAAAATTCCAGTGGAAATAACTGATTGCAGAATAAAGTGTTTCACACTCGAGATGATTCTGATATGTCTGTATCTCAGACTTCTGCTTTCAGATACTGCTTCCTGGCTTAGGCATCTTCCAGTTAAAACTCTGCTATGTACCAAGAAATTCAAACTGAAAAGGGTAGGCACAGCAAAGAGAAGCCCTAGGAAAGAATAGCAGGGAATACTGCAGACATGCGTCAAAGTTTTCTGAGGGAAAGTTCCAGAATTACACAGCACTACAGAATTGTTCTGGCATGGGATGAAAGCAAACATTCCTGTCAACAGTTCCCATGAATTTTAACTCCTGAGCTAAACCAGTGCTCATTCTAGCAGCTTCAGCTCCTGTAGAGTTCAGAGGGAGTCAGAGGTACTGAAGCCCTTAAATGATCAGGCTTATCTGCAGGCAGGCGTGCACATCTTCATCTCCTCACTAGCTCCGAAACTGATTTTGCTTGACCTGATGTAATCCCGGCTTTCCTCCCCGCTGCTGAGCTTTGAGCTTTCCTTAGAAGACCTTAGTAATGACCCTGCAAGTCTCCCTCCTACCCATTGCCATGACTCTCAGAATTAATTGCTTGATTTCCTCCCCCACATTTAGTGCTATGGATGTGCTCTAGCGCACATCTCTTCTTTTTTACATTTTAATTCTTTTAGTGCACGAAATGTACTCATAAGGGCCAGACTAAGGCTCGAGCTCCCTGTCTCAAGAGCTGGGCAAGCCAGTTTTTCATACTGCTGTTATTCATCCAGTTCCTATTAGTTTCTATTGCCACAGCAAAGCGTAATTGGGCTTTTTGGGAAGGGATTTATTGAGGGGAAGAGCAGGGCAGAAAACATGGCAGACTATTTCCCTCATGTGTGTACACATACACGTACCCCTCAAGTACAAAGTGCCATACAGCCAGCAGCAGTGCACACTTTGTACTGCCTAACCATCCCTGGCGCAGCTGACTGCCCCAGCTAAGATCTGTCGTGGTCCACTAAGACATTGATTTTTCCTCCTGGTATTTCCCACAAGAGCCCTGAATGCAGTTGGTGTTCATGGCTGAATTGACACCACAGCTTTTTGAAGGCTAGAAAATGAAGTGAAACCACGAAGAAACTATAAAGCTGCAGAAGCATGACTGCTGTCCTGAATGTGAGTGAGGGTGTTGACCTTGCTAGAGGTCTGTCCTAGTCCTGTCAGCTGCTCGAATTCCTCACAGCTTTGTTCCAATGTCTTATTTGTTTTTGAAAGATTAAAGTTCACACTGCAGGAAAGCTGCTCTCAGGCCAGATGTGCTTGGAGATTAATGAAATGTTCAGGAATTTAGTCATGTCACTGGCTGGAATGCATCTGTCTGACTCCCTAGCACCAATGCACAGTGAAAGCAACAGCTATGCCAACATGCTTATCTGTATTGGCAAAACCGACCCTGCTACACCTCGTCGAGTCTGTGTGTTGGACGGGCAGATGGGGTCTGGCAGAGGAAAAGTAGATTTTGCACCAAAGATTTGTTTTCTTGCCAGATTAAAAAGCAGCTCCTCTGCTGATTTATTTACAGCTGAAACTGGCTGGGAATTTTTAATCAGTGTTTGGGTTGGTTTTTTTTTCCCCTGGTTTATTAACTTTCTCAAAATCAGCTTTCTTCAGGAAATGCCAGGATGGAGCCTTTACCATCAGAAAAATCCAAACAAATACAAAGCTGTTGGTTTTAATCTGGGTCCCACTGGATCACTAAAACGATATTAGAGTAGTAGTTCTAAAGCTCATGTCCTTGACCTTACGGTCTGATGCATTCTGTCTGGATGTTCCATGGTCTGCTGTTTAGATGAGCTGCTTTTGGAAATGTGAAGGCCTTGAATTTGAAGCACAGAACACGCAGGGCAATGAGAAGCCCTTGAATCTGAATCACACAACATGCAGGTCCGCTCAGAGGCCAGTGTGTGCTGCTGAATAAGGACATGGATCATTTATGCTAAAACTGGGATATTACAAAAGGTTGGCTGGATGCAGAGTAAAGTGACCAAAATGCTTCTGCACTTTGAAATCACGATGTCTGTCTTACCTAATCTTGTAGCAATTTTTTCTCCTAGTATTTTATACATTATTCTTTCCATCCTTTCCAGACTGCAAAAGGAGCCAAAGCATCTGACTCAGACTGGAGGGGACTTTCCTGGAGGTGAAAATGCTCAGTCTTCCATTTTGCTTTTTCATCCACAGGCACAGTTAAAAGTGTGGGTCACCTGGCTGTGTAGTTACATACTTAAGCAAGTAAATGAAGGAGTAGGATGTTGACAGCAAGTATTGCTTGGTAGGCCCTGGAGGAGTCAGGATTGGAAGAGAAAGGCGGTGATTCTTGTTGTGTTTTTTTGTTTGTTTTTGTTTTCTGTGGGGATTTTGTTGCTTTTTTTAACCAGACCTGATTGCTAGAAGCATGGCCTGGTGTGTCTGATGGTACTGGATTATTAGGTACTTTCAGGAGGGGCTGCCAGAAGGGGTATAAGAATGTATTGGCTCTGCACACAGCAAGCTTTGGGTGATAGAGGCAGGGGTTCTTCTCATAATCAGCATTGTAGAAACTGCAGATAGATGGTTAGTGAGTGTTTAATGCAGTCTCTCTTCTGTGCATAACTGCACACAAGCTTAGCTTCAGCAAGGTCACACGGACCGACTTTGGTGAGGGAATACGCCTTTCAGTGATGGGCATCCCAGCACATCCTTACAAAAAAATCAGTTCTCTCAGTTTGCTCTGTTCCCAGTCTGGAAGTTTCTCTCTTAGCTGCTTCCCTGCTTGATGTAATGTGAAATTTCCTTTCAGTACTTTCCCTGAATTCTTGTGGTTTATCTCCTTAGTCCTCTTTGAAGTTAGTCTTTTTTTTTTTTCCCTTCCTGGGCTGCTAGAGCAACATATGGTGGCAATAAGGCAGATGGTTGCAGGATTAATCCTACTTGGTGATTTTGTTCTTTCCCTTTGTAGCATTGGAGGTGATGGCACCCTGGAGACACAGACTACTTTACCCAGTGAGTATCCTGGAAAATCAATGTGAGAAAAGCAAAAGGCAAGTATTACTCTGAAAGTACTCTAAGTGGATGCTAGGAAACATTTGGAAATGGTCATGCTTTCCTTGCAAACAGTGGGGAATGCCCATCTATTGTGGATTTGAGCAGTTCGTGTGAGTCACAGCTGAAACCCAGACTGACCTGACTTCTTGTAAAGTAGCTGTAGATTCAGCCCCTCCACGTCACAGGATCTCCATGTGATTGTATCATCCTTTTGATTGAAATAATTAGGAGTAAATGTGCTGAAAGTGATTGAAGTCCAGGCCTGCTCCTCCTTTGTTTCATTTTTCTGCTTTTCAGTGACTGAGTGAAAAGGATGTGGGCAAATGAAGGGTTATGAAACAACTAGTGGTCCATCTAGCTAGGGTTGTTGACAAGGCTGTGGTTCCTCCTGATGGTTTCAAGTTGCTACATTGCACTGAAAAAAAAACAACCTAAAAATCCTATACATTTCTTGTCTTATGTTCTGTGTAATCGGTCTTGTAGTTGCCATAGAAACTATTAAGGGGTCAATGTGACTGTAAATTGGAAGGGACTTGGTTCACAGTGGTTCATCTATTTTCATGCGATCCAAGCTGTGGAGCAGTTTGACAATACCTGACATTGCTGGTAATAAAATCCAATATGCTTTGTCTTGTACCACGCACATTGCTGTGCTTAAAGAGAAATAGAAGGTACATTTTGCTTATGCAGTATGAATGAAACTCTCTGAAGAGGTTTCAGACAGCACTACAGACATGGTAACAATAACATCCCGCTTCCCTGCTGAGGGTTTTGGTGAAATCTAGAAATGTGACTAAAATTTACTTCTCTGCAATAAATAGAATTATCTTGATGGGTGTCTGGATGAGTGGAGTTAGAGGACTGTATTCAGAGCATCTGCTCCTGGTACATGAAGGGAAGTAACCACGATTACTGGCACTCAAATTCAATACCCATGAGTTGCATGAGACGTGCATCTCCTGGGCTGCCAGGCCCTGACCCCTCAAGGCCACGGAGAGAAATAGTTGCAGTGTGAAGTTTGGAAGGTAGAGTCTCCAAAGCAGCTCTGTAAGGTCATAGTGAACAAGGGGGAAACCCAGGTCCGCATTCCTACCGCTCGGCTGCTTGTGCTTCTGAGGGAGGCAACGCTACCGGTTGTACTGCACATGGGTGAACTCTGTGCTTTTTCTTCTGAAGATATCCTGAAAAAATTCAACCCGGACCTCTTTGGCTTTTCCACTGGCAGCTCCATGAAAACAGCTGGATTCAACGTCGCACAGAGAGGTGCCACAGCACGGTAAGCACAGCCACAGCCGAGAGAGGGCAAAGCGGTGAGCACTGATGGGCACCCAGACTCTCTCTGAAGTGCAGGTTAAGGCTGGGTGAATACTGATTACCTGCTTGCACTGAGCATATCTCTGTGACCTGATGATTTTCACTGGGTTTTTTAAATTATTTCATAAAATTCAGTATTGGGGGGATTTATTTTTATCTCTAAATTACAGATGGAGCAGAAACTTACTTTATTTATTTGACTTCTGCCCAGAATTTCTAAGCCAATGCCTTAATTACACTTCTGATTCTACCAGTACCTTTTTCTCCCCAGCCTTCAGTGCGCAGGTCCCTGATTCACTATCAGGCCACATCTGTAATGAGAAAAAAAAACATGAGAATCTCTCATTTATTCCTTGATTTCTGGGAAATGTGCCTCAAGCGACCAAACAGAAACCCACTGCTTTCCTAAAGGCATTAAGAACTATCTGTGTTTGCAGTGCAAAGATATAGAACAGAATGAGCATCTGGAAATCAAGTCTCTTAAGAAAAACTCTACTATAGGATGTTAAGAACCAAAATGTGTAAGGGCTTGTATTGTGTGCACTGTGTTCACTTTATGGATACTCATGGAATTTGTTTCCAAGACTTTCTATGGCACCTTTAACAGTCAGTAAATTCACTGCAAAAGAGTTTCGGGATAGGCTGTGTAGCTACTCAGTACTTCATGGGTGCCCTGAGCAAAGACTGAGGGCAATCAATATGGTTCTGGGAGTCCAAATACTATAACTGCATTTGTGTGGGTGCTGAAGGGAGGCAGGACTTATTAGCTCAAGCACAGACTTACTCTAGTGTACCAGGAGCTCAGGTTTCCCGCTGGTGTCTCAGCATGGTTTGTGCTTCAGCCCATGGACGTTGCATCCTGGCCAGAGCCGGGCTGGGACTGGCAGTTCCACAGCGTAAGCAGTGTCTTCCAGTCGTAAGACAAGCTGTAGGAGTTTAAGGTCAGATCAGGATGGGTGGTTAGGTGCCCAGCTTCTGCGTAAGCATCAAACTCCCCCACCAGGTTTCAAAGAGAGTTATGCAAATAAACATCTCTGTGCAACTGGGCATTAGTGGTTTTCTCCAAACAAAATGCACTTAAGCCAACTCTGAGATGGGAAGAATTCATTCCAGTTGCCTGCCACTTGGCAGTCATCCTCGCTGAAGCCCTTTCAGATCAGATTATTCACTTGTGCAACTGCTGCTGATCTCTGTCCTATGTTTGCTCATCCTTTCGAGGTATTTGCTTTCCTTGCACTGATTTCTGCTGATCCTAATATTCCCTGAAATGAGGAGTGGGAGGTCAGGAAGATGATGTGTGTTTAAAGCACACATCTAAAATGCTTCTGTCCTCTCTCTAGCAATATGTCAGCCCAAGCACGTGAATTGGTGGAGCTAATGAGAAGCAGCTCGGTAAGTGGAACTCGGGCCACCCTCAGTGCTCTCATGGTCTCTGGGACGTGACTTTAATTGATGGGATGCTTGAGCAGTGATGGAACAAAAGTCAGTGTCCTTGTCTCTGGTGTGCTTTCCAAGATGAATGTGCCAGGGTTCAGCCTTTAGGAGATGATGATTTGCCTATAGAAATCCATGTAGGTAGGTGCAAACACACAAGGCAGAGAATAATGTAGGATGCAGTGCAGCCAGGAGGGTAGTGAGAAAAGGAGAAACCTGAAGGTTATGGGAAGATCACAGGACTGCTTTAGTTGAGCAGCACCATTCAAAAAGGCTGGGTGTAAAATTGCTGGAGCAGGCACCTGGTGACCAACATGAATAGCGCCATTCACTCTTGGGTCTGGGAAATGGCAATTTTGGGAAGGGACAACTGAAGCCTTCCTAGGAGACCAGGCCCTCTGGCCCTGAACAGGCAAGTGACTGATCAATGTCCAGAAACCTCAGGGTTGGGTGAATCCCTGTCACCCCACAATTAGTAGGGGGGGAATGTAGCACTGAGGGCCAGACTGCTGTGCCAGTTCCACTGAGGGCTACAGAGGGCACTAAAAGGATGATTCCCTTTCAGTTCAATGGCTGCTGCTGCAGTTTGGGGTGGGAGGGGGAGGATATCTGGGAGAAAACCAAAGCCTCCTTGTTCCAAGTTTTGGCTGAATTTGAGCAGATGACTGTCTGGGTGTGAGCTGCTGGTGCAGGGAGAGCACCCTGTGAGGGAATGGGAAAGCCTGGTGCTCCTTGGCTCAGGCTGAATGGGAAAGGAAGGTATTGAATAAGCAGGATCTGTGGGAGCATGTGCCTCTCTGTGCCAGTGCTCCGGACGGATGCTGCATGCTCACCCCACTGTCAGTTATTCCATGTTACTGATTCTTTGGCAGAGTGAAGGGAGCTGGCGTGGCTCTTCAATAAGATAGTATGTGGCTCTAGAGCTTGGTTTTATCCACTGCTTTTTGTTTATCTTTAAAAAAGGAGGGGGCAGAAGTCCCTGCCACGCTTTGCCTCTTCATGAAAGGCTTCCGGAGCAAAGTGCTGGTTAAGGAGCAGAATTCAGATCTGTGGGTGATTCCCAGGCCCTCCCTCTGTTTGTGGGATCCTTTCGCAGATGTTTGTTACGTAAATGCACTACCCTAAAAATAGTTGCCTTAGATTCCTTTCTTTGTACTGAACGTTACAAAATGTTTTGATGCGATCCAGCTCTCAGCAGCGCCTATTGTTAGGTTGCGGTGACGTGGATGCTGCAGCTGCCCTTATATGAGCTCGGTGAAGTCACCAGCCTCCTGGACTCTTCTATTTTAATCCAGCTGTCTGCTCCCTGGGGCACCCCTCGCCCCTCCTGCCCGTAGGGGTGATACTTGCCCAGCTGGCAGGGATCCCCAGCAGCTCCGGTTCTGCAGCTCCATGAGTCACTCCAGCATCCACTCCCACAGTGCTCCATCTCCCCTGGCCATCCCTGTCCTGAAGCTAACATTCATTTAGGGACACTTGCTGCCACAGACATGTTTCCATGCTTGGCTACCCGGACAGATCTCATCTGCTGAAGGGAATTTCCTTACAAAAGCCAAGGTGAAATGCAGCTGGACTAGCAAACAGTTCGCATTTTCCCCCTGGAGAGATGCTTTCCTTTCACCAGCTGAATTCAGCGTCTCCTTTCTCTGTGCTGCCATGCTGTCTGTAGCTATTTGTGAATGTGCCCTCCGCATGCCTAAGCGATGGATGCTGCAATCTGTTTGCTTTATGTGCCACTAGAAAATTAACTTCAAGGAAGACTGGAAGCTGATCACTGTCCTCGTTGGAGGCAACGACTTATGCCAGTACTGCCTGGACAAGGTTGGTATCTCTGAATTAGGCATGCTCATCCAGGCACTTGGCAAGTGACCAACCCTGGATATACAACCTTTCTCTCTCTCTTAGTGAGCCAAAGTTCCTCTTTGTTTAAAAAGCACTTAGAAGTCCTGTTCCTTTCATCTGTATTGTATCAGAAACAAGTGCACAGCTTTTAATGCCGGAGCATTGCAGCTCTGGAGTCACATTGTTTAAAAACCAGCAGCCTGCCCCATACTGAACAAAGCACCAAGGACAAACTGGAGAGCTCTCCCAGCTTAACTGGACAAGCTGTGTGGTGTTTTAGGCATGTTGTTATGGGGACACAAGCGAGGTTTTATTCTGGAAAGCGTCTCCATGCAATAATAACTGGGGATGCCTGACTCTGGCTTCGGAATGACACCAGAAGAAACAACATCAGTGTATATTGAAGATGTCTTTTATCCAGCTGTCAGTGGTTATCCCCTCTGAAAAGGCCCCTGTGATGCAGACTGGGGGTCTGGACCACAGCTTGTTGAAATGACTGCGGCTGTTCTCTCAGGTTTCTCTCTTTTGCTGTTGTTTTTTAGAGGCTGCTGCCTGGAGCCTTTGCCCCCACAGCTCCACCTCTATAACTACAGTCACAAAGCAGTTTTGCCTGTGGGTTTTCTGGGGCCTCCATAGCAATTTCCCCAGACTGGCAGAGCAATAAAAAGGTATCACTGTTCATAAGGCAGACTAGGCTTGTCTGGATCCCATAAAAGACAATATCAAATCCAAAGGTGTGATTTATGTAGACATTCATCAGGCAAAGACTCTGCCAAGAATTGTTATATACCTTGGGATTTTCTACAGAGATTAAGAGACTGTATTAGTGACATAGAAACACAAACACTGTATAACCTGGGTCGATGTGGCAATAAACCTCTTGATCTGAAAATATACCTGCCAACAAAGGTTTAAGGAAACAATGCATCAGTATTATCTTCTCATGGGCTGCCTTGCAACTGCAGAATCCCTGCGCTCCTTTGTTCAGGTGCAAAACGGTTAAACTTCTTAGTTCCTTAAAGAAGACCGATCCTTATTTATTTATGTGTTTATTTTAATTACTCAGGAAGCCTTTTCAGTGCAAAAGTATGTAAAGCACCTTCAGGACACTCTGGATATTTTCTACGAGGAGGTAAGCTTTTAAGATACCGTAGCAAGCTCCGTTCCTGGTGAGCACACTGATGTTTTTCTCACCACTGATAGGCTGTCAGTGATTATGTTTCATACAAGGCCATATTCCAAACAGCTGGAGTCAGACTCAGCGCTGCATTTCAACAACTGTGTTGGAAAATGTCCTGAGAAGGTGGTTGTACAAGCTGCTGGGATGTTTTTGGCTGACATCCACCATATGTCTTCCTCCTCCTATACATCGTCCTATGCACATGCCATTGGTTGCAGTTTGCTCTGACTCCCTGACCTATGGATGGCACTTCTTCCTCACTTTGTAGTGGTATCAAGTTCTGTGATTTGGTATGTCTGGTTCTTCTAATCCCTGCAGCTCCCAAGGGTCTTTGTCAACATGGTGGAGATACTAGAGGTTTCTGGACTGCGTCAGATTGCAGCAAGCTCTTCAACGTGTGCTTTGATAACAAAGTAAGTGAGCAAAACAGGTCTTTGCTTTAAAGGGTTATTTTCTTGGATCAATCTAAATTGCTTCTTCAGTAGGCATCCTCACTGAGCTTTCCAAGCTATTTGCACTGCAGCCTTTACCTGATACACTAGTTCCCATCAACTTCCTATTACTTCTTCCAATACTTCAGCTAAAAGGCACATGCCTGTAGATAGCAGAGTTACCACTTTTCTCCCCAGCTCTAAGGCAGCATGTCACAGCACAAGTCACCGCAGAAGTGGTGTATTGCTGAACTTCAAAGCCTTTTTTGTTCAGCCTTTCACTGGTCAGCAGCGCAGGCTGACATCACTGATGCCTCTGCCTGTATTCAGTGCTGCATTACCTGTGATGCAGGCTGGGCTGCCTGCAGCAGAGTGCACAATCAGGAACTGCTTTTCACACCTAATGGAGGAGAGAAAAGAATCCTAACTCAAAGAAGGTTGGGGGACTTGTTTTAGACAGCAGCAGAGACTTTACAGGAGTCAGCATGGACGTGAGAGGCTCTTTAGTCTAGCAGAGAAAGGTATAACAAAGACCAGTGGTTGGAAGCTGATGCCTAATGAATTCAAATGAAGTAAGGCACAGATTTTTAATACTAGAAGTGATTAACTACTGGAACACATTAGAAGGGAAAATAATGGCTTGATGTTTTCATGTTCATTCCAAGCACATTCTAAGAGGATGCATTTCAGTGAAGCTCAAGTTATTGCCTCCCAATATGGGGGTAACAGAATAAAACACAGTGGTCTAAGGAGTCAGACTACATGAACAATTTGTCTTTTGTATCTTTAAACCCCCAGGTATATGAGGGGTATTTTTCCATTCTAACACATGTGATTTCCTGCTGATGTGTGGCATACTGAACACTTCTGCATTTGACTTACAAGTTGTGGATCCTGAAGTTCTTACCAGGTGTTCACTTTGAAAATGAAGTCAGTAGGGATTTTTGTATCTGGCCATTTCTAAGCCAGAGATCACATTCTTCTGCATGTGAGCTTTCAGCACCTATCCTGAGCGTTGTGAAACACGCACATTGCTGAAGAGTTGCATAGGCTATTCCAGATTGGCTTTTAATTCTAGCATTTCTTTCGTTGAAGGAACTTTTGCCCATGTGTCTTAAACCCCGAGGAAAATTCTTCTGAGCTACAAGAAATTAAGAGAGTTAACAGAGATTTTCAGGTAATACCTCGCTTCTGTAACTGGCCACCTTCACTTCTTTATATTGCTTCCCTTACTGCCCTTATTCTCATGCATATCCATCCTCAGCAGGACAGAGAGGGGCAACTGGGAAACAGCTTGGCTACAGTCTGCCCTACCCAGCTAAGGGCCTAGCAGCAGGGCAAGTCTTTCCACACTGCCTTATGATTTGACCCTGATTCCATTTCCAGCTGCTGTTTCAACAGCTGAAGAGGAGTTACCGATGATGGCTGTTGTGTTGATGTGTTTGTTTGTTATGAATCCAGTGAGTAGCTCATATGAATTAATGTCGCTGCAAGGGTGCCAAATCACCTTGCATCAGTTGTTTTGTGGTAACTTAGCAGAAGAAATGAACTAAACCAACCTGATATTCCTTTCATTTGCCATAAGCTGAAAGCGTGCACACAGACAGCTTACCATGGATCAGCTTGCTATCTAAGAGTAACTTATCATAGCCTTGGGCATAAGATTCACTGAAAATTAACAAAGGCTATAAATAGCTACTGGAACATTAAGTTTTTCCATCATTATTCCTATGAATACAGGAATCACTGTATCAGATCACATTATGTTCTCCAGCCTTCCATTCTGGCTCTGGCAGTGGATGCTGTCCAATGAATCTCAAAACAGTGCTCAAAAACCCATCTCGAAAAACACTTCTATAAACCTACTAGAAAGGACATTTCCATTTAACTAAGCAAGTTGGATTAGGAATGTTTTGAGATATGACCAGGAGCATCAGAGTTTATACCCATAAAGGGGCAAGTAACAATGGGATATTTTTATCACCTGTTTGAATGTCCGTGGCCATAGTTTTCCAAGTGGTAGGTAACTTTTCAATGCTTAAGTTTTGCTTTACATCAAGATGACCTTTCTGAAGAATCAAGTGTCCTTCGGCCTCAAGTTGGCATTCTGACCCCATTTGTCACTTCTAAAAATTTTGGCCTAATTCCTTTTAATTCTTTGTAAATGTCAATCTCATTGTGACTGCAGCACTGATTTCTGTAAGCTATGAATGGCTTTCTTTTCGTTAAGCAATTTTACATTTCAAATTATCCTAACTTTTGTGCATTTTCCTCGTGAAAATCTCTTCATGAACCAAGTTATTTTCTTAGCTGTTTCCTGGACTGCTTTCAAAGCTAGCTTTCCACTAACAATATATGGCTTCCTACATTGAAAGAATGCATGGGTTTGAGAGCTGATAAATATTAGAAGACCCTCATGTTTCAAATCATTAAACTCTGCACAGGCTGAAGCCTTGCAGCTGATCAACAGCGGTCGGTACGAAGAGCGTGAGGACTTTGCAGTTGTCATGCAGCCGTTTTTCCGAAACACGTTGTTGCCCCTGGATGCCGTGAGTCCTCTTCTGATTGCCCATTATCCAAGCACAAGTATCCTGACTTCTCTGAGTCAGTAAGATTGATTCCACAAGGACTGTGTTTTCTTCTCTTCACACAGTCTAGCGGCACAGGGTGGAACCTGCAGTAAGTGACAAAGGGGAAAACAGGAAAGACTGTGCTGCCTGTGAATCAAAAAGGCTTTAGGAAACATTTGTAGTGTCATACATTAAGCCTAAGCACCCTCTGGCTTCCTCTAACTGCATGTTGCTTCCCCCACTGGGGACTTGGTTGGCATTCACGTAACTTTTGTCTGATCTAGGTTATGGAATATGTTCAGGTTTCCTTCACACAGGGACCAGAACTTGCATGCCTGGTTCATCCCAGCCTGGAAACAGGAAGCAGCCTTTGAAGCCAAACAGTGATTCTCCTTTCCTCCATCCTTAGCATTACATACACGGTGTAGTTAGGGATACAAATATTCATTGTGAATCCTGGCCAAAGCCACCCAGTTCTGCATGACTATGATCCCTCTGTCATATCATTCCCACTTTGTTCTGGCAGCCTTCAGAGTTCAAAGAATGGTCACCATGCAGGCAGCAATAAGGCAAATTCTAAGACAGATATTTGCTACAGCTGGATAAGACCACATTTTTTAATGTTGCCTGAAATCCAGCACAAATTTCAACACCTGAAAGGTTGTAAATTTGAGTTATAGGAGTTTAGCAGGCAAGAGTAAGCAGTTTTCTGTCAGTTCTGTACGAGGTGGAGTGTGGATCAACAGCAGTGTCCGTGTAAGAGCTGTGACTCTTGGCTTAACAAGCAGTTTAGGTGTGTTAAGCAAGCTGCTGTGTGAAGCTGAGCAGGCTGCATTACACAGAAGGTCTCAAGATGCAGTGATCAGCGCACAGTTAGGAGTACCTGCGTTTATTTGCAGTGCCAAAATATGATCATATTGTTTCTAGGAAGACACCAAAACTGTGAAGTGGGAATGCCAAGTACATTATGTCAGGTCTCAAAGGTTGAAATGTGCTGAGAAACACATTTTTGCTTTTATCACAGGACAGCAAGCCAGATATGAGTTTCTTTGCTGCAGACTGCCTTCATTTCAGTGGAAGAGGTTATGCTGAGATGGCTATAGCTCTCTGGAATAATATGGTAAGAGGTTACAACCTAGATCCCCATGTGTTGGTGGTAGCAATCCCTCCAAATGGCCATGAGAAAGGTGTCTGAAACAAAACAATAAGCAAGAAATAAAACTGAGATCCTAACAGGAGGGGGCTGCTCAACTCTGAGACCCTTCTTTTTCACTCTGCATTGCTCAGGAATACAATCCAAAGTGATCATGGTGCATAAAACAGTGTAAGCCTTAGCTCATTCAAAATGAGAAATCCTGAGATTTCTCATTGCATTTTACTCATTTCATTTTTCATTACATTAATGTAATGAAAAATCCTCTTCTGATTTGGTAAATAACTCGTATTAAAGCAATAAAACCCAGCCTAGTTAAGCATTCAGTCCTGTAGGCTTCCTGAAAACGTCTTTTGAATGAGCTTGCCCTTCTTGAGTGAATTCTGTTAGATTTATTAGAAATGTGATTGAATTTTTGCTACCATTCATAGTGTGGACATGTTACACCACCCACTTTAGTATCTGAAGCAATTCTAGTAGAGTCACTGAAGCTAATGTGGGGCTGAAATCACACCTATGATGCCTCTGCTTGCAGTCACATCCCTTCTGTCATTTTGGGAGAAATGATAGCTTTTGAGTAATGCTAAGAATGTGCTAGACTTGATAACTCCGAGGTCACAGTTGCTTTCAGAACCAGAACTATGTTGGAAGGAAGACTATGCCGTTTTCATGCCACAGCAACACTTCCTCCTCTTGTCTCAAAAACACCAGTACCCAAATATATTGTGCTAGCAGAAATCCTGTATCGTGGTTTGTACAAGGAACAATCATAAATGGAGGGGTATTTCTTTTCCATTTATGTTAAAGTTTGAGCAAGATAAGAAGCTTACGGGATGCTCTGAAATCAGCTTGAGCACCAGGACTGGGCAATGCAGGGCAGAAATCTGTGCAGCTGCCAAACATAGCATATGTGCATTAGGCCCAGGGTTATAAAAAGCAGTAGATGTACAGTGCACGTACATGCTCTGAGTAATTGATTTGTGCGTGCACAGCAAATCTGCCTGGTTTCCATCAGGCTTCCCTGTCTGGGACTCCAGATGACAGCAGTCTGGTAGGCTTCACTGTGCTTCACAGCTCAAACAGGGCTAATGGTGGCCCAGAAACCCCAGGCAAATGGAGAAAACATTCAAATCAAGCATGGCTGCAGGTTTCAAGAGGAAAAAGAGACAATAACTGGACATATGGTAGCCTTAAACTGCGTTTCTGTTGCCATGTGGCGTTCCTATTAGCCGTTACTCATTTCTGAACCACCATCAGTCCTTTTAATATGCCACTGGAGTTTTATTCTGTCCAGACTGTCACTCATTTCCTACGTGTGTAAGGTTATAGACACAAAGGTTTCTGCAGGGATCAGGTTCTTAGCAATGCTAACTATTTCCTTCCACACAGATATGTCAGTCTGTGATCAACTGAAGGTTTTAGTGTTTAAATCTAGTCCTTGTAACACATCCCTGCTTTTCACTCGGTCCATGTACGGCGAGGCTGTGCAAGCTTTTACTGTAAGGCCGTATTGTTTCCCTGTTCCCTGAAAAGCTCAGCAGGCTGTAGGCTTATGGCCAAATGACATGGATTCTTGTCAGTACACATAAAGGGCCAGACTGTGCCTGGCCACTGCGTGGGTATGCAGGGATAGGGGTGGCTTAAGGAGCCTCTCCCTCACCGTAATGTTCTTTGCCCTTTTTGGTTTGTGCAAAGCAAAGCATGCTCCTGTTCTCTGAAGTCAGAAGATTCTGCAGTCTTAAGGAGCCCTCTCTGGCCCAGGAGAAGCGCACATGGACAGTGTATTCAGCTTGTTTGCCACATGCTGTTGATGAGCTGTGTGTTTCTTCCAGAAGCTGTCCTGTGAGCTTATGGACTTGGGGATGCTGTCACCTTCTAAGTTCAGAGGTTAAGCTCCCGAGGAACAGATTGTATAGAGATGAAACAGGCATGGCTGGCTACAGAATTTTGCTCCTTATCATCCTTTGTCAGGGCTCTGTGCCAGACTCCTTACCAAGTGCCCTGGCACGGGAAGTATTACAATTACCTACAAATAACCAGTGGTATGGCAGACAGAATGCTGCAGGATGTGAGCCCCACGTCTTACAAATAACCACATCGGAATCTGAGCTGTTCCCTCTAAGATGCATCAAAACTACCAAATTCAGTCTTCACAACGTTAGCTGCGGGTCAGGCCAAGTGATTAGGATTCCATATGAGTCCAGCATGACCCCATGACAATCAGCAAAACCTGACACTCTGTTTTGCTTGTCATCTTCTCTCCACTTGTTAGCTTTCGTCCCTTCCCTAAGCGCGTTTTTCCATGGTTCATCACATTTTGACGTGGTTCATCTCACTCTTTTTATTTTTCAGTCTCTGCTTCATTTTTTTTCTTTCTTTTATTTTTATTTTTTTTAACTGAACTCGAAACTATTTCCAGTGTTTCCCTATGAGAATCCTATGAACTGTGATGGGCTTGTTGTGGTGTTGTTTCTCTCCAGTATACAGCTGACATTGCAGTCACTTGAGGACAGTGAATGCACATATGGACAACAGCAGAAGCAACAGCACTCCTCTGTGCTGTACTCCCAGAAGTGCTGGACGACAGCTCTGCGGTCCCTATGGGCCAGTCCTGAAGTCATTACTTCAGGCATGTCCATACACAGTTGTAAACTCTTAGTTAACATGACTGAGCAAGCCTCTACTTGTTAGCTTAGCTATGGTAACCAATGGTATGTGCACTCCTAGCCAACCACAAATGCTATGCTGTTAGCCTGGATATATTTTGTGTTCAGTTTGAAAGGGACTTAGGGTGAGCCTATGGTCAGCTACTGCAACTTAGCTGACAGTTGGTAATATAAAAGGCTTTATTTAGCTCAATTCTTGCAATCTCATGAACCTAACTGCAGCAAAAACCTCTAAGGGAGTTTCTTGTCTGAGTGAATACTGGAAAGGTTGGCACCATCTCACCCTGTCTCTGTAACTCCATCATTTCTGAAGTCACTTCCATCACCGCGACACCTAAGCATCTTTCTTTCTGTAACGTGCTAAGTAACGTGACTGACATCTGTCATGTGGGTTTGGTTTTGTTTCCTTTGTGGTTTATACTGTCGTTCGAGATGTGTACATGGGAGAACTGGGTGTACAGTGAACCACTTTGTTTTACCAGAACATGTGGTATTCAGAGCTACTTTCTCAGCAGAAAGGGAGGAAAGGCTTCTCCTGACCCTTGCTTTCAAGAGCATTTTTCTGCAGAGAGGACATCAGCTTCTCAATGTCTTCAGTTCATGAGTGTTAAAACGTTTGGAAACTGTCCTGTGATGCCCCTCCCACCATGTTTCTGCATTGCTGCAAGCACCAGAATATTGGATAAAAAGTTGTAACCACCCAAGTCAGGAGAGTCTGAGCAGGCAAAAAAATCATCATTATTTTTATTATTGCTTTTTCCTTCTTCAGCTGGAGCCAGCTGCTGGAAAGCAGACTTACAACAACTTCACCTATGACAGATCAAAACTCAAGTGTCCAAGCCCAGTAAGTAAAGGCCAAGGTGTCTATTCTCTCCATTAATGACTTTGATTTTTCTCCTTTCTTATTGGTAAAGCTCTTTTAAAAGAGTATCTTTGTGAAGGCTTTATGTATAGCTAAAATATACTCCTGCTCTGTTACACACAGAAAACCTATGTAAGATTTAACAGAAAGAAAAAATTATCCTCGTTGCAGTAGAAAACTTTTCTCATTTAAGCCAGTTTTCACGAATTTATATGGCCATCTGTGGCAAACCAGTTTGGAAATGATGCCATCACTCCCACTTCTGAGCTGCTCCTTTTTCTGTTCTAGGAACCTTTAGGCAATAGGGCAGGAAAGAGTTTGACCTAGAGATAGACAAAAAGTAGAAAGAGCTGATAGTCTGTCTAAAGAGAGACAATTCCTCTCTGGGAAGGGGCAATTGCATAGTGTCTGGATGCTGCCTGGGGAGTGGTCTGTGGTCACTAAAACCTTTGCTCTCCCTTTGTAGGAGAAACCCTTTCTATCCACTCTGAGAAACAGTGGGTTCAGAAGTGCAGACCTCAACTTGGGTAAGATGGAACCTTCAGTCCCTTACTGGGCTGTCATTGTGGCTGCAGTAGCTGGAGTCCTGGCGGGTTCTTTACTCATCTGGATAGTGCTGAGAAGAAGAGTAAAGAGGTACCAACATGGGACTGACACAGAAAAGAACACGAAAATGACGCCCCTGTAAAGCAAGTGGAACAAACATCTTTCTCTGCTGAGGCTGCTCCCTGGTGTGGTGCAGAAAGCTATAGAATAAGAAAACCCCATTGGATATGAATGAAGCTTCTTGGTTAGCCAGGGATTTTGAGGCTCAGTAATCTTGACCAGAAATGTACTGTAAAGGTAGGCTCCGCACATCAGTCAAGCGGGGGGTGAAGTTCAAAGTGTTAAAGCTTTTTGTTCTGGGATGCAACTCTCCGTTTCATGAATATTACTCCGGATGTCAATTGCTTGAGCGAAGCAAGAAAACTTGTTCATGCATCTCGGCACCTTAATTGTACATCTGCTCTTTACATGTATAAAACTGTACATAGAATACTAGATACAAGTTCGTGATTGTGACCTGGTATTCCCCAGTAGCAAGGTGAGATGAAAAAGAAAAGTTGCCATTTCACATGTTAGATTCCGGTAGGTGCTAAGGTGATTCTACACGGGCAAGTACAATGCCATGGAAACATCTTTAAGATAACTTCTGAGCACCCTGGGCCATCTATGTGGTATCCCTGGGTGGCACAGCTAGAATAACTGCATTCTCTCCACTGCCTTGGACTCCAGGCTCTGCCCATCCGGGACTGCACATGGAGCTGGGCCATGCACATCACTTCTCCTCTGGGGCTGAGGAGCCCAGGGGCAGTCCTGTACCCTCCTGCCCACCACTGTGTGGCAGCTGGTTCCAGCATGACTCTTCCTGTGAAGAAGGAATTTCTCTGTAGCACGCAGTAAGGGGTCTAAGCACAAATGAGGTACCTGATTGGGAAATCAGCCTGGCTTAACCCTCCTCATAGGGCCCGTGGTGTGTTCAGGTCTCCCAGGCTCGACGATCCGTGGCTGTTCTCCAAAGAAGAATTTGCAAGGTTCCTTTAGAAATCCCAGTCAGGAGTTCAGAGATCTTTCCTGGGAATTATCCAGTTCTTGTTTTGTATTTGCAGGCCAATTCATGCAGTCTGCTAGCACAGAAGATAATTCCCAGGTTCCATGTGCTCATGTTTTCCAACACCTTTCTTATTTCCTCTGTCAAATACTTTGCATTTTGATTTTATTGAAGCCAAAGTGTGGTTTGTACTGGTCTAATTTCTCTGAGGTGTACTACGTTTCCACTCCAGAAATGTAAATGAGAAGAAAATTAAAATATTTTGGACAAGAAACTGGTCTGAGGTTCCTAAATCTGCTCACAGAGAGCAGAGTGAGAATGCACACGGAAGGCATTCTCCTTTTTCCATTTCATCACTCTCATTGTCCTTGCTGAGATAAAAAGAGGTGGATAAAGTACAAGCTGTACTTACAAATCAGGTTTCAGGGCTGTAGCTCCACTCACCTCTCCTTTGATCTGCTCTCAAAGGCTGGGCTATTACAGACAGGACCTTTATTTGCCTAAATCTCATGCACAGATGCGTCTCTAGGAGCTCTACGTGCAGCCCCAAATGGGGATATATTTGTAATGCAAAACAGAAGCACCTGCATCTTGCTTTGGTGCAGCACAGGCTGCTCTTCCTGTCCCTGTCTTCACTGTGGGTCATTAACTATCTATCTGATAACCCAACTGCTGGTATTTATTTGGCTCAGTAAATGGAAGCATACATAGCCTCAAACCTGCAATGCAGGAGGTAAGATTTACCATATTCCAGTCCACTCCACAGCACTTTCACCTCAGACACATTGGGAAATATAAGCCTTGCAGCCTGAGCAAATATCCCAGTGGATCATGAAGGCTACAATCTCCTCTTATCCCTAAATATTGTTCTTGTGAGTCCTCTTCCCTCCTGGGGATAGCCTTTGCTCTTGGCTTGAGGAGTTAAAAGATAGAGTTCTCTGCAGAACCCTTTATCAGTATTAGGTATTTCAAAGGAAACTCAAAACAAAGCCCAGTGCTGCTTTACCTTTCTAAATCGTGTGCCTGCAGGAGGTGGGGTGGGGGTCCTAAAGCATAAATCAAAGCTACAGAATACTGCAGTTTCTCACATCAGAGATGGGTACAGTGCATACTGGGTTTCATGCTGGATAGAATAACTAGACATCCATTTTCCTCACTTAGCTAGAAAAATCTAGACCAAAAGGTCTGAGCTTCTGAAAGCCAAACCATAAGAGGTGCAGCCAGTTGGGAACTGAGGGGAAAGATGGTTCTTAGCCCTTCCACCATCCCAAAGGATTCTGGAGAGGAAATAATTCTTGTGCACGAGTGACTCTGCTTTGGACTGCAGATCCTCAGTTCCCTGCGGCGTTCTGCTCTGTAAGGAATGCTGTCTTTACTGATGCCTTGGGGAACTAAGAAATCATCGAGCTCAAGTTATGCTGGCTCTGTACTGCTTCTCCAACACAAGACTTTTCCCCTAGTTTCTGTAGCTGTGCTGTAGCTCTAATGCACTACTTAAGCAGGAGCAGATAGGAGCTGGAGCAGACACTGGCGGGCTTCTTATTTAGTCTAAGAAAGTATCTTCTGGCACCTTTCTGGCGTAGAATGAAGTATGTGATGAACAGCATTGACATTTAAAAAACACATCAAGAATCATGCAGCTGCTCCACAAGCAGAATTATTTCCTTGAAGATATTACTGCTGAGCATTCCCTCTGTGCTCATTAAGCGGAGGTAACATTAAGCTGGAGTGAATGACAAATGATTAGGTCTGGATCTTAGTCTGGCTGCATTCGGTGACACATTAAATCAGAAAGTAATCTGTGCATCCTGTTTGTCAGTTGTCCATTTTCCCCCATGTCCGGGCCCTTGGTTTCAAATACCTTCATGGTGTTTTCTCTCAGTGGACTGCTGAGTAATCCCAGAATGCCTACAAAAGAAAGAAGGATTAGGAGGAACTTTAAGTCTCTAAGGAAAAATAAATGAAGTGGCCAAAATCCTGGTCACCTTAGCCTAGGATTCTGCTCTGGCCAAGGGTGGTCTCACCCACCACTGAAAATCACCTCTTCCATGTAAAGTGATTTCCTAATATTCTAAGAAAACAGGCTGTATGAATTCTTCCTCTGGAGAAGAGCTACTGCTCAGCCCACGTGAGCAGTCCCTGTCCAAAGGATCTTTGTGGATACTGGCCTTGCTGCCCAGCTCAGGTGGTTGTGAAGGGCACTGAGAGTAAGGGTTACGCTGTTGCATGGCCTTGAGAAGTAATCTGTTGCTCAAAGAGGGACGTAATGGAGCCTGACAAGCGTTGGCAAACTGTTTGTCTACAGCTTTGGCAGCAGCTGAGTTCAAGTTCTGCTCTCCTTTGTGGTTGCTCTTGGACCTCCCTCTCGTCATGGTGCAGTGTGTGCTTTTGCTTTGTAAGGCCAAATGGCACACAAGAGTTTCCTCTAGGGTGAGTTCACCCCAAAGCCCAGTTTAGGTGCTGAGTAAACCTAGGGAAGAGAGGGGAAATTCAGGAAAACATCGGCACAGAATAACTTTGTATGGCTTTGGAGATTGCTAAATGCTTCCTCCCACCAGCTTCTATACGGCAAGATAGAGAGATACTGATGACAAATGATGGTCATCATTAATAGATGGTCAGTATGTTTTAGATTGGGACATCTGGGCAAGGACTTTATTACTTTGAAGGGTATTTAACTAAAATGTTGAGGTGAAACAACCCCATCACAAAGAGAGGGGCATGGAAAAGCCCTGGATTTTTACAACTCTGTCTTTGTGTGATTCATGTTCCCTGAGGTATTTAATACTTTTGGTATTGGAGGACCTCAGGTTTGTGATACTTGGGGGTTTTTTACCCTTTTTTTAGAAGGAAGGTATCTGGGATTTGGGGAAAAGCAACACAAAATTCTATCCATAAAGTAGTTCACAGAACAGTGACCCAAGGGAAAAGACAGAAAGCCCAGGGTGTGAGCCATTTTAGACAGCAAATCCAACCATACACAGGAGACCTGAATAAAGGGGTTGTTGGGACTACTCACTGCTATAGGCTGGAAGAAGTTCCCCTGTGTCTTTCCATTTCTGTGACCCATGTAACAGTCACTCATAGCACAGTCATATTTAGATTAAGTTATGTGGATTTTACTCAGAAAATGGCATTCACTGAACTGTATGGGTTTCCCTTCAGCAGGATCTGTAGAAGTCAGGTATGGAAACGTGCTTGTGCTCCTTGTCGGATGGGGTATGGGATGTGTATTTCAGTGGTAGGGTGCCTGCAGTTTCCCAGCCTTCTGCTTCCTTACAAGAAGGATTTAACAATCACTCTGGACTAGTGCTCTGCAGGAACATGCTTCAGTGAGAGGCAGCCTGGAATTTCTAGCACTGATCCGTGGGCTGACCCTGGAGTGAGTTATTTCAGCTGGAGACACCAGCTGCTTCCAAACATCCAAGAGTGCTTTCTCATCAGTGTAAAATGATTATGGCTATGAAGAAGGAAAGTGACCTGATACTTTCAAGTGTCTGCATCATAACCATCATGGGTTATTTTAAAATCCCTTTTACTGTTAAAAATAGCCACAAAAGAAAACCTTTCGGCTACCACTTGTGTTGCTTAGGTGACTGGAAGCATCACCTGAGGCCCGATGGATTTAGGCTGCAATGGAGATAATCCCCAAATTAAAACTGAGGGCTGCTCAGCAGTGGTTCAGTTTAACAACTAGGACCCTCAGAAAGCTCACCCATCTGCACATACAGCCTTTACAGCCTGGAGTACAGCAGCTCCTTAGCGGCCCACAGCAAACCAGAGTGATTATGTGAATCATGTAATATCCCTCAGTATTGCTCCCAGACCCTCTGGGGATGTGAGGCACTGCCACACCTAGGTTGTGAATGCCAGTCAGCCTCAGGAGCAGGACAGACAGTGAGATGCTCACCGTAGGCAAGAAGGCAGCACCTCTGGAAAGATTCAAAAGCAGAACTTCAGGTATCTGAATCCTTTTCAAGTCTGAAAGCAGAGCTGACCACGTATTCTGAAGAAATGACATAGGACTTTGTGACCATGTAATACTTAACAGGATTAGCCATCTGTATTCCATCACTGTGTCACCTACATAAGCTTTTTGAGCGCCTGGGCTGAAAATGACACAAATGCCTCTCAGCCTTTGGCATAACATTTATCTGTCATGTACTTGGTTTGCGGCATGAACTGACCTTTTCCTGCTGCAGCAGGAACAACCTGAACATCCTCTTCACCCTTGCCCTACCCGAGACATCTTTTTGGTACAGCTGCCAGAAACCTCTGGTGCAAGGTAAGTAAGCGAGCCAGCCTGGCAATTAGGACATTCCCCTGGCTGTTACTTATTCAACAACAGAATACTCAATGCCTTTGTTGAAGCATCATCTAAAGCATTTCAGAAATATTTATGAGGGCAATTTGTGCATCCTAACATTCCTCTGAGATAGTCTTATTACCCCCCCAACTAAAGATGATGAAATTTATGTGCAGAGAAGTGATGTGCCCTGGGCTACCTGATGAGTCAGTGGCTGAGCAGGAGATTAAACCCAGAAGTCCTGGCTCCACAGACACAGCCCAATTGTGTAACCACTACACAACTTATCACTCAATCGCTAACATAGCTAGACTGGTAGCTGTGCCAACTTTACGCCTGTTTTTCCCCTTAGCTTGAATGCAAATGCAGCAAAACATTGGCAGTGTGTTTGAGTGGGGAGAGTGCAGTGGGGAGCAGCAAGCTCTGCGGCGTGCAGCTCACCGATCAGGATCATATCTGCCCTGATGCTCCATTTCCACGCAGGGGCACTGGGTGCTGGGAAGTGCTTTGGCAAAAGCCCAGGCTGGGATTAGGACAGGGTGGGGAATGGGGAGGAGAGAGAAATTCACTGCTCTCCCATCGTGCTCCCACTTGCATTACCCACACCCAGTAATTAGCTCACCAGGTTCCACCTCCAGCCTGCGAGAGGCTCACCTCACCTAGCTCTGAGGGGATCCTTGCTCATTGCATACAGTAAGAAGGGTCAGGACTGTGGGGATCGGATCTCGGGTCTGTTTACATGGTGAAGTTACATCCTTTAGAACAGGGAAAAAATACCCTACTGAGAATTCATTGCTGCTGAAATGGGATTTTTTTTTTCCTCACATTGCTGGTCTGTTTGTCTTTCATTATTTTACTTGGTGGAAGAGAATTGATGGGGGAAAAGTGGACCTAAAGTGAAATTTTTTTATTTCAAAATGTTATTTAAAAGACACTTCAGCTATTTCAAAGACTATTTAGTTCAGAATATACAGAAGTGCAGGATGTCTGCCTTTTGACTTATTTTCCAGCCCAAAGCATATAGTTGAAAAATAGTACCGATTTGGAACCTCTTAATTTTTGTATAATACCATCCTTTTTTATTTGAAATGGGAACTAACTGAACCATCAGCATGCCTGGGGAGAAAGAAAAGTTGTTTCTTCTGAATAGTTCCAGTAAATCCAAAGTTATTTCAGTGCTCAAGAGGCAGCTTCACTGCAGAGCCAACTCCTGTATTGATCAGCATGAACTGTTTGTGCCAGGTAACTGTGCCAGCTATGACAGTGACCACAGACCAAACCCGAGCTGTCATCCGCACTGCTTGACAGTACCAGTGTGTAGCTCTGAAACCAATTTATCAGTAGCCAGCTTCAGTAAGAAACTCTGCAGTGCAATCGTTGCAGCAGTTGCTGCATGTGTGTGACCATATTGATTGGGTAAGCCTTTCCCACTGACTCCAACAGCAGCCCAGAGTTTTAAAACAGAACAAAATAAAACAGGAGGAAAAAGAAGAGAAAAGGTATTTTTCCACATAAGGCTGCTTCCCATCAGGCAGCATCTCCGCTGGGATGCTCACAGCTCACACCCTCAACAGAATGCTCTGCTTGACCTAGCTGGCGGTGCCACTGCTGGAAGGAAACAAAGGGTTATGGAAAGGGGGAGCATGCAGCACTCCCTGTGCTGCTCCATGCCAGGGAAGGGAAATCTGCACCAGTAGGCCCTGCTTATCCTTTAACCTGCAAACAGTACCACGGAGCTGGGGAACTGCTCTTGGGCATCTTCCCATCAGACCATTTTTAGCAGAAACCTGTGGCTTACTCATGTGGCTTTTTTAGTTCTCGAACCGTCGTGACTTTCTGTGAAAGCAGTTGTGAGCTGGAATGAATCCTCTTGATGGGAAACAGGGTTGCCTCTGTAAATTAGATAACGCTATTTACCAGTACGCTCTCCTTTGGTTCCCCTTGGAGCTGCCCCAACTGACTGTTTGCTATGACAATCTAATTATAACTTAGTTTGGCCACGAGCACCAGCTGCCTTCGGTTTCTTTTATCTCGTTGAACTGGGCAAGCAAAAGTTAGGTGCTTCAGAGCCTGCTCCCTGCGTGAAACTGAGGGAATTCAGACATGTATTAGAAAGGCATTAGCTTGTCCTTTTCTCTCTTTTTTTCCACTGGAGCCCATCCAGATGGAGCACAAACAAGGAGAGGATAAATGCAAAGTGTTCTGCCACCCTGAAAGCACGCGCTGATGTCAGCTTTCATGAACTGGCACTTTAATCATCGCATGGGGAATGTTTCTCTCTGCAGCCTCCCTTTGAATTTCTCAGTGCACCAACATTAGCATTTATGGCAAGGAAGATTTATTTTCTTTGCTGGTTAAGAGAGTAGTAAATTTGGAATGCTTTCACAAGCTGCTAGACGGAGAGCCCTGGAGATCTGAAAACCTGTAGGCTCAGACTAGGTGCGTCAAGGGCAGCAAAAGGGCAAGCTTCTTCCTTTATGTATCTCTACTTGCATTAACAGCTAAGCTGAAAAGCAAGGGGCTTGTCCAGTCAGCATACACAGAGAAGTTACTAGCTTCTCCTGCGTAAAATGCTCCGGGGAGAAAAAACAGTATAGGCATGAGAGACAGATGAATTAGGGACCTAAGGGTCTCCTTTGAGGCATGTGAGTTAAATTCTTCAGAAATAAGCACTGAAAATTAGCAGTCTCATTTTCTGTTCATGTGTCAGGCCTCATTGCTCTCTTCCTCCACCTCAGTCTTCCTGGCTGGACAACACAGAACTGGATCTTGACCCCTTCTCACAAGAGCTGGGGGTGATGAATTCACTACACTGCGTAAGAGCATTTTGAGCTCCGTGAAAAGGAGCTCTGTGTAAGTGCCTTGCATTTGCTTTCATCTAACTTTCTGCTGGGGTTTAGCCTAGGCTACTCCCCTGCATCTACTACTGCCTAGTTGTATTTTCCTTTACGCCCTTCACACATGAGGGAGCATGTGTGAAGCAAGAGTAGGATGCAGCCATCCTTTCCTGGCTCATCGCCATAGATGTGCCCAGAGGTGAAATTCCCCTCCCCGGCACAGTAGCCATCGTAACTCATGAGTTGGGGCAGATCTCAGTGGAACAATTTAACTCAAGATTTGGGGCTTCATGGTGTGGGGAGATTACCTCACTCTATACATTGAGACGTGCTGGAGAGGAGGGGGGGGAAAGAGGACGGATAGTAATGATGCTAGCAGGCTGCTGTCAATATAGATGCAGTCAGCTGGTCCCATCAGCTGCTTTCATTAGACTGCCGGCTTCACAATAAAGTAGTTTCCTAATTATAGCCTTCGCTTCACTCTCTGTACTGTACAGTCCTGCGTCATCTGGTGCTGCTTCTTCCTTCATGCTTGCTGGAGCAGACTGCAGCACGGAGCTGTCTCAGCGTTAAGGCCCCACTCGCCTGTGTAATTAAAAAGGAGGATTAGAGATGGATTTGTGGCAGCTACATTCTTACTCTGTAACTCCTGCACGTTGTGGCTGTTGCTTCTTCGAGGCCTTAGGTGGCTAAAGACTTGCAGGCATTTAAAACACACACATCCATATATATATATATACATATATATATATATAAACACATACATGTGTATATATATATATCCCATATATGCATTTCCCAGGTATTTGAAAACTTCTGTAGTGGTATGTTTGAAACACAAAGAGATAGGGAGCAAGCGTAAAGACCATCATTAAAGATTTAGCTAGGATATACTTTTTCTCCCAGGTCCATCTCTCACACACAAAAAGCCACATGAAAAATACACCTATTCCTTCCTACCATGCACTCAGCAGCCATATTTTACTTTCTTATCTTTTAAGAGCAGATACTCCCTCCTCGTTACCTCTCTCTCAAGAAAACTCAATTTTCTGTAGTCGAGCAGCCTGCAGCTACCGGCTCGACTCAGGCCATCACACACCGTGAGCTGTCTGCTGGAACACCTGAGCGTTTGGAGTGTGTTTAATAATTAGTTTGATGTGCTTTTTCTATTTACCTTTTTTTTCAGTGGTAGTGCTCGGTTCATGGCTTTTAAACTTTCAAGGCTGGAAATATTTTCTCCTTTTAAACGAGAACAGCAATTTCAATGCAATTACAGAGTTGCAGGAGCAAGGGCTGTATAAAACAGCACCAAATATTGTGAAATTCATGATGCAACCATCACAGCGCTCCTGACGTCAGTGCACAATTTGACTTGCTAATACGGGAAACCCTGGGTTTGTTTTCCTGGTCTGCCTCTTGCCAGCCATTTTAAAATCCAAAGTTGTTCAAAATGACCACTCTGCTCCTAATCTAAGATTTTTATATTGTCCACTGCTCCCAAGAAGAGATCTGATGGCAGAGCTCTTCCTGCAGTTTTCCTAGCATAGGCTCAACTGGTACTCACCATCTGCCTTCTGCTCTCCTTTGTTAGCTCCTAGGGTGAAAGGAACCACATTCAGTGACCTCATTCTTTTGTCATCATAAATACATTATAAATAGGTTTTGCTGATAGAATGTGATATATTTTTTCAACACACTCTTGTTGGATATTGCTATACTGATTAGAATTGGACAGAAAACCAATAACCAATTACAGCCAATGCAGGCCAGTAAAAAACCCCACAGTTCCACAGAAATTCATGATTTGCAAATTTTGGACAGTGGTGAAATGTTCTGTTTTCACTATTGGGGACCTTTTACAATAAAAAAATGTCCTTTTTTCCACGTGAAATGTTTGTTTTCATCACAACATAAAAACTCCACAGGCGGGTTAAAAAGATCCTTCTGCATTACAATCAATCCTCAACTTTTTCAGGGTTTTGCAATATTCAGATTTCATTTCAGTGTGAAAAAACATTTCAAACTCAGCATTCACAGAGGAGAGGTCTTGTCTTCTAGTTAGTCCTATTGGTGGCAAGTATCACTGGTAAACCGGAGCTACTTGGCTCAGAGCTGGTAACAGCTGTACTGGGTACAATAATACCACTCTGGTGATGGCAGAAGAGCTGATGCAATTAAGACATTTGCAGTGTTATGGCTCTCCCCAATATTCAAGCTCTTCAGATCAAAGGTTGCAGGAAAGTGGGTTCCTACTGCTCCTACTGCTGCACTGAGCCCTTGCTACTTCCATGGGATCTGCAGCTTGGGGAGCTTAGGTGGTTTCTTGTTCGCTTTTCCTGCAGCACTAAGTAGCCTCAGAAACACTTGATGACTCCATTGCAGCAAGCTGTTACTGTATAAACAGTTATTTAAAATACTGTGTCCTGAAATACCCACCTCATGGTCTGGGGAAATAGTCATCTATTACTGCTCTGTGACACCATATAATCAAGGGGACTGCCTGGCCGGTGACAACTGTGGTGCCTTCTGGAGTCATGTGGATCTAAACAGTCATCACTAGAAAGCAGTGGAGGAGCAACTGTCAGCATTTCTGACCCTCACTGGCTCCTGCTGGGTAGCTGATCCTCCAGGATGATCTCATGCAATCATTCTAAGCCTACCGTGCCCATTTTATTGGCATTTATGTGCTGGCAGCTTTTATTTCCAAGAGCTATAGCAGCTATTCAAGCGGAGCTGCAGACTAGCTGATGACTCACCCAGCTGAAGCTGGATTCAGATCTCTCCTAACCCGTTCCCAGAAATGAATGTCTGAAACCTCTGCATCCACCCTGCTGTCTGCCTCATTTGTGTTTTATGCCTTAGGAGAGAAATCTTTGTTCCCTTCTCTTTTCTTGACTCTGTTTTTTCTGGATGAAAGAGAACGTGGAAGAATGGGAGCAAGCAGAAGTCACTCACACTGTACGTGCAGCTGTATGCATACCCCCGGCACCTGTTTGTCCTCCCTATTTTTAGCCCTGCAAAATGCCAGGAATTCATCCTCAGAGGTTTTTTCATCAGCTATCTCCCGAGAGCAGCCGAGACGGCCATCTGTCCATCCGGAGGGAGGAGAAAGCTGGGCATGGTGCTTTCCTTTGCACTGCAGGCCTCTTGCTGTTCCCTGATCTGTGGCCAGAGCTCCTTTTGAAGGTGTCCCCAGTTTCTCCTTTGATCTGGGCCACAGCATGCAGGTTGCTGCTCAAGTTCTGCTCTGAGACTTTCCATATGACACATTGACCTACATACCTGTCCTTGCCGGTAATGGGTCGTATCCTGGCTTATCTGGCCCTGCCTTTCCAAGGGTAATAATAAAGGAGAAACCTCTAATTATGTGGTGGTCTCCACCCACCGGTCCCCAGGTGAAATGTGCTGCTCTCCTCCATTCTTGTTTGTGTATCTTTGAATAAGAACTAGCTAACCTAAAGGATTTCCATCCAGGCATCTCTGTGGAGTCTGAACATCTTAATCTGTCCACAATCTTAACTAACTGGATTTGTTTGTAGAGGAAAGTTGCCTGTGGTTTGACTTTCTGCAGAGCAGTGAAAAAACCCAAACCAGAACAAAAAAAAAAAGCGGGGGGGGGGGGCAAATAGATAGACTCAAGTTACAGTAATGAAGAAAAAGCAAACTGCATCACAGCTTACACTGTTCTACAATAGGTATAAATATTGCTTAAGTATGCAGTGGAGGATTTGCATAAGCAAATCAGTGGCCTACATGGTGCTCAGTATTTCTCTGCCCTTGTAGGTTAGTTATGCAGGGAACATTCCTGCAACGAGTCCCACTAACATGTCTCATTTCAGCTTCTAGTACCATTGCTCTAGCAAAGCTCGGAATGTAAAATGCTGCTTCTCTTGAGAATGGCTTGTAAGTGCTGCTTTACTTCTGCAGCCATCAGCGATGAATTCGTAAATGCAAATAAAAACATGAGTACCCAGGGAAGCCCAAACTCAAGAGGTTAAACAACTCATTTAGACTGAAGAGTCAAAATCAGGTTAACAATATATATATATCCACTGGCTGCTGAGGTACTGTGCCTATCACACTGCTAGCACAGCAGTGCTGCCTGCTGCTATCCCTGTGTCCTAGGCTATGGGACATCTGCTACACCTGCAAAAATTATGTTCAGATGACCAAAAAGCCAGTGGTTTGCCCAAGAAACTTGCACCCCTGCAAGCACTCTCACACTGCCTAAAGTGCCATCACATCAGGAATGAAGAGCGCTGCTCACGGCTCATTTAGCAGGGTCTGTAGTTCACATACGTTTTGTGTTTGGTGCTTCAGACTTCCTCCTGGCTGGAGGCAAGCAGAGGGAGCTCAGCTGTGCCCAATTATGGTCAGAGACACATGGAGGGTAGAGCTTAAAAGCAGTGCAAGAGGTCAGATGTTCACTGTGGCTTGGAGATGGGTCTGTGTCTTTGTGCTTTGTTCTGATTTAGTTTTGTTTTTTTTTTTTTAACCATTCCTGAAGTTTTTGAGGCCGATTCCAGCTTATTCTGCATTAGTTCTGTACTAATGTTGTTCCACTGAATCTTGATTTTATGAAGGTAAGGGTACTGTGAGACCTGCTCACTGTAAAACAACAGGTCAACCTGGGCTTGTTTCCTATTGCTTGCCCATCCCTGTGATGGGCACCAGAGGAAGGGGCTGAGCCTGAGCATAAGCCAAGCCCTGCTGAGCATCAGAGGCTATTTGAATCCATGAGATTTAGGTGAGGGCTATACTGATATCATTTTTTTCTGAGCTTTTTTTAGGAGTATGGAAGAACACTAGTCTTTAAATGAACCTGTTTAATGCATTTAGGACCTCTGTGATTGATGGTGTCTATAAATACCATTCAAGCAATAGCAATAGGACATTCCACATACCATTTTCAGCAGGCTGTGAGCCAGGCTTGCTGCCTTGCTCCTACAGCAGTTTCCCTTGGCTGCAAAGGGACACTCTGGGTGACATGTCCTCAGCACTGGGGACACACTTTGGGGGGGGCTCCTCAATGCCACCCCCTTGATTTTGGCATAGGGGTTATCACTGAGAAAGAGAGGTACACAGGGCTACCAGGGATTGCATCAGGGGATTTCTGTGCTTAGAGAATAACCTCAGGGTCCCCAAGCCCTGGGTCAGCATGGGGCAATGCCTGTTTCCTCATGGGAAGAGGAGGAACTAACCCAGAGAGCAGCACAGGCAGACGGGGCAAGTGGCTCCAGGCAAATAGTTACGGGCAGCACAAAACAGGGCAGGGGGAGGGAAGGGATGAATTTTTCCCTTCTGTCCTTCTGCACCTATTTCTCAGACATGTCTGTGGTGTTATTTCTAATTATGAATGCTTTTCCCGGGGGGGAAGGGAAACATTTTATAGGAATCTGATTATGTGTTTCTATATTTAAGAAGGGAAATATAAATTTTTTTTTGATGCTAAAGTAGGAAAAAAGTGGTTTACTGTATTAACATTTGCAAGGACTTATCTTAATCTAGTGCTTAAAGCACTCTTTTACTGGTACGCTTGTAAATCCCGCATTCCCACTGCAGAATGGCTCCTGTGGCATTCTGCCAATTAACCTTTGCAGGCTTTGATCTTGGTTTGACTTTAGAAGTTCAGGCTGCTCCCCTGCCTGTTTGGTTGTTGTTGTTAACAAAACACTTGCTGTCCGCAATAAACAGCGCTTAGGATACGTGCTTCAGTTCCCTGAGCACATGCAATATTGATGTCTTGTGGATCATAGAGAAAGCCTGACTCATTAGTGAAAAGCTACTAAATAAACATCCTCAGAGAAAGCAAACAAACTCGGCCATTATGGAGGCTATTTTTCAGCCTGATCTGCGCTAGCAGATGCATAGGAAATGTGGGTTTAGTGAACTGGTGAGGAGAGGGGAGCCCTGTTATGTTTGCCTACTCTGCCTCCTGTCCTGCCCTTCCTGGGTACTGGGAGCAGAGCTGTGTGACAGAGAGTAAGGATGGAGCTTGCAGGGAATACTCCTGCCTAGAATGTGGCAACAAGCAGCCAGCAAGCATAGACTTTCTGCAAAGCACTGCAGCCACAATTGCTGCTGCATGCATGAGTCCATCCTCATTCCTCCTGGGTTCACATCCAAGACCTGCCTTTGGCTTACCCCCTCTCTTGTCTCCATGTTTAAAAGTGTACAACATACAGTATTTACCTTTCCCCCTCCCTCCCATATGTAGCATCCCTGCAGTCAAGGAACAAGTAAACACTGGTTGAGACCAAAAATAGTTTAAGATATAAACTGTACCACAAGCATTGAGTATTCTTAAATAGGTTAGATATAGATTTTGCAAGCCATGTGACATTTATTGTTTGTAACTAATGAATATGTGACAGTTGAGAAATATGGAAGAGAATTTGCTCTCTGCATTCAGGGTCTCTCAGTTCACGAGTCAGTCTCAGTCTGAAGTCTAAAAAAGGTCACTTTGCAATCTGTAAGTAGCTTTAAAGCCTTCATGGGCCTTAAAGCATCAGGCTTAGCAGGGAAAAAAATCTCCTGGAGCAAGGTAGCTCACAAGCAGAGAGCTGGAAACTGGGAAGAGCTGATAAGTCTGCCGTCTCCTGCTCTTGAGGCAGGTAAAGGAGGAAGAGCAGAAGGTTTTCTAGAGGCAGAGCATGTGTCTGATTTTTCATAGCTTCAGCTCATAATTCTCACATTTATCTATTCTAGACTCTTCTCCAAATGACCAAATGCAAAACTTGACATTGCCTTGTCCAAATGTATGAGACAGTCAGAATGGTGAGTACTCCTGTCTCCACAGCACATTGTATTCTCTCATTTCCTGTCTGTTCTGTCATTGTGGCCTACATATCCCACCAGTAAGCCTGTCTTCTGCTGCTTCTCACCAGACCCACATCAGCCAAAAACCTGCCACAGAATTAGCACATTTCTTTAAATTCAGGTTTTCTTTCCATCCAAACCTCCAATACCCACCCATGAAGGTGAGAGCCTAGCTGTCTCCAATCACACAGACCATGCTAGAAACGTGTTCAGAAGCTGGTCCCTGCTTTTTCAACATAACCACTTTTGCTCAGTCACTTCCTAGTACTTAGTTTTCCCTCAAGTGGAGTTTCCCCCCATGGTGCCTTACACATATGAGAAAACCTGGGACAAAATCCCACCTTGCCACCTCTCTCCTGACTGCCTTTCCTTCCTTTAAATGCCTCATCAGGTTGCAAAGCTGGTGCCTTGTGTCAGCACTGGGCTGTGACTAATGATGGTTTTCTTGCACAATATATACTTGTTTTATTACTGAACTTCATCCTCCCTGCCATCTTCTTCACTTCCTGTTCTCCCATTTATTTTGTGCATCCATTCCAAGTGATTAGCTCTTAGAAGTAGGAATTGCTAGTCTGGTTTCCTCAGGAAATTGGGTGATCATGCTCTGTACATCCTCAGATAACTGTTGAATATACCAGTTGATTTAATTTGGCTGATGGAGAGTGGGCTCAAAGCTAATTGGATTACTGAAGTTTTGTGCAAGTAGGAAGCTAGCTGGAGCAGAGAGAAGCCCTGAAGTCGCATGGCAGAAAGAAAGGCAGCAGATGAACTTATATCTTAGTAGATACCAAACAATTCATGAGGGAGATACACTAGTTAATAGTCAAAAAAAGCACCTCAGATTGTACCCATGAATGAGCACAAGAAAGAGAACCCGTAAGGAACCTGGACTCTTCCAGTGTTTGTTGAGTTACTTGCTTTTATTATGTTGTTTGTATTGTGACTGGGACAATAGCTTACAGCCCCCAGGAGGGCTTTTTGTGTGTCACTACAGACCAGAGAAAAAATAACAGTAATAATAGTGATAAAGGCCGAATGTACTAATGAATGTTTCCTACCCATGAAGCTATTTTCAGGGCAGCACCTTTCTGTAAATCTGCTGGCTTTGGCACTTCTCCATAGTTTTCTCTCCGCAGCCTTGTAAAAGTCTTGTTTGGTCTTAATACACTAATTTTGTGTCTGTTTAACTTCAAATGGTGGCACAACAGGGCTCAAAAGGATACTTGGGCTTTTGTTGTTCCTGCTAGGAATGAAAGGCAACTCTGGTGCTGTATCACCAGGGTGCATCAAACCGATGTAGTGCAGTTGGGGTTTAGCCATCTTCTCAGGCTGTTCGCTGTTCTGGTCTGTGACTCGCAGGAGATGTAATCACCAAAGGTTCATCTGACATCTGCAGGGCACAAAATCTTACTCCAGCATGTTGGGGAGTTTTTGTCAGCAGCATATCCTCAGCCTGTGCCCACCCCATTCCTCTTCCAGGGACAACCTTTGTATAAGTAGCCAGATGACATGCAGGTATATGTAAGCCCCAAGAAATCAAGTGGCTTGCAAATGGCAAGTGGCAGATCTAAACCTAGCTCAGTTTCCAGCTGCTGAGTGATTACAAAGGTGGTTAAGTACAGTACTAAAATCAGCATCAAGTTTTGTGTGGTGACATGTTCCTGCCCAGAAGTGGGCACAAAGGAGGGATTTAAGCATAGACCAATTCTGTGTTTTTTTTCAGCAGAAAAGGCACTTTTCCACTGTAAGGCAATTCAAAAAAAAAAAAACAAACCAACCCAAAACTAAAGCCATAGAAAGGCTTGTGCAGCAGTCTAGCTGCCATGTTGCATGCAGTAGTACCGTGTTACAGAGATAAACATCAATGCTTAGCTTACAGATTGTCTCAACACCTGGAAGGCTGTTATAGAGAAAGGTTTAATAATAAATTGCTATTTCTTTGAGACAATGCACCCAGGTTCTCTTATTGAGCATACTGGACACCAGATAAAGGAGGCATAGGCAATAGAGACAAAAGCATTAGAAAAGACAAAAAGACTGAGATCAAATAACATTATTCCTCATGTCATGGTGGCAATGGAGCTATACTCACCTGATCCTCTTGCCTGGAGAAGGTTCAAAGTACTTGAGGTCAAAATACTTATATTTCAAAGTTGCTTTTAAATAAATGACTCTCATGTGGCTGGTGGCAGACAAGATGGGAGCAGATAAGTTCCTTGATGCTATGTTGGGCTTATACCATGTCACCCTGAACATATGGGGATATAGAGGGGTTGTATTATAATCAGAAAAATATTGTACCTGGAAATGATGCTGATAGGTTCCTACAGGATGCTTTCTGTATGTACTATATATTTTTCTCATCTATATTTAGCATTATATTTTTCTATGAAAGCTATAAGTGTAATGAAATTTAATGCTACAACGAAGTGAGTAACACGAAAATATTATTCTGCTGGGCTCTTTAGTGACCATGACCCAAACCATAAACATGGGCCATATTCTGGTGGCGGGGGAGCACTAGCATCGATTTCTGTCTGTGTCTAAGGCACTTTTCCACGACAGTTGCCACCACTTAACACTCCTGAGGGCCTGTGTGTTACAACTGGGGTACCGAGAAGAAAGGTAACATCTGTGTGCACACATGTACTGGGGATGAAGATAGAGAGCTGGGTGGAGGAGGTGGTAGGCAGGAGGGGAGGCAAGGCCAGGCCTGGGGTGTGCAAAAACAAAAGTGGACTTGGGTTGGGCAAATGGTGTATTTCAAGGTGCAGTGGGCAAAAGGGGAGTCAGATGTGCATGTAGGGAAGGAAAGACCCCAAACATATGAACTCCATCTTTCTCTAATGCTTATATTTCTTAAATCACTGCAAACACATAAGGGATTTCAGCCATAGGGGTATTAATGAAGCACGGCCTTAATTTAAACCAGAGTGCATGTATCAGCACCAGGAGCAAATATCATCTGCTAAAATGGTTGAATAGTTACATAGCAGCTGATGGCACAGAGCTGCATATTCTGGTAGCAATGCTGCTTTGCAAACTTCACTACAGGGCATAATCTTAGCATAAAAGCTTATTTGACTAAATATGTATGTTTACTGATGTAAATAGTCTGATCTTACTGTAATCAATGAAATGAGCAAAATTAAGAACACACTTAAGATATCTACAAGGACAAGACTAACTGCTGGTATCTGCTGTGCCATGAGTTTAGGCACATCTGTGTGTTTCATCATTGAGTGAAGCCCACTGACATCCTGGGCAAGACACAGAGCCTATTTTCCCTATGTTTTTTATTGCTGAATTGGATCTTGATTTCAGTGAGTCAGATAATGTTCTTCAGTAAACGTGTCAGCTCAGATGGGTTTGAAAAATGTGTTTCTTTATGGATTGTAGCTGGGTCTCTTCTTTGATAAGCACAGTGCAGAAATTGAAATACTAATATTGGATCTGGGCAGTTAAATTACTGTTACAGATGGGTCTGATGCTGTTGGGCACATTTTCCCAGTGCTACTGTTAAAGGAAGGAACTTCTGAGCTGGAAGAGGGGTTTAATGGAAGAAATTACTTGGGATGGCCCTAGTTTCTGTAAGATAGCAGTTACTGAGGAAAAGCTCTGTTGGCAAGCTTCCTCTTAGTTTATGGCCAGAACCTCAACATAGATGTTATCCTAGGCCCACTGAAATTACTTTTGTACTAGCTGAATTTCTTATCCTGTACTTTATAATAAGTTTTGGTAGCTTTCATCTGTTAATCTGCCATGGAAAACCAGCCTAGGCTGAAGCACAGCATTTAGCAACCAAGTCTGTAAATCTCTCCTCCATAAGACATTTGAACTAATTCTTTCTCTCTGGCCCAGAGACTTTAGAATACATGATTGCAAGTTGTATGTGAAGAGCCAGTAGGAGCAACAGTGAGGTGTGTTTGTGGAGATGAAGGAGGTGCTCTCTTAATTGTGAAAAGCAGCAAATAGTTTCTGTGACTCCACAATGTCTGGGGTTTTAAGCAAGCGCTGGAACATGCAATTGTGATACCACAACTGGCTTGTAAAGATTGAACTCATTTCAATTTTGGTTCCATCTCTGATGAAACAGCTTTTTCTTATCTCCTTCTTAACTATGATTGCTGGCACTCTTGCCATCCACTACTGCTCCAGCACTGGTGATAACATTCAGCATTTTCAGAGTACTTTACATAATTCCAGTGTTGGAAAAACATTAACTCATTAAAACTTCCATGTTTTCTGTTCTATTTCTGTCTTCTATTTCTGTAATAAGAGCAGCCATTCTTCACTTTAAGGGCAGGAATAAGGGAGGATGAAGAGTTTAAGTGATCTAACCATGGCAAAGTTAGGATGGTGCTATTGATTTCTGCATAGCCTCTAAAGAGTCCTGAAAATTATATTCCTTATTCACTCAGCTGAATAGCCTTGGGCTTTTTCTTACAGCACTGGTGTGGATTTAAATCTAATGGGCAGTGGGATTCCAAATTTCTGGCATTGACTTTTTTTTTTTTTCTTCAAAACTCTTTGACATCAATTGGAAAAAAATGAAGGCTGTTGAGTTTTCATGGAGTAGTAAAATCCATATCACAACGAGTTATGGGGCTCTGCACATCAGTGTTTATAAAGCATGCCATTGCGTCATGGAGCAAAGGGAGAAGCTGCTCAGTGGTGTAGCCACTTCCCCATTGAGTCACACAATGTGCGTGCTGTGCCAAGTAGCACTAACAGCAGAAGGGGAGTACAGTCCTCCTAGGTCCTGGCAAACCTACCCCTGTAAACAGAGCTTCATGGATGGAGGGCTTAGGACAAACCACCCTAGCATTCACTCATGGCTCTGCTCACGAGCCTAAGAACTTTCCTTGCAATAGTTGTAGTGGTGGAGTAGTGCCTTAAGTTGCAGAGCAATTGCATGGCCTGATATGTTTTGTGAGTTATTCCCCCTTCCATGCAAG